TTTTATCTTGATTTTAGTAGCCTAACTTAGTATGACCAAAGCAGAAGTGATTTTATTCTCCTGCTTCCATCTCAAAAACTTCCTTTTATCAGAGGAAAGCAAACGTAATTCTGAAAGAATTGATTTTTTCTGACTAGTAAAATTGGGCCTGGGCAGACACTTTGCGTGAGATTAATTTTTTTCAAAAATGGTGCGAGAGAATTTTTGCATTAGCCTAATAAAATAAGCAGCTAAATGTTGGCTATTTGATAAACAAACAACAAAAGTAACTAATCATTTAACATGCATAGAGATACAGTAATGTCTCAAAATCAGCCCTCTTCTAGAAAGTGAAACGATGTGGAAACTTTTTTTCACATCTACAGTGGAGAAATAGGAAGGGGAGGGCATGAATGTGACGATTACATGAATGAAAAATATTAAGGTAGAAAACGAAATCCTCCACAACAAATGCTAAGAGAAATTTTCACACCGGTTTGTGAAATCACAATCATCAAGCGTCATTTGCCATTTTCTATAAGTAAGCATGCTCCAATCTAGTGAAGAGAGAAGATGCAGAAGGACACATGTTTACAAAACCTAACACGAACGGATGTACGCTCCATTAGTATTCCCAAAGAGAAAGTCCTTTATCCTTCTCCTTTTCCGAGCGTAACATTTATAAACAGAAGAGGATAAATCATTACAAACTGCTGGCATCAGGTCTATAAGAACAGGGAGAACAGAACAGAGTTGAGGTTTATTCTACGATCTGAAGTGTGCCATATGTATTGAACTTGTACCCACTAAAGTTCACTCGGAATAGGATAATGTCACGGCAATAGTCTGGAGAACATTCAAGTATAAAGTATGTACAAATTGAGCGAGCTATTATATTTCCTGATGTCATGTCATCCTGTCTTTAAAATCAATTATTCATATGGGAGTAATTCCTTTTCTGGTGTAGGGCTTATTTTCGGGATGTCAGCTATAAATGTGGAATGTGAGACCTAGTGAGTGTCACACCTCAACCCTTTGAATTCAAGTATCACAAGTACCAACGCTACCAACAAAAGATCCGGCGATCCTACTAAAAGTTTATAAAAGTTACAAAGGGCCGATGCTTGAACACGGTATTGTCATATACAATCCTTCCAAGCGCAAAAGTGGCGATTATTTGGAGAAAAATCAAAAAAGTTCCACTCTTAAGTCATTGATCAAAACTATTGGTTTCGTCCACAAGCAGATTCCAAGAATTAGAATATATGATAGAAATCATGTGTTAATGACTCTGGCCGAAGGAGGCGAAAACTTGATCTTATGATGGCTAAAATATTCCATGGTAACTGCGTATTGAATGAATTTTATTTTACCATCAAGCTTTTCGATGGAACCAAAAAACTGGTTATTCCAAGATTTATGCTTACTGTGCGGAGAGTTTTCTTCACATAAGAGATTGCCTTCTTTGGCCATACGTGATATTTGGACAAATTGATACTGAACGAATATTTGTTTCTAAATTGATTTTGTTTGAAAAAAATTGTTAAAAAGCCATGTGCAAGGTGAAATTTTATTAGATCTATTGCTTACCGTTGTTTTTGTGTTGTTGTTATTGTTTTTGGTCTGTTGCGTTTATTTTCATCATTGTTTTTTCGTAAGGCCCCAAAGAGTAAATAAAATATATAAACAAATAAATAAATAAATAAGAGCATTGTTCAGTCAGAGAGCAATAATTAGACTAATTGCAAATAATGTGGCTATTCGCATACAGCAATTAAAGTTGAGGCAAAAGCAATTTTATGAAGTTCTCCCATCAATTTGTTCCATTTTACATACAAATTGTTTTAGGTAAAAAAAATGAATTTCAAATGAACTATACCATTTTAGAAATCATCCCTGATCCCACGTCTGTCCTCGATATACAGGGAGTCCCAAAAGTAAGTGCACACTTTTTAATCGTCACTTAATCTTTTCCCACAAAGTCTTTCGCTTAGCATTAAGTACCATTACCGGTAGAGTAGGCTTCAACTTAGATTCACACCATGGAGAGAATCACTCATCGCTCTTCGTTACTGTAGAATTACGGTAGGAAATCTCAGCATACAGCGACACTATGAATAGGCCGTTACAGAAACAAGCTTCAAAAAATTCTGAAAAGTTGTGCAGCCATGTTTTCAGACATGCTGATTTCAAACGACTCTTTACAAGTTTTTCAAGCGTCTCAAATGGTTTTTAACACATTATTGAAACATATTTTTTTAAAAAACTTTACTGCGGTTTATCTGACATAACTTATAAAAAAGTTTCACGTTAAGTGCAACTTTCAAATTCATAGGCAGCGACACAATTTAGCCTAAGGATGAAGTTTTTGGCTCGTTGAAAATCTATTCTGGGGCGAAATATAGTCATAAATGGCTCAAAACTCTCTTCAAAGTTTCTATCGTAATCCTACAGTAATGAAGAGACTATGTGATTCACTCTATACTGTAAATCTAAGTTGAATCCTAATCTATCGGTTGGTACTTGAAGCTGAGCAAAAGACTTTGTGGGAAGAGAGTTATCACCGTTTGAAAAGTGTGTACTTACTTTTGGGACACCCTGTATTTCATGGACTCCAGACGCCGAGTTAAAAAGTTGAACTTACAACTGGAAGAAAAATTCGAAATCGTTTAAATGGGTAGCTATTGTTTTATAATATCATACACCCCTACTAAATGTCCTTTGAAGTTAATTCTACCTAGATCCTAGTCTCGTTTTTTGCAAATAGAAGCCTCACAACTCATCTTGCAGAGGCCCATGGCAGATACGCAGACGACTTGGAATCAGCCCGATGCCCTATTGATACGAAATATATCTGGAGCGACCAACTTGCCATAAGACACTCCTCTTGTGAATTCAATATCCAGTCTTTTTATTTGTCGCTAAAATCGCATATGTTCGAATAATTTTCAAGAGCACGAGAATAGCAGTGCGAGATGCTCTCTTTTAATCTCTAGTTTTCTTTCAAATACAAATAACTAATCAAATTTGCAAAACCCTCCTCGTACTTCTTCTAGTGTGTCTCGCGCAGGTAGTCGGAGGTTTACAAAATAGGTGCCAAAAATTTCTACTTCGGAAGTGAAAACTTTTGCAAGGGTACATTCGAGAGTTCAAGATGGTCATCCGAGAAAGAGTCCAGTAGCTACTAGTTTATTGAATTTCATCAGTAAACATGAGCTCGAATAGGTTGATAAGTAAGTAAGTAAAAAGTCAAGTAAAAATGTAAGACTCTCCTTTTATACGTAACCGAGCCATCTCTTCTGTATATACGATAATTCAAAAACACTTTTCTAAACTCTTACTTTCAAGGTTAATAGAGAATAACGTCTTTGGAAAGTGAGGGATTGATTGGACCCTGACCGCAAAGAGGACAATCAGTTACATTGATATTAGATCAATGCTATTAACTGCTATTACCATTTTCATTATTAAGATAGTAATAACTATTATTGCTAGTATTATCTATTGTATTGAACTGACGTTATCCATTTTATGTACTAGCCTTCCATTTCAAGCTGCGGTAGCTTATGCCATGAACGTCTCCGTAGCAACCGGCCGCACTTGCACAATGTCAACCGCCGACCTGGAACGCGATTTCGTCCTCAGGCCAAAACAAAGTGAAAAGTCAGTTTCTGCTTTCGTCCTGACAGTGTTTGTGACATTTTCCGCATCATATAGTGCTAGAGTTTTCCAGATTCCGTAAACGAGAAGGAGAAGCGCTGCTGAAAGAAGTTGCCGAAGAAGCGTTGGCGAGCCAAACATTCAGCATGACATATGAAACTTCCCTCACAGACACGATTGCGATTACAATAAGAGATCGACTAAAAGGTATTCACTTCTTCACAATTTGTACAAACAGTTGAAATTATTGATCATTTCTATGACATGATTTTCGAAGCCCGATTAGAAACGCCGACAGTTTTTGAAGTCTTCAGAGGAAGTGTTTTACAGAAGATTTTATGATCGGATATGACTATAAAAAAGCTTTACAATTTAGACTTAATTTGTTAATATCGTATTTTTATACTCGTATGGTTTCCGCCGTACCTGCTTTCGAAACGATATAGAGCGCCCTCAGGCAACGTTTAGAGTGTTCAGATACCGGCGTAGCGGCACCGTGCTAGCACCGTGCCGATCCCATATACAGGTGTCCCAAAAAATGTCCACCCTGTCCACACCACAATGTCCCACGTTTTATCGTCAATAACTCTCTTGGTCTGCTTCTTTCGGCAACCTCAAGGTACCGTTGTGTAGAGCGAGGTTCAACTTAGATTTACAGTACAGAGAGAATCAGCGATTGTTCTTCATTACTGTAAGATTACGATAATAACTATCGGTACATAAAACCATTGTAAAAAAGGCCGTCTAAAAATTCTTTTTCAAAAAATCAATATTGTATAGAAGGGTTATCGCCCGTGGTGATTTCACTACACAACTTTTTAGACTTTTTGAGCTTTTTCACTGGTTGTGAACACATTTCTGACGAACATCGGAGAAACACTTGTCACGATATTCGGAATACCTTATGAAAGGTGCAATAGGTACAGTAAAGTGCAAATTTCATATCTGAAATCAGCAACCTTGATTAGCCCGGTACAAGAGTTTTTGGCTTGCTTGGTTTTTTTGAAGCAACATATCGCTCTCAAAAACCTAAAATCCTTGAAGTGCTCTATATTGTAAATCTAAGCTAAGCCTCGCTCTAGAGAATACCAAAAGTTTGCTGAAAGATATCAAAGCAATGGAGTTATTAGCGATAAAATAGTGTGCACAATTTTTTGGGACACCTTGTATGTCCCCCGTATCAATCGACCGACGTTAGTGCACGGCGCCGAACGGGCAGCTCTGTCGGCATACACCCCCTCCCCCTCCCCGCCAGCCTCCAAGATGCTTGCTCACAACCTTCTCTTTCAAGTCACACCAGCTCACGTCTTTGATAGATTTTGACAGTAGATATGGCTAGAAAAACATACACAGAAACGCACCTGGAGAGATGTCTTTTGGCTCGCTAGACCAAAGTCTAGTACCTTCAAGATACGACGCTGAGCAGTTTGCAATGAATCTGAAAGACTAATATCAGTTGCTTGCTCTCAAATAACTTCTCCACTCAGCTTTTTATCGTAATTAAAACACAATGATTGCGCCTGGAGTCTTCGTTGTGTCGGCGCCGTGCCAGCGCAGTGTGCGTGCTGACCGTACGACTCCGTCGGCACTCCGGCATTGCGCTGGCACGTGCAACACTGGGCGCAGCCCAGTATTGCACGTGCCAGCGCAATGCCGGAGTGCCGACGTAGTATATCGTGCATATTTAAATCTTGGATATTGCAAATCAAATTTTTTACCCTTTTCGCTACAAAATTTGAAATCCTCACAAATATAATACACAGAGTCACTGGGTCGCGTTGAAGGTTTATGCAGTCCTGAACAGTCTCAAAGACTGTTTAGAGAGCTGAGGGTACCAAACGGCATTTTTTTTCATGTGGCAAAAATGATGGATTAGAAACTAGAAGCGCTTACCTTTCATTCCGGTCTATCGTCCAGTTGGCTGAATTTTTTTGCCGTTTGTTCACCTAAAACAGAAATACCCGAATGCAAACCTAGATTTGCAGAACGACGTAAAATGTTTTTCAGAACGAGGAAAAACACAAAACGATGCTATGACACGCGGATGGATAACAAATCCCTTTATCGGCGTCATGTCATGGCTTGCTAACTTTCTCCTTTTCCACACAAAGCAATGAAATTAAAGATGGACGAAAATGGACGACATTATCCAAAAACACTGGCACCCAGAAAAACCCTGGTAAAACCCTATGCAATCATTTGTCCCTCGTTTGTACTGGAAACTTGTTCAAAAGAATAGGCAGAAGTAAAGAGAGTCAAAGAAAGCAAAAGAACGAAAATGTGCTCGTGCCTTGGGAGACAGTTCGATGGGGAACGATCGACTCGATATGGATTTGATCTGCTTTCTTTGATGTTCTTACATATGTATATGCTCTGGAAATAAGTTCATCCGGAAATTGAATTCTGTAAAATTATAGGTTTCGATTTTGAATCATATTTTGATCTTCGACGTGATTAGCACAATTATTTCAGCCTATCAAATATACCGCAACTTCGTCAAATGTGATAAGCTGCCACGCAGATTCTCCTAATTTGTAGCACAGATTTAGGATTAGAAAGGATCAGTACTAAGATTGGAATCCTTTCATTCAGATTAAAATTACTTCTCCTAATAGTTTCGAGTGCCATTCTTTTCACTTTTTTACTATAAACGATATCGAATGTTGTTGAATAAGTACCAATTTAGTTCAGATTGTAACTCACTAAAGATTAATTTTTGGCCTTCTGCTACGAATAAAATTTGTGATATTCATAACAAAATAAAGTGTATATGTATACAGACTGCCCTTTCTTGAAACCTTATGTTTCAGCTCTCCAACTACCACACTACAAGTATATTGTACAAGTCAGCATTGGAGAGCAGCGAGGACAAGGAATGAAGTGAGCTTTTAGTATTTTTTTTTGTAAATTTCAAGCATCCATGAGAAAACTCAGTTTGTCATTTCCTGACTTTCTTCTTTCTCCATATACCGATACCCTGGTCAGTTTGGACACTGTGATATTTGTTCAGGTTCATGGGCAATCTTTGCAAAGGATAAATTGATTTAATCGTTTTCTCAGATTTGTAGAAATCTTCCAATACTTTTCTAAGAAATTACAATGCATAGATTTTTTGAGAAATTGTCGCTCTTTACTTCAAGCGTTTTAGCATCGCTTCACAATGCGTTTGGGACACCGATTGTGATGGATATGCACAATACATCTACAGAAATGTAAGTCAATTTCTATTCGTTGTTTGTCTTTCGACCGTGGTATTTTCATAGTTTTCATGTGTCTTCACAAAAAAACCCTATTTTCACCACATGTGTACCTGCTTCACTTTGTATCTCTTGAATTTTCATGCTTTTTTGTACATTTTATGGCGTAAAAGTATTCAAATGTGTTCAAATCAAACATTTGATTCGCACTTCAAACCAAACATTTGATTCGCACTTTCAAGGTCCAAATATTATTTTATGCTCTTTTTTTCCAGCTAAACATCATTTCTATTTTGCAGAAGTTCTATTCGCCTTTCTATGCGCATCTAAAAACCAACATAGCGTTAGAAACTTGAGAAGAATTGTCTTTGCTTCTGCGACTATTTAGGAAATTTTGGATTTTGAGAATCGTTTTGGGCCTAAAGTCGCCCAAAGGTCGAAAATCTAGAAAGAAATCGGAGTCAGCCTAGAGCTCAAGCATGGCAATCAAGAAGACTGCCTGTTGAAACATTCAAAGAATTTAGTGATTTATTCAATTACCTTCACTAAAAAATATTTTTAGAACTCGCTATGGTGCTCAATGATCGTGTTCGCAGTGTTTCATTACTGACTTCGACTACCCCAAGCTTTCCGAGGAATTTTTCTTTTTAAATGATTTGAACAATTTCTGTCCGATTTTCTGCAAGCAGACCGTTTGATTTGCCTTTTGTTTTCACGAATTTAAGTTACCAAGAGATTATCTGTGACGAATCCCATTTTCCATACCGATATTAGATGTACTGATCTTTGTTCAGCTTCCTCTACTATGTTTGATTATAGCTGACAAATCGAGATAATCCCAGATTGCCATCACGTATTGCCTTTATTCCGTTCTTCTTGTCACAATACTCAACCAATCCAAGTTACTACTCATATCCATAGAATTCGAATGTAATACTACAATGCAATTTTTGTAGTTTATCTTTGAGACATTCCCGTTAATTCATGTCAGCTGGATATGGCATTATGAAGAAATTCATTGACTGATGTGTAATGTTTGAAGTTGAGAATTCCGTTTAATGCAACTTGTGTTCAATTTACAACTACTTTTTTACCTTTTCTTGAATAACTGCTTTGCAAGGACATTCTTTTCCTCATAAGTGCAAATTTTCGGGTGATCATCGATTCGATATGTATTATTACTTTTACTGATTAAGTGGATGTGTAGCATATAAATGAATATAACAACTTTTATAGGCGTTGCAGTAAACAAAAAGTAGTCCAAGTAGTGCGTACAAATCAAATTTCACTGCCTGAAAAATGTTCTTCAAGTTCAAATAGTAATTTTCTAATAACAACCAACACAAATTTTTGTACTCGTACTCAAAATAACTGCTCGTTTGGAATTATTGAGAAAGAGGAGGCACATCTGAGTGAACAGTTTGTCTATCAACATATCCAAACACAATGAACACATCTTTTTATTATCAAAATCTTGAAAAAAACAGAAAGAAACCGTAAATCATGTATCAAACATTGGAGATCACTTCAAACAAGTGCAACGCCAGTTTCACAAATCGTTTAACTAACAAGTGAATTAGTCTTACAATAATGATTTCAATTGTTTACGAGAAGTAAGATGGCATTCTTGATTGATTTTTGAACCGATATGTATAAACAGAACTACAATCACAACGCAATAGAAATACGCAATGTGTGCAAATTGGAGCGGAAAAAGTTATAGTTTTCATTAAAATCACCGTAATTTATAATGCAGTACTACTTTCAATTCTAACTTACAATTACAACAAGAAAATTCCACAGATATTATAAAACCAGCAAAAACAAAATTGACAAAATAGCGCGCGAGATTACGGTAGCGAGAATAAAAGCAAAAGCAGCTATGGATATACATTTTTCTTGTATGCTGCTTTTAATTGCTTAGACTTTAGTTTATCCCTGCAAAAAATTCCCTGATCACCATCAACCATGCCCTTCCAAGTTTTTCGTGCAAAAATGGCCGGCTATGCTTGGGTTACGGCGAACTACCACTTCGCTGCGGGACCCATGCGAGGAATTCGGGGTTGATAGACGGATTAGATGCCCGCCCTCTGTGTCGCGATTACTCACATAAAATAAACTAATAGGGATAGTACCGGGTATTTTAGATACTGCAGTGGTAAAAGAGCAGAGGGGTGCCACTAATTCTTCCACTTACCAGGTCTTACTCTACCGTAATCTACAGTAAGGAGACCATGCGGAAAAACCCGAACCTTTTCCACATCTCAAGACATATTGTTTAAATTCTACGCTTTTGGTTTATATCTACCATCTATAAAGCTTCAACCGTAATTTCCACACGTTCTATTGTTTGATAGCATAAAAGCAATATGTCGCAACCTTAGCGTTCGTGAAAAAAAAGTGCTAAACAGGTACAGCACAGAGAAAATCTGTAAGTGTAGGAGTGAGGCACGGGTCTAGTAGCAGCTCTTCTGGAGTTATGCGCTGGTCCGGATCTGTAGCCCAACATCGTTGCATTAGTTCGTAGATAGGTTTTGGGCATGATTTTGGCATTGGGGGTCGCATTCCTTCAACATTATTGGTTTTCAAAAACATTCAAAAAAAAAGCTGGGATCCTAACCTGCCATAGCGTAAGAAACCATCTCAAAGTTGTTTAGTTCTGCAAACGGTAATTCTCCATAGCTGAATACTTCCCACATGGTTACGCCCAGAGCCCTGAAACATGCAATTATTACACGACGAGCTAATTGTGATATTCGGTTTTTTGAGAACTCTAGCACTGATGATGTAAACACACTTTTCATGAAATTAGTGAAGATAAATGCACTACGGCACTATAAAAATGTCCATTTCACTGTGAAAGGATTTCTCATGTCTTTTAGTATGAAAAAACTTGTAAATTCGGCAAAAAAGCTGGCTGAGGAGACGGTTACTTTACTGGCCACTTTACTTTAGACTACAATACGGTAGCAGTTCGCTGAGGGACCTGCGCTTGCGAGGCGGAGTAAATAGCCGAGTTTGTCGCATCCCCTCTTCGTTCATGTCATCACAAGGGTTGAGCAAGAGGTCAGGCAGAAGCTCTTCATAAACGACCTCCCCCCCCCCCCTGTGAAAACCCCTAAAGACCCTCCGCTTTACCTCCAAGTCCTCAGGGTGTTATATTTTGAAGAAGACCAGCCTTCAATGCAGGTTTCTATTTTTTGAAATCCGTAGGCCCGACTTTCTGCGATACAACCACACACAGCTTGACGGTAAGTTTTAGATCTGGATAGTCCTTTTTTCAAAGCTATAATTTTCACAGAGATGGAGTGTTTCGTTCCAAATTTTCAATATAGCAAGAGGAGGCTCTACGCTCAATACTTATATCAACAAAAGGGGCGATTTCTGAATTTTGAACGCAAGTTAAAAGGGTCAGGCGCAACCCCTCAAAGGCTCAGGCGGCTTGACCTTTTGAGGGGTTGCGCCTGACCCCAATAACTTTATTTCCGAAAATGCTTTTCTACCCAAGTTTTATGTGATTCGTTAGCTCAACCCTCGAAGATTCCACAGTGAGTGTTTGAGCTTGATTCGAGTTGTTTCTGCCTTGTGCTAATCCGAGGAGTTGGAGCACTCAGCGTGAAAAACGCGCCGGTTAGAATTTTGGCACCACTTTTTAGGTAAAGATAAAAGAGATGAAGATTTGAATTGTGGCTAAAAATTCCATTGTGGAAACAATCAGTATGCTGTTTATGACCGTCATTCCTTCATGTGATCGCGATATCCACCAGACTAACGCATTTCTTCTTCACCTTGCAGTATCTCCCCAACTTAACAGATTCGATTCTTAATTACGACCCCCCCCCAGTCTTACCCTCAATACGACCCCCCAGGTCGGGCACGCCTGACCCCACGCTCAACCCTGGTCATCACCATTATATAAAAAAGTGCACATCACCTTATGAGGAAGCCTAAAGTCCCATGCAAAAGAAGGCGTGCGATAATCGTCCGCCTACTCTGCGCCGCTCATGTAAGTCCTGCAGCGAATCACCTTACCGTAAACTATAGTAAGGTGTTCGCGCAAAAGGGTCCACGAGGCCGGATAAGGCCAAAAGGGCATGCAAACAGTGACTACATTCATTTTGAGATCCACAAGCAGAGCATGTAAAATTCGTCTCAAAGATAATAAAGAGAAAGAGATTGTGAGGATTGCAGCAAATAACTGATCTTTTTTTCTCATGGCTAACTTTATATTTCATAAAACCTACCAAACATCACTACTTGTGCTGAATCTGTGATCGCTGATGGCTTCTGGTGGTAACCATCGCACAGGCAGTAAGCAATGATTCTGCATACGGTAATAGTCGGTTTGCCCGTACAATCGTCTCGACATACCAAAGTCGGAGATCTTAACATATAAACCATAATTGATATATCATATCTAATGAACAAACCTTGATGGTAATCGGTGGTCTCTGCGTTGCTAGAAAGCATCGGAGGTCGCTTTCGCCACTAACCAAACAATTTCTTGCGGCTAGATCCCTGTGAACAATTTGTTGCGTGCTGAGGTAGCACAAACCCGTTACTATCTGAAAATATATGGGGGTTTAAGCATTATACACAGTGATAACGATATTTACCTGTCGTACTATCACTTTGAGCTCATTTTCCGTCAACGCTGGCGGAAATTGCGAATAACTTGCTGAAGTCGGAGCTCGCGCTCGCAGATATGATCGTAAATCACCTGAGACAATTTCTTATAACTCAAATTTAGATTTTTCGTATTATGTTTTCACACATAAAAATGATGGTCAGCGTCTTACCGATGGGGGGAGGGGGGGGGGGGGGGTGGTGGGAGCGGAGGGCGGTTTTTGAAAGTTACTTACAACACTTCGTGCTAGAGACTTGTTCAGAATAATTCAAAATGTTCTAAAAACTTAATTTAGCCTGTAACAGAATTTCTTCGGGACCTGGTTGTCGCCACGCCCCTCTTCTGGACCTTCGGAACTATGGGCACGCGAAAATTTCGGAAAGCATCCCCATAAATTTTCCAGTGTTCCCCGAAAGGAAATCCTGGGACCGCCGTTGATCATGGTACATATTTTTAGCTTCTGAGGAGTTTGCAAGTGTAAACGATTCAAATGAAATCAATCCTTTTCAAAAGGTGTTCGCACTTTATATACATTTTTTAGGCATAGCCGTTGTTAACCTGCATCCAGAACTGCCCGTGCCAGCGCCGTGCCACTAAAATGCTGGCGCCGTTTCATAGCAGTTCCAGCGCCACGCCGAAACGCCGATGGATCAGTGCGTAGCGTCGACGTGCGGCACGACATTAGTGCCCGACACACGGGCAACTTTGGAAGCTGCATTCATTAATGAATTTAAGACCGTACCCATATTCATTCTTTCAAACACCAACAGCAAGCGTGGACCATCTCTAGTCATACCATAGAGACGAACAATATTCGGATGTTCAAGACGAGACAAAACAGCCGCCTGTGAATAAATCTATTTTTGACACTGCATTTGGTAGGATTATTAGATATTTGTTTTGTAAATAACTATATTAGTGTATAGATGCCCACCTCTTTTTCCACATCTTCATCAGCTTCGATAGCTTTTATAGCAACTGTGCGTTCACCGGTTTTCTCCCAAGAGCCACAGTAAACTTCGCCGAAAGCACCCTAAATGCAAATAAATTTTTCGCAGTTCACGGGCTTGAGACCAGTCTAACAGATTGGATAAAGTATTTCTACAAGGTTTTACTTTTAACAAAAACCAAAGTATAATTTTGACGTGACAATCACTCTTACTGCTTTTTTGTTCTTACTTTATTTATCAAACTAATTTGTCCCAACTGTTGATGTCAGGACCTCCTAGTTCATGAACAACTGACCGCCCCAGCAAACTCAAGGAATTTATGCATTGGAGGTTCAAACATGCCGTTCACAAAGAAAAATTTCCATTCCATAGTCTTCCATCCTCAAGGCTGAAGGCAGTGCCCAGGCAATAAATTTGAGTTACGTTAAATGAATGAGGTATCACAACTAAGCCATCGCCCAATCGAAGCGGACCAATCAGCGCCCTCGATTACGGTAGCTGGACCCTCTTGGAGAAAGTACGGTCCGACCAAAAAGTTACAGTGAAGTTCCTCAACCACGAGTGATTTCTATAAGCCACCGCTTGGGCAATGGCTCCCATAGGGCATCCCAATCCGTACATAAGAAATTTCAAATATTTAGATTTTGCTGGACACTGCCGTTCAGGGATTTTTGGTTTCTTGCTGTAGCCGCTTTGCCCTTTTAGACGCCTCACTGATCACGAACAATTGGAAAAATGAGTAAATAACCCCAAAACAGGAATTGTTTGCTATTTTATTCAAGAAGTGTGCTGCTGTTTGGTTGAAGCTTGACTTAGTACGTGTCTATGTTTACCCTTGTGAAGGTTTGTGCTAATCACTACCATCATTGTTGGCTATATACGTCAATGCTTGATTAGTTTCTCTTCACTACGGCGTTAATCAACAACTGATGATAGCTGCATCTCATTATTTTGTCTATTGTAGGTCTAAAGCTTCAAAGACCCTAATCGAATTAGACTTTACGAACAATACTTCATTAGCGAAATACATTAAATCGTGAGTGTTCTTCAGAGTGGTTCTGAGCAGAAAGCATCGATCAACAAAAGTGCCGCAGTGCAGTTAAATAACTAAGAAATTTTGGATCGTTCTAAATCAGTATATCGAATGTTCACAAATCTCATATGTGAAAATGAAACGTAAAGAGACAAGGCGGAGGGGGTCATTTTGCGCGTGCAACTGTGGTCTTGCATGGAAATACCGTAACAGCAAAAGGTCACATCCGCCGAAATTCTGATATTGAAGGCCATCTCCATTTAGGTGTTTCTTAATTTCATTTACCATCCATGAATATAAAATACTTTTTTGAAGCTTGTTCACTACTTTCCATAATCTAATATTAGAAAAGAAGATGGATTTTGCAGAAGACGTAGAAAATAATTGAAGATTTGCAACAAAATTCATTTAAATACCTTTCCTATCTTCTCGTGTACTTGAATGGTGCCCAGTTCTATAAATGGTATTATTTGGCCAGAATAGTCCGATGATGAAAGGGAAGAGCGTTCCTCTGAAATATCTAAAATAATAGTGCTAGTAATAATAAAAGTAGTAATGTGAGCCTCTTTCCGTAAGGCTTACCCAGTCTTAACAAAGTTTCTTCCGTAACTCGACTAGTCCGCCGGGATATGACATGATGGAGTGATGCTTTATCACGTAAGAAGGAAATCTAGAATGAATATGGAGAGTAATGGAGCAAATCAATGCATTTTGATCACCTTTTTACAACAATCGTGCATGATTCTTATCCTGAATATCAGCATCGATAACAAGAAGATGAATATGAGAAATACCAGTATTGGGAGAAACAACGAAGCCGAATTGGTGATTGGAGGATAGAAATGTGACTGTAATCAATGAATTTAGATTATATCTGCCATCCTCTATTCATATGTATAAGCCGCAGTTTGTTATTTTCAAAGACGAGCGCATCCGGGCCTGTCGCTACGCATATGCCTCTGCGAAGCGGTCACCTTCAAACAAAGCTTCGTTTTTTGCAGGCAATATCCGGACTGGTTATCCGACTTCTGTGTGTACTGATTGGGAGGCCCCATCAAGAAATCGGCGTTTCATAAAAATTATTCGTGGCGAAGACATTCACCTCCGAACTCTAACCCATACCGTATCCAAGAACGCTGATTGGTCTGTTCGCGAAGAGTACGGTATACGCTGAGATTTAGAGTTAGGTTTCTCGATCACAGATGATTCATACGAAGTGCCGCTTGGACAGTGGCTCACTCAATTAGTATTCACATAAAAAATCTGGGTACCCAAATGGCTGAAACCCCGGCCCTCAATGCGCCCGCCCAAAAAAATAGGTGCTAAGTGGACGCTGGAAGCACACATGTGACGCATGAATTCTTCTACAATCGCTTATAGCCTTTTCTACAGGATTACAAATAACAAATTTTACAAAAGACTTTACAAATTCAATTACTGTACGAACTAATCAATTACATACAACTTCACGTCACAGTTTTTTGAAAACAAAAGAACAAATGCCTACGTGATTTCCTGGATGGTTGATATGATTATGTGTCCGGAAACAATTTGTCGTAGAACAAACTTCAAACGAGTAGTTTCCTGCAGGATGATCAACTGGACAGGTGAAGCACGCAAGCGTAAAGATAGAAAACACTTTACGATGGAAGAGTGAATGCCTGGAAATCAAAAGCACTAACATTTATCTTCGAACAACTCACAACTCACCATTTATCTGGCCGAACTACTAAGCTATCGAAAAATTCAACAGAATCATCTTCAGATAACAAATGGGTTTGATTTCCATCATCCCCTTCGATTGTGAGGTTGAGAGGTGAGATAGGCCATCCAGAGATGATCATTCGAATCGAATCATCTCGTTCCTCAAGCCGAGCACGAATAGGAACCCGTACTCGAAGCTGGAAAAGTATTTATATTGGGTTGGAACGTAAGTCTTGCACCAAAATTTCCAAAAAATTCTACTCAAGTTGGTCAAAGCAGTTTCAGTCTACATAGTATTTTCACATTGTATACAATCTGTAAGTAGTCTTTTCCGTGTACATTAATGATTAAAGGCTACTGCATGACGAAGGCGCAGAAGCCGTTTTAGCTGAGCGGGCGCGAATGCGACGCGCGCGAATCTTCACCTTTGTAAATCTTGCGCCTCATGCGCTCTGCGACCAATAAAGCCGCGTTCGCGCCCAAAGATATTACGCCTTTGTCAAGCAGCAGCCTATATAATCCAAACGATTACAAATCTCGAATATATAAATTCGAAAATTACAACTTCAGAGATGCCCTATCAGCGCTACTTATCTTAACAGGGAACGGTACTTGGTGACCCCTGCCATTCATAATGGTTTGTATATCAAAAAATACGCCTTTTAATGCTGGTTCAAATGCTCTTTTCCATGTATGCGAAACGAGAACCTGGATGGAATTATATTTATTTTTTCAAAAATGAATTGCGCTATTGTGGAGGGTGAAAATCAATCATTGGAAAAAATTTTGCATTCCTCCTCAAGTGCTAAATATGATTTAGATAGGTATAAGTACAACGTTACACCTTACAAGATTCTCCTCTCCAAGATAGCTTCAAACGGTGAAATAGATCAAATTCGATGATTTTACCAAAAAATACGCAAGTTTTCGACGAAAAAAGGTTCTAACTGACTTCATATGATCGTTTCGCGGATTTCGAGCGAAATTTAGAACCAGCGTTTTGAGGTGCACCTTATGGTATACATCGCATTCCAAATGGCCGGGGTCACCAAGTATCCTTCCCTTGTTAGTTGAAAAGCGCAGACTATAAAACCCAAATAAAAAGTAATTCTAGAAATTTCTGAGCCTTTTCTGTGCCAACCGGAAGCCTCTATGAATCGCTACGAATCTCGAATTTGTTTTACCCAATTTTTAATTTAGTAAACCTCTGATACATATAGTAAAATACAACATTAATCCCAGAAAGGGCTATTAGTGATTAGATGGTGCTAATTTCTGCAGAAAGGTTATGCAAAATAATAAGCTCAGCAATCGTGATTTGAAAGTCTGATTTCGAAAGCAGTATTACACCATCCTTTAACGTCGCGCTGTTCTATTTCAAAGTTCATTTTGCACAATCCCCACTCAGCAAAAAGTTTTCCCACTTTGTGAAAGACATCTTCAGATGCTTCACTTCCAACACCTGTAAAAAAGCCGAATAAGGAAGTCAGCAATCTGAGTTGCTATGGCAATCACATAGCTTATTAGAGGTGACAAGTCACGCTGCAACTATCGTTACGTAATTTTGCACACAACTATGCTGGAAAAAAATATTAAAGATTTTTTCCAGGATTTCTTTTCGGGTTTCACCAGCACTCAAATATTTCGCACATAAATAAGTAAAGGTAAACTGACCTCGACTGAAACCATCAAAGGATGTTCACAATGCCAACATATGACCCTGATGGTCCCGAGGTGTTCTTCCGCAACAGGTTCAATTACCAACTTCATGCTCGTGTTGGAAATTACTTCGGTGAAATTATGACTGAGTTCCGGTGTGTGCAACCATGAGAAGTATTGCCTAAAGAAAACCAGACCATGGCGCTGAAAATACTGCACACAGTGAGAATTTTATGAATGATTTCAACAAACATTCTCCCACAAATCATCTTAGAAACATAACCAAAATTAGAACTATCCATATGGCTGTGCTTTCGCTCGATTGTACTAGATAGCACACTTTTTGCACCAAAAAAAGTGAAGAAATTCGTTTTAAACATGCTTCAACAAAGTATCTGATTTAGGGAATATGTTTTCTGGTACGTATCAAGGTAGTATTTTATAATGTATTTTGGAAAAAGCAATTCGGAATGAAATCGATAAATCAAGTTAGAAAAATCAAAATTCGTGAGTATTCGTAGAAACAATCAGTCACTATTAACATTTTTTTCATAAAGGTAGGTCATTGAGCCAAGACCAAAAATAAATTCAGATTTTAGTAGACGTTTTAGCAATTTTAGCGACCAAAATACGAAAAATCACTTTTTGAGTAATTCTCTTAATCAGGCCAACAAATAATTCAGATTCAAGCACATTTGGAAAGCGAGAATTTCTCCCCTACTCGAAAATAAAGGAATTTCAAAATTTTTGGAATGAATTGTATAAGATAATTTACCGAAATAATCCATCATCCCAACATGCCATTTCCGCTTTCTAATGCAAATATATTCCTTGGAAAGAAGGATTTCTGCAGGTTTGCAAGTTGTACGAAAAGACAGGTGAATTCTCATGTTTATTTAGATTACCCCATTCCTAACCACTGATTTTCTCTTGACAGAGCAGATTCTTACTCTTCGCTGCAGATCCCCAAAAATTTAATTCTAGGGCAGATCTAGTGCAGAATTGTGCTAAAGTACAATGTGATAAAAAAAGAACGCTCCAAAACGAAAAAGTTGCTTCGTCACAGTTATTTTCGACGTCGCACGGAAATTAAAGAAGAGGATTCAATTGCAAAAGTACCGTATAGAAAAGAATCATCAAAGCTAGGAGGAAATCAAATTTTTATTTTTAGTAGTGTTGTATATGGTATATATGATGGAGAAATGTATAGATGTTAGATTTATAGAAGAAAGTAGAAAAATAGAACTACGCAGAAAATTGTAATAAATAAGCGAATTTTTGAAAATACAATGAACCACACCAAACTAGAGTCAATCTACTAGGTGATACATAAGTCTTATACCAAAAAAATTAAAAATTCTTACTCTTTCCTGACTTCGATGACATCTCTTACTTTGCTATATATCAATTAGAGAAAAATCTTGCACATTCTAATAATAATTGGAATAAAATACGCTACTGCGATATACAAGGTGCAAGCTGGCAAAAAGGAACATCTTAGAAAGTTTGCTTTTTTGAATTTCGCTCGCTTAAGCTACTGAATTTCTTGAATTTTTTTATTTGACTTTTTAACTCAGATCGAAAAACGCTCCTATCTTTGGTATTAAATAGAGAAAATCTTGCACACAAAATAACTAAACTAAAATACACTACTGCGATATTATCTACGGTAAGATACAACTTTTATTTTTTGAACGAATTTTTTTATATTTTTGGTGCAAGACTTATATATCAATTTAATACCACTGATAATTACGATTTCCGCTCAAACCTTCCGTAGAAATAACTACACTCACTCGAAAGAAAATAATTAAAACAATAGATAGCCCAAAGGTAAAAGGCACTGTCAGATCATACATAAATTTTAATGTGTAGATTTGGTATTTCATTAGTAAAATTTATTATATAATTTTGATAAGGCGCTAACAAATCAAAAAAAAATTAGTGCCCATGTGTAGCAAAAGAAACAAACCTTTCCGGAAAATCTTCAACAGTTGCAGCAGAAATATTGACAATCAAAGTAACATTGTCACCAGGTACGCATTCAATAAAAGCTGGGGCTAGAAGATTTCCCCAATCGCAGTGTAGAAACGAGCATCTGTACGATGGCGGTAGAATGGGTACCACTGAGAAAGCCACATTATTTCTTGTGGAAATGATCCATTCATTACGGCAATTACAGTCAAGGGGACAAGTGGTGAAATCAGCATGTGGGGTTTGTCCTTCGACATAGAATTGCTGCCATTGAAGGTTGGTTAGGTTACATTGGGTAAGCTGGAGGTTATGGAGGTTTGAAAAGTGCTCGAGAGCGAAAGGGGGCAAGGGTTTGTCGCAGAGGAGTTCGACAGTCTCGATGGCGGTGGAGGTGGCTGCTTCTGCTGGAGGAGAGCACTGTTGCAGAAGTAGGGTATAACCAGCTATTTCGGAATCATTGACGAGTTGGAATGCATCCAAATCTGTGCAGGACACAACTGACAAATTCGCATCGAAATCACATGAGTGAGCTGTGTGAAGTAGAGCCAGTAGCAGGACAATTAGCATAATACCATATCATTTGTCGAGCATCACACACACACACACTTCTCAGCAAAGTCACTCTCTACATAGGCTGTCCCGAGCGGAATTCGCAGCTCGTCATGTAAGAAGTGTGTCGAATGTGCATATAACAGCTCAGGGGCGAATGTGATGCCTGCAGAACGTCGTCACAGCAGCACAGCTCTGCCCCCGCCCCCGTCCCCCCGTCGCATTCAGCGCATAACTGAAATCGACACACGGGGCGGGATTTGCCCCGGCACTCATTAAGCGAAGGCCTTTCAATGCCCCGAGCCCCCGGCCGACGATGTCACCGCAATCGCACGTGCGTGTTCCCACGCTGAAACGTGCTTGCTGAGTGTGTGGATATGTGTCCAAGCTCATAGACTCCCCGATTCTCATGTCATTGCATCTGCAAACAAATCAATTCGGTATCGGCTTCTTGCAAGCCAGGTGTTGTTATTGCAGCTTTGAGCTTAATAGGGAAGGTATATGACTCGAAGTGGCTTACCCCAGCAAAGTGTATACCCATAAGGAACGCCTTGAAATGTTGATCACGATTATGCTTTTCTTATCTGGTTAGGGATTCACTGAACGAAGTTACATGCATTTGTTTGGTCTCCAATGATACGTTTGGTAGCTTATGTATTGCAGGACTAAGGTAGCAGAATTGCTTCAAAACTATTCCCATCAAATTTTTTAAGTACAATAAATTTATCTCAGACGAATTTAGGACATTTATTCACAACTTGACCATGCAATTTGAAAGCAGAAAAATGCCCCTAACTTTGTACAGTAAACCGATAAGCAGATATGGAAGAATGTTTTGAAAACAGCCCTTAAAGGCCTTTCGACTAACATGATTCTCATTGGGAAAGCCCATTTCGAGTTGAATACCTCACCTTGTTAGGAAAATTACCTCAAAAATTCAATGAGATAGATGAAATATTACTCAAGGTACCCTATTTTTGCAAAAACAAATGATTGTATTCTGAACAACAAGCGTCAAAACTTATTAGTAATAGTGACATAATCGAATAACGAACAGACAAAGTTACATTAGAAGTAAGTAGTTCTTTTAGGACTGCCCTAAATTGTGAAAGTTCTTGGAGAAGTATTCCGCTTCTCATTAGTTTCTCCAAGATCCATAACTCTATCCAAAAAGAATCCTCACAGTTCTCGCCCGGTCTTGGGACCACTATGTTGCTTGGCTCCCTTCCGTTCATAAACTAATTTCAGAAAAGTCGAACAAAACAACCTGATAATCTGATTAGTATTTACGAGCCGCAATGAGGTCAAACATCCTTTTTCTCATGCTTAGAATATTTAATCCGAACCTATCATTCCAAAGCTTGCCAATAACTATTTCTGTTGAGTTTCAAAATCTCAAATTAATGAAAAAATACACTATTGAAAATGTAATGCTTTTAGTTGCGATTAGCACAGCTATCAAACTTATCGAACTTGTTGAATAATGCTTAGAGTTCTTCTATTATTTCTATACTGTGGGCCAAGAAAATAACTGCGGAAAATCAATCAAATAATTATGAAGGGTGAAATCTAACTGAAGCGGAAATTTAGACAGTTGATTGCATAACGACAATAAATGGCGATTTTTTAGTAGTATTCAAAACAGCTCAAAACTTGCTACTTTTCAAATTTCTAGTAGTGCTCAGTTCTATTATATCATTATTTGAGCCAAAGTAATAATTTTTAAAAGTTAATGAAATATTATAGATACCAAAAATCGTAACAGAAACTGGAGATTTAGATAATATCCAATAGCAATTGAAGGTAAAGTACAGCTTTTGAAATTGCAAAGCTATTATTGCATTATCAGTGCTTGATTTTATAGATTTTTTATCATTGTTTTTATTCGTAATATTTTTTTTACGTTTTTTAGCAGTTATCATTGTAGCTTGATTAGGGCACCTGCAAGATTTACAAGGTTCTCAAAATTTCATTTTCGTTTTTGCAAGGAATAACAAGTTTGGGAGGTGTGCAGAAGATTGTAGTTCGAAAGTTAGACTTTATCTATAAACAAATCCAAAGCGATGATGTATCGTAAGCTCAAGTCACACTAAACCATAGCCCAAGTCCAGATAAACAGTAAGTACAGCAGCTATATTGAGATTGTGGGACCTTCTTTGCTTTTTCTGGACATACAAGATACTAAAATTGATATACATCTTCAAATGTCTTAATTCTGATAGATTTACTTTCTTGCATATTTTTTACATGGAAGTACTTGAAAACTATACAGTAACTATTCAATATCTAACTGAAATGTTAAGAGAAATTCACAGCAGCTTGCCTTCTTCTTTACCCTCCCTTACAACTGGTTTAAAAATAAAAAATAAATGCTCTAGTGAGCTTAATGCAGCAATGCATTGATTCTTTCTGCTACTATTTTGGACCTTGTTTGGAAACAGAATTTGCACTAGCTTAGCACTTTTGATTTGATGTGAATTCTTGAGTTCCAGAACTAATTCCTTGCTCGTTCAACTCCATTAGCTGTGGGAACAAAAATGGTGCAGTATGTGAGCACAAAGCAGGGTAGATAATAGAGCTAATAGATTGTTAGAAGATAGATAAAAATGATAATAAATTTAGCAGCAAAAACTCACACTTTTGCAGATTTGCTACTTATAAATTGCTCAGCTTTGTTTGTATCCAAAAAATTAACAATTCTTAGAAAACTAGCCATCAAAGAAATCGCAAATATTGCATCGCAGAAGCGCATTCCTTCACGGGCTAATTTCACTAAAAAATTTGTAAATCATATTTTCCACAATTACTTTGCCTCCTAATCTTCTCGTTTTTCTCTTTCACCTCTTAGGAACTCGTAAACTAACCTTGGATCTGCACTCATCTCTTCACTATAACATCATTAGCTTCCGGGAGTGCAAAATGGCCCTGAAGGAGGTCAACCGAAAGAGATAGCAATGTCCTCTGATTCGGTCCATTTCCGTTTTTGCGGACTGAAAGTTCGCATGGATTTTGAACATGAAGCTGCATCTAAATATTATGTAGGTCGTGACATAAATTTAGTTACGCTTAGAGAAGAAAATCTTCATAAATTTCTCCGAAAATTTTTTCTTACTTTTAAACCATGGGAAAGCTTTTCGATTCAACGAAAAATTTGATTTATGAATTTTTTGAAATTTTTTCGAATTATTTTTGCCAGACTTCCAACTTACTTCGTTGAAGGGCTTGAGCTTCAACTCGCTTTCATACTATCGATGATGCTCTCTACTCTCGAAAATCCATGCAAAATCCAAAAACGTAAAATATCAAAGAAAGAATTTTGGAAAAGAAAGAGAAAGCTGAAGGTTAAAGTGCTGTCACGAAATTGCCATTGCATGTAATGTAATCCATTCGTCTAGATGGAAATTGTGCCAGTGGAGAGCCATTTGTCCCTTCTTAATGTATGTCAAATAGCCTTTACCGAACTTTGTGAAATTTTCCGAAAAAAAAGGAAATGCAACAAACCTTATGTTACAACCTAATACAACAGGTGCACAAGTACTCTTTCGAAGATCGCCCATATCCTGCTGATTTATAAGGGCACACATGAACAAAAAATTCTATTTTTTATTTAAACATGCAAGAGAACAAGAACGAAACGCATGATTAATACTTGTGAGTCAACGATTATTATGAATTTTATCAAAATCTTAAAGACACTCCGAGGTGATGCATTGCAATCAGGAGAATAAATTGCAAGAAATCAAATGATAGTAAATACATTGTCGCAAAGGACATACTCATCAATCGATCATTCTACACACTGACTAAGCACTTTATCAAGTCAAAATATAATTTCTAGCGTTTCTTCTCCTTCAGTGTGAAATATAAGCCTATACGGTAAATAATCGAGAGTACTGTCCATGTCGAAAAGAGGCTGATGCCCACCCAATGTCCACCGGACCATGAGTGAGAATAGGCAATCTGTGACCAGACTTGTGCAGATAATATGCAGAGGCAACACTGAAATTTAAAAAATTTGATGTTAGAAAAAGGTAACGGCCGTTTTACACAGCCACCGTAGTGTAGTCCACAGTAGAGCGTTCGCTGCGGGACCGCACGAGCTACGCTAGGCAGACGTTGTTTGCTAACCCTCCGCGTTCTCTGTCATTGCATTACTCACAACAGTGGCGAACCGAGGTCTCCCCCCCCCCTCCAGAAATGAGTCGCGAAACTTTTGAAAGTTACTTATATGAGTTATAAAATTGTGCAACTAACTTTTTTTACATTTTATATAACTGAATAGGTTTTAAAAATTTCCAAAAATACTAATTAGCCATGTAAAAAAATTTTTCCAGGATCGTAGCTGCCGGACTGCTAGAACTTTGAGAAGCATCCCAAAAAAATTCTAAAACAGCATTCTGTTCCCCCTTCCCGGAGAGAAATTCGACCACCACTGTTCAAATCTATCCCTCAGTTATAAAGACTCTGAATAATGACAGAAGAGCAAAGGACCGATCAGTTCGTGCACCTACATGCTCGCATCGGTCCCACAACGAATCGCCACCCTACCGTAGACCAGAGTAGAGCCAACATTAGGGCTCGTTTTGGTACAAAATAAGATTTTGTTCTAACTCACAACAACTCTGCCTTCAACTGCTGTCATTTTGTCAGCCGCTACAGTCCAATGTAGTGCATTTGCAGAAACTATGTAAGATGTTACGAATAGTGCGCCCATAATTCGTCCACAAAGTTCGTGGGACTCGTCTAGTGGCACCGCCACCTGTCAAAAAAGTGTTCACAAATAAATTAAAAAATTGATCTGATGTTATTTTTCAGACGTTCATAGAAACTTGGAAGCTATCAGAAAGTACTTCTCTTACCTGTCTATGTAACAACCATTTTGGAAATGTCAACCATGCAGCTCCTATACAAATCGATGCCATAGCATCTAACTGATACAAGCAGTTTCCTAGCCTATTTCCAGGTACCAATGTCGTCCCTAAATTTCGATGTATTTGATATCTACACTTTGACAGAAGAAAATCCAAGTGTTGCTTCTTATTTATGCAGAAAGGGGACTTTACATAAATTCGTATGTTTATGGTAGATATAACGGTTGATATCGTGATTTTGCGTTGCTGACAACATCTTCGCCCAAATAGTGTGGACATGCGCTAAACGGATAATTTTTAGTGTGTAAGTCATAGGCAACTTGACGATATAAAAAGTCATTTGTGCACGTATAAATGTTGTCGTGACCGCAGGGACACCATATTAACCGTTGAATCTACTAGGCTTCGCGCTTCACATCTATACGAGTCTCCAATATCAATCATAGAAAAAAATCTACGATTGGCTCCTCGAGAAACAATAGTGCACAGCTTGCGGTATGGTACAAATATTTATGAAGTACCAGCATTATAAGGTTACATATTGCATACGGTACAAAGGCCCTTAAGTTCCGTCCGTTTCCATTTTCACTCAGATAACTCCCATTTTTCTCGATGCTAAGAAGCTCTAGGATACCTTTCGATGGAGCAAAGCAAGCCCTACAAAGTGGCCGCCAGAAATTTGCACAGAAACTTTTTACAAACCGAAAAACTCGAAAAATTCACACCTTTGTTTAAAAAATTCTGAAAAGCAACTTGTTCACGCATCTACATTTACATCTTCATTTAGTGCTTTTATGCACTTTTGCTGTATTTTTTTACTGCTAAGTTGAAAAAAGCCAGTACGAAAATATTGCTTTTTTCGGTTTTTCTACGCCGAATTTGGAATTTCTCGAAAACTATCGCTCAAAGAAGGCTAAAAGTTTGTATTTAAATTTCTAAAGACTTGTGCTCCAGAATCAACTACTATAAGCAGTTCGCTTTGAGAAGAATATGCCAAATTTCGCATTTTCTTTAGCGATGGAAAAAATACAGCAAATGTATATGAATTTTAGATGAGGGGTATAGCGTGAACAAGTTAGAGCTTACAAATCTTTTAAACAGAGCTTCAAGTTTTTTTTTCTAGTTTTCCGGATTTTAAAATATTTTGTTTTCGATTTTTACTTGATGTAGAAACAGCTCTGCGCAATTTCGAGAGCCATTTTGTAGAGCTTGCTTTGCTTTATCAAAAGCTTTCCCAAAGCTTATTTGATAGTCAAAACAGATGAGAATTATTGGAATGAAAATCACGGACGGAACTTAAAGGGACAGCTTGATATCAGCAAGAGTTTGTGGGCACCCACATTTTCAAACCGTTACAAAAATAACACTCCTTTTGGTGTACACCAATATTCAAAGAAAAGACCTAATAATGCTGATACTTCACTAATACTCATTAATACAATAAGCATATAGCAGATTTTGGTGTTTTGACCGAATTTTTTTTATAAGAAGAAGGAAATCGTAGAAAGCGCGTAGTATAGTCTCTCCGTTTTTCAGGAAATGAACGTTATATGCATTGCAAGTTTTGCACAAACATGCTAGTTCGTCTAAAGTTTGATTGAGCAATTACATCTGATTACATCTCATTTAGCATACCTCAAACAAAGACTGATAGCAATGTTTCTAGATCTAGGAAGTTGTAGAGCAGAGGAATCTTCTCAGGTTCAAAACGGAAAGGTTTAAGGAGAGATAGAGAAAGATCCCAGCGGAAAAAAATTTTTGAATCCAAAATTCCAAAATAAAGTTACAAGCAAAATTAGTTTAAAATTCGGAATGCTAGAGATCTTTACTGCATAGTTAAATCAAACCTTGCTTGTTACGCATAATAGGTTTCTTTTTCAACCAACGAGGTCTCGAATTTTTTCACACACACACACACCTCTAAATTCAAAAACTCACCAATATGCCATCCTGAGGTAACAAGTAAAACGGCGTTGATGAATAAGCCAGCAAAGAGTAGATATTTTGCAATTTCTAGAAGCTGAAAGAATTTTGTTGATGGTAGAAAATCAAAAACCAAATGCTTAACAAACCAATGGCTCAATGAGTTGTGGCGTCATAGAACGGCATTGAAATATAAGCATAAGGCATATTATACATGGCTGAAACGAGTCAAATACCAAGCCGAAGTAAAGTATAGAATTAAGATGTTACTTACTATTATTCGCAAAATATGGCATACTGTATGAGTTGCCAAATTTGCTTTTCGAAAACGATATGAAACGAAGGCGGCGGCAATTATTTGTCCTCCGATACATCGAATCAAATGCCAGTGTACTCCGTCTGATTTCCTTTTCTAGAATACTTATTTTTCAATTTTAGTTAGTATGCTGCAAGGATATTTTTGGGTTGTCTCAATGGTAAATCCTAATAGACCAAATTGTTTGTTCCTAACAGCCTTAGGGTACTATTCGATAGAGTAAAGCAAATCAACTCGAGCATTGAAGAGCCACCTAAGTCGTTATCAGGGCCCGGCGGGGGTGGCGCTTTCACAAGCTGGATATCGTTTTTGGCCCGAAAAAGCAAAGGGGAAGTCGTATTTTGGGGACGACTTTCCCTTTGTTTACCGATAAACAATACACATATCATTCTTTATTCATCATTCCTTGTTGATGCTACTGTCCTATGAACTTAGATTCCAGCAACGTGAAGATTCTGTGCTCCGATCGCTAGCCTGCCCGCAGGCGGGAATTCAAATCGCAATTCTTGTAAGAGGAAAATAAGAAAATAGGCTCGTTTTCAATGCACATGTAACGATATGGCACCAAATTTGCTGTGTAGTTAGGGGACCATGAGCACAAAAAAAGTGTGAAGAATTATGAGAAACTTACGTGAATTTAGAAAATGGTGTTTTTCGAAATTAGGTAGCTCCCGCGCCACCTGGGAGCCACCTGGGGTGGCTCCCTGATTCCCTTCACATAATTTGCCGGATTTCTTTACATAAATGTGAACTAGGTCGAGAGTATTACTATATGTTCAAATCCGCTTCCAAAACCACCAAGGCACCGCTTCGATACAGCCCCAAATAGGGTTCACAGCGTTATGATCGGCCTCGGAAAGCGCGCTCCAATCGCAATCGGTTATTGTAAAGTGTAAAGTTTCGCAGCTGACTAATAAGTGAGTAGTATCTTAGATATATAAACGTCAAAGTTTGTGCAAATCTTGACCCTGCGTTATTTTATAGATTCCTTTGCGGATGAACCCATTGAGCTGAAACCTTGATGACCCGGGCTGGACCAAGAAAGCCAGGTAGGACTACTATAATAAGCGCTGAGGTCGCCCATCTTATTATTTGTGTATATCTGTTTGTCAGAGACTTACGGGGGTCAAAAATAGGGTCAAAGGGGAAGTCGTAAGAAATTTTGGCTTCAAAGGGGATATCGTTTTCAAAATTCTGAAATGCCACCTCCTGCCGGGCCCTGGTCGTTATCAAGTAAAATTTGGAGCTAAAAACCAGAATTTTTCAACTTTTGAGAGTTGATTACTAGTCCTATCGAATAGTACCCTAGGTCTCCAATTCGAAAAAGGTGCTTCTATAATAACCTAGGGTAAAGAATTTCTCTAAAGTGATCTTATCATGAGAGTACAAGAACTATTTAACTGCGAATACTCTGATACTCCCTACCGTTGAGGATTGACTACTAATTAGGTTAAAACAGGAATTATTATCTGTTCAAATAATGAATGATATGACTGATGGAGTTTGATAATGTGCTTCTGCCTATCAAAATTCTTTCATTGAAATCGGTTAGATAAGGCTGTTGAAATTATTCTGAACAATGATAAAATGTTTTACCCCATAAATATCAAAAAATTTGAAAAATGCGGCTTAAGTTTTGTAGCAGGTAACAGATTCTAAAGAGCTTGTGAGCTTGGTGAGCACAGATTTCACAAAATTGGCAAATCTGATCACTTTCCTCAACGTTTTGGAGAAACCAAAATTACTGCATAAGCTTAGAATATGCTCAAGAAACCCTCATAACTCTCATAACTCTTAAGCACGAAATAAACAGAAGTTCATCAAGTTTTGCTCAAGAAAGTTCTGGTGGTTGAAATTTTACATTTTTGGCTGTTCGGAAGCAATGCTTGCGTTCCCAAATAAATTTTTCTGCCGAATCCGTATTCTTAGAGTCTAGCTTTCGAAACTGACTAGGCATCTCAAAGCTTAGCTGCACACTCAATCTTTGCTTCCATTTGTCTAAGCTCGTTTCAAACTAAAAAAAACCACCGGTTCTAACTCAAAGAAGCTCATTCTAGTGAAAGCATAGTCAAGGGTTGACTTAAAGGATACATAAGGTGCATGGATCTGTCTCTGACAGTTCTGCAAGCAGGGAATTTCAGTTCAATATGAGCAATCAAGGTTACTCAACGCCCAGAAAATCTTTCTGAGAAAACCTCTTACGAGTTATCCATGCTTTATGAGCCAAAAAGTTGAAGATCAAAAGCATAGCCGTAAATTTCTGGCCTTCTACAAGAGCTAATCCTTGGATAAATATCAAATCTAGCCCTCCTCATCCAGGTTTTAATTGTCATATTCAATACTTCTCGATAACAAGCTCTTCATGACTGAAAAATTGCTATTGTACTTTGGCTTGCAGCCAATTACTTGTGCGGGAACAGCTCAGCATTGTTTCGAAGTATGAATTGGTTTTCGATTTCTAATCGAGAGAAAAATACAACAACTGAATTTACGAATCTGATGTGGAGTGTATATGTGTGAGAGAGTAAGAGACCCTTAGAATTCTTTAAACATTTTTCATTATTTTGGTTACCCAGATTTTTTTAGCTTTTAGCTTCGACGAAGATGGTGCCAATATTCAAAATCATCTTGTAGAGGTTATTTTGAGGATATCGCGCAATTTTTTGCGGTTCTGATTTCTTTTGGTGTAAGTCCTATGCTCCATCCTAGTAGAATTGCAATCATTGTAACTCGCAGGATTACCATGAAAAGTCTTGCCAAACGTGTATGTTGTATGTTAGTACATTTTCTAATGTTCTCTTACCTTAAAAAAAGTTATATTTTATCGAAGTAGAACAAAAAAAATTTTGCTTTCGGCCTTTCGTGACTTGCCCTTTGATGATAGAACGTGCGCTAAATAGCTAAAGATCTCCTGGATAAAATGTTACCTACGTCTTAAAATATCAACTATAAGATTTTGACACTGTAAGATTAGACTTTGTAAAATCTGCATTAAGTGCACCAGATAACTGCTTATTTCCGCGAAATGAGGTACAAAAATGTATTGAAGAAAAGGATATGAGTATCCAGGTAGCATAAGCATTTGAGCCCTGATCTATAGCTTCTGTGTTTTTGCAAACAGAGACTTCAAAGAAATAAGCACACGAGCCGACTAGAAATATTAATGCATGAGGTGTAATGGAAAACTACAGCTGAGATATTCTTATACCACGTATAGTCTCAAAAAAATTCGTCTTTACACAGCTTCAAGAGCAAATTCTGAGCGATTCTCGAAAAATGCTTTTGATAAAGATATTGAAATGAACTTTGTTGTGAGCCGTGCAGGATTGTTCAAATGTTTATCTGGTTTAACGTTTCGGCAATAATTCTATCCATGAAGAAAAATGGTGACAATTACTAAAAAAATAGAGGATCTTATATCATCCGTAGCAGCATGTAGCAAATGTAGTAACAATGAACTCTTCCTCCTGTTTACAAGTTCTTGACATTGCTTCCGCTAAATTTTCAGTCTTTCAAGATCTAGTTCACTGATGAGTTTCCATCTAGCGAAACACGAACAAGTTTCTGAATGTTAGACACTTCAGCATGAATGAAAAGAACAGGACTTTGAATGTTGTTATGGATGGAATGAGCGATTGGAACAAAGGAGACACTCGGATCTATGAAAAAACGAACTTGAACTGAGAGAAATTAGGCGAATGCAATGAACAATCAGGTTCTGCAAATAAGAACAAGGAAAAACGATTAGAGTAATTTTGAAAAAAGCAGAACAGCTGCAAAACTTGTTCTTCCAGTGTTTGTTTACCCATTTTTTGCAAATTTTTCCAAAAATAACCCCCACCAATGCCAACGACCATCGAACCGCTCTCATGACCCCAATTTACCGGTTCGACACCTCAATTTGACCAACACGCAACAATGCGCAATTTCGGGTAAAATTGTCACGACCTCAGCCCTCATAAAAGGCCGAACGACGATCTAGACGACTTTGAACTCGAAGTTTACGATTTCGATGAAAAAGGAGAAAAAGATGAAAGTTTTCACGCTGCAAGTGTTTTCTTAGACACCTTGTCTGGCGCGATAATCGTTGTACCTTAGATCGGTGTGCCCTTTGGACAATGGTATGACAACAATCGATTCTAATTGTATAGGGAGAGCATGTTGGGAAAGTTTGAGGCGAAATTGAGGAAATCAGAGAAGAAAAATCATTTTCGACTTCTACACGAAGCTAGAGAATTCGCTATTGAAAAAAAATTCTACAGATAAGGATGGGAATGAATCCGGAGAGTTCTCTAACATTCTAAGAAATTGGGCAAGTTCTTTACATTCACAGATAACCAGTAAGAATACTGTAGAGATACTGTAAGAAAGTTGTAAAAGAAAAATTGCGGCTAAGACCAGGTTTGTAAGATGCCGGAGAATTCATTGTTGAAAATATGCAAAATAGGACTGATAATGGTAAATTTTTAACATTTTAGGAATTTAAGCGAAGCCTTTTACTTACAAAGACAACAGTAAGGATACTGTAAGTATACTGTAAGAAAAACTTACGAATACGAAATCGGCGGCCAAATGTGGAGCGAAGAACAGAAAGAGCCCGACGATGGCCGAGCCGGCAGCGTCGACAGTCAGCGCGCGGCTGCGCATCGCAGGCGAATGACGACGCAAGATGACGGTGATGCGATCGCGATCGCGATCGCGCTGATCGACACCACTTCTGCATCGCGCCGCCGATGCGTCGACGAGATTCTTGGACATTTTTCAACACAAATCTTGCAAGTTTGAATCTCTTAGATTGTAAATCTTGCGGGAAATCTCCATGACACGCATATCCTTAAGAAAATTTCCAAAATCTACCGAATTTTTCCCCCACAACATGCGAATTTTACAATTTTCTCCTTCAACATTCATTTTCTCACCCCCAGCTCCCCGAAATCTCCATAAATCCGATCTATGCGTGAGTGATTCACAAGGTGATGTCCTTGTACGTAGTGTATGACCTTGTGCGCAATAAATACTACGACTATCTGTACTCACTCAACCAATTGTACGCGCCGCCCGCGCCAAATTCATGGTCCGAATCTGTTGCCAGTGGATAAACAAAAACCAGTTAGACATCTAGAATCCGCTTTAATCGTCGTGGTGTCACTTTTTACGTACATTCGACGTAATGCGCAATTTTTTGATGTTTGATGTGTTCCCGAAATGAATAGGTTCTCGGGTCTATTAGCTTTCGTTTTCTTCCAAAAGAAAACACACATGTAACTGCTTTTTTAACTGCCTGCTTTTTGCTTGGCTTTTACAAGTATTTCCAATCTTCAAAACCGAAAGAAGAAGAGAGAACAGCAAATGTTTTCACTTAGTTGCTAAAATTCTAGGGATAATAATCTTATAGAAAGCTAACGAAAGCTTAAATCTTTTCTAAAAACAGCAAGATAAACTTTGAATAATTATTGTTTCGAGCTTTCCTCCTCCAAAATTGACAACTGAATAGAAAATTGCTACAAATGCTTCGAAGAAGCTAATTAATGCAAAGTTTAGAGATTCTAATAAGCTAGAAGTTGAAAACTCCTTTTAAACTTTTAGACCCACGTCCTGAACACTTCAATTTTTCTTCCTTTTTTCATTCATATTTATTCGCAAGTGAATATCATAACAAAGAGAAATGTAATACCCGTAACAAGTGAAAAATGACATCAGAGCAATATGAAGCACATGATAGCACACAAACAAACACATAATATCGAAATCATGTAATATACAGAAATACAATAGAAATTTTGACTAAGATTCGTTTAGCTCATATTAAACGTTCCTCAGGAGGCAGTTTGATCATTGAGTTCATCTGTAAAAATGAGAAATTACGTATACTGTAAAAATGAGAAATTACGTATACATAATATTTTCAATTTTTGCATATTCCTGGAAGAAATGCCGCTGGTGAGCTCTAATGACTGAAGAGTTTGGGTAAATGTGGTAAGCATTGCCTCTACCGTAATCGTACAGTATTGCGACCGTAATTACAGATAACATCCACAAATTCTGTTTTGATTTTTTGTTTCTTTTTAACTTGATTTTAATCTCTAATTGTTGCGTATTCGTTGAAAAAGCGTTGCTGATAGACTGGGATGATCCAAAATTTACGTAAATGCGGTAAGCATTGATACCGTAGTCCTACAGTACTTCTACCGTAATACTACAGTAGAGATTCTCAAATTTTGCTGTTTTTTGGGATTTTTTTGCATCTGAATTTTTGCTAAATTAAAATTTATGTACCTGTAATCGAGCTCCATTTCTTTCCTGATGACTTGGACTGTAATGGCCATGAAGTGCACGTTTACCTCGAAGAACAAAGGCTAATAATGTACATCCGAGGATTGTAAGCACTGATAGCACAGCAGCCATTGGTCCAAGAATGTAACTGAGCGATAGTACTTTGCGTTCTGATATCTGCAAAAATGTTGAAAAAATCACAATGATCAGTTTTCTAGAAAAATATTGCAACATTTGTAGATAACGCTTATCAGCATGGGATAGAGGAAAACATCAAATATGTCACGTTACGGTTATAAAGAACCGTAAAGATCCATCTTTTCACTAATATCATCCTCCATCTTGGAAGAAATTTATTGAATATTCAATTCTACTAAAATTGAGCAAAAAATCCACTCGCACAAAATCATGATAATTATTACCACTGTTGAACATTGTGGTCCGGTGTATCCTTTATTGCATTTGCATTCATGGATGGATGTTTCATGGCCATAGTCGTCTTCCTGAATAGATACAAATGTTGCCAGGCCATTCTAGCAGAGAAATTGGTGCTCAGATTTTATGAGCCAGTCAAACAAGATCTTTTTATTCTTGGGTAGGAACATGAGTCTTGAGTGAAAATTCTAATTCATATGTTTAAGGCTTTGGTGACAATTTCTTTGTCATATTTTTTCTGCTGCATGAAACCAAGATTCAAAAAAAAATTCAGAAATTACAGTTTTTTGTGAAGGCATCCGATCAATTAAAATTGTTTAACTTGAGAGAAATAGGTCACAAAAGGCAAATTGAAAGTAAAATTGAAAATTATTAATACTTTAGCGTCTTTAGCGACCGAAATTTGAAGAGGTCTTATAGAGGTGTTAATATCACTTATACCGTTTGATAATGAGGACAGCAATTTTGGCTTCAATCACTTTTAGTAAGCGTTTTAGTTTTTTCTAATTAAATTATATTATTATATTGAAAGAATTCATAGAAACCGGAAGAAATTACGGATTTGCAAAATTTTGGTGCAAGGGTTATGTTACAGCCTGATATTATACAGTAAGAGTGAACTTGAAACAAAAAAAAAATTCAGCTGATTTCGGTGTAAATTTTGTCAATGGGTAAATTTAACAAGAATCAATTCAAAACTTTTGTTTGGTGAGTTTTCTTATACAGATATATAATTTATAGCGAGTGATCTAAAAAGAGGGAACTAAATTTGTTGCGCATTCAAATTTATTGCTTTCAAATCCGAGTCTGCTTAATCGGCTAATTTATCTCTATCAGTCTTTCTTTAAATGTCAAGATTTCTTACTGTGTTTAACACTTGCACAAAGGGAGAGATTCACTTAAAACATTATGAATTTTCAAAGACTTACCTTGACATTAGGATTCATACATTTTCCATGAACACACGTATGCGTCGTTCTGTTGAATGCATCTGGTTGGCAAGGGTCTCTTATAGAACAACGTCTTCCGATATAACCTCAAAAAAGAATTTTCTTCTCTTCCTTCAAGGTACTGGCTCGGCAGAATGACAACTTTGAGATATTCATCGTTCCGATGCCCTGGATGAGCGAAGTCCAAAACTGTGCTTTGCACTTCAAAAGTTATCAATAACATGCTTTTCAGACGTAAAAAATGATTTTGGGTGGGCAGAGGAAGCCCGCCCCTTTATAGAACTACTGGCTGCTGGAGCCAATAATCCAATTGCCGCCGAGATGGGTACGACGTCTCCTCCCATCCGCACTCCACGAGCCGATCACTCCCTAAAGGGCGGGCTTTCGCCTCCCGCCCAAACAGCAATTTTTACGTCCGGAAAAGCAAGTTATCGATATCTTTTGAAATTGCAAAGCACAGTTTTGGACTTTGCTGATTCAGAGGTCCGAGAACGATGAATAATACTAGTCTGCTTGAAAGAGATACCTACCAGATTCACAACTACAAATGTACCCTCCACGAGTATTTTTGCAAGCACCATGTACGCAATTCGATGGAGATGCACATTCGTCAATGTCCACAGTGCAGTTTTTCCCTAAAATATATTTAATTAACCATTTACGAACTAAGGATGATTCTCAGCTTACCGCTAAAACCAGTGCCATCACATTTACATTCGTAATCAGCCACACGATCTCGGCATTTGGCACCATTTGCGCAAAATCCTAGTGCACATTCGTCAATGTCTGTCTCGCAGTTCACACCTGAAATAGTAAGAGCATGTAGTTGAGTAAATTTTAACTGTAATGCCCTGCGGTGCTGACAACATTTGCGCGTAAAGAAGGGCCAACGAACGCGCTTGCAGACTTAGCGTGCCATAGCCATTCTTTACGCGCAATTGTTGTCTGCAACGCAAGAACACCATGTAGCCGTATTATGCCTAGTACAATAATTGATTAATATCCTTACCAGTAAATCCAGCAATGCAGTGGCACTTGTGTTCTCCTAGCAGCGACTCGCATGTGCCACCGTTAAAGCATGGATCTTCCTTACAGTAATCGATTCGTATCTAAAGCATTGGTCACCTTGTTTCGCTGTTATTGGTCAAAAGAGTACTTCCGTACCTCGCATTTTTTCCCTTCATAACCTTTTGGACAGCTACATGAATGATTGTTCGTTGAAAGTTGCAAACATTCTCCTCTTTCGCAAGGGTTACTCAAACAGGAACCGGGAGTCTCACAGCGATTACCTGAATGTTTTTTATAGCTTTTCCTATAGATGAACGAAGAAATTTTAGGCACTTACCCAGATAGTATTTTCGACAGTGGCATTTAAAACCGTCATTTGTGGACTCACAGGTACCACCATTATCGCAAGGTATCGACATGCATTCATCAACTGGCTGGTCGCATTTAGCACCGCGATGATGCTAAAAATAAAAAAAAAATTTTAAAGAAGATTTCACCAGTTTCCCATGAACTTCGTCCGTATTAAAATATACCAAATACATCAAATGATTACTATAAGGCAAATGGATGTTGCTCATAGCTTCTTTAATGCGAAGTTGCAAGAATACGTCCAAATTTGCTTTTTACCGTATTAGTCGGCAGTCTAAGGTAGGTACACGGTAAGTTAAGAATGTATTACGCATATTTTCAACCTAAGGTTCTAACATAGTTTAAAATAGCAATGGCGTTTATTTGGTAGACCGTAGATTGTTGTTACTATAGAGATTTTGAGGCTGATCCACAGGTTTTGTACCAAAATGCTAGAATTTTTTAAAAATGTTCCAAACAACTTTTCAAGTCATGTGTTATATCTTCAAACCCACAATGAATACTCTATTCAACTATGTATATCAGAAGATTTTTTTACAGAACGAAACCAAACTGTTGAGCGAAAATCATGACTGTTAGTAAAAACCTTATCACTACAAATATCAGGTTGAGCATAAGTCTTGCACCAAAAATCCCAAAACATTCATATAAAAATACCCAGGGCAGCGTTTCAACCTGTGTAGTAATTCATTGATTTTGGTTTATACACTATTTAATCGTATGGATTAGAGATGGCATTCTAAACGCAAAACTTGAAAATAAAAATTCGAAAATTAACAAATTTATCTTAGTTGAAAGCTTAGATTATAGAACTCAATTAAAAAATAAATTTAGAAGTTAGTGAGTATTTCAGCATTCTTGTTGTAGGTTGGAAAACCTATTTCAAGTGTTTGCTTTCAACAGATTCCGAACATGACAATGGTTGACTTTTGCTTCAAGATCACTAAACAGTGTCATTTTAAACAGATTCAAAATCCTAGAGAGATTACGGAATTTTGAAAGTTTTGATGCTAGACTTATGTTCCAACCTAATATTCTGCAGTTAAAAACACTAAGTCGTAAAATCCTAAATAAAAATAAGAGGTCTTAATTCTGAAGATTACGGTTTTCGTTCGTCAAAATCAACTTGCGTTGCTGTGATAGGAAAAATAGATTCTTGTTTCAAACAAATTAAGAAAGGCATGATATTTTCTTTCTGAGGTTTTTGAAAAATTTTCTTGAAGGGATAAATAGTCACAATTATCCAAAAATATTGCTGCGAGAAGGAAACCTAATACATTCAAACAGCTGTTATTATTTTATTATTGAGCAGTAATTCTTACCTGATCACAAGCGCACATTGTTGCATTCCATACAGGCAAGCATTGTCCATGGCTACATGACTCTGCTGTGCATTTATTCGTCACTTCAGAGCAGGTTTTGCCTTCGTATCCTTAACAAAACAATTTCGATAATTGAGCTAAGTAGTTTATTGTAGTTAATACTTTGCTGAATAGCTTATGATATTATGCAGTAGAGAACTGCACATCAACTGAAGTAAATAATCATTCCTATTAGGTTGGTGCAAAAGTTCTTTCCCACCAAATTCAAAAATTCAGAACTTGTTGAATTCTCAACGAATCTGCAATATCCAAATTTTGCTTAAGAGAGTGACTCATGCTCTTTGCACCTGTGCCTGAATTGTTTGTTAATGTTTACAAATGAAGGAGATAGAAGCTCAAAACCAAAATCACTCAAAATTTGAATTTTTCGTGTAGGGTCATAAAAAATCTGAAACTTGCAACAAAAACCGGAGCAGTCAGTATTGTAGGTTCTTTTACAAGCTCTTTCCAACAGTGCAAAGTTTGCGCCGATTGAGCGTCTCTGTGAAAAGTTATGTATTTCCTGAAAAATGCCAAAATAAATCAAATTCGCCCTTTTGTATTGCTTGCTCGAAAATCATAACTTTTCATAGAGACGTTCAATCAGCGCAAACTTTGCACCGTTAAAAAGAGCTGGTGAAAGAACCTACAATACTGACTGCTCCGGTTTTTATTGCAAGTTTCCGATTTTTTATGACCCTACACGAAAAATTCGAATTTTGAGTGATTTTGGTTTTGAGCTTCTATCTCCTTCATTTGTAAACAATAACAAACAATTCAGGCACAGGTGCAAAGAGCATGAGTTCCTCTCTCAAGCAAAATTTAGATCTTGCAGATTCGCTGAGAATTCAACAAGTTCTGAATTTCTGAGTTTGGTGGGAAAGAACTTTTGCACCAACCTAATATATTGACTTAACTGCATTGACAAAGCTCGTACCGTTTATTTCGTACATCAAAAAAGCAGTTTTTGCGAAGGACTTTGCTTGAGCCAAGTTGAATGAAAAACAATGGCGATTCTCAAGCCGTAGCAGTGAAAACACTAATTAGTAAGAACATGGGGCACCATTTGATAGAACAAAACAAAAAGTACAAGATGCTCTCAAGCATTTACAGAGCCCATGATTCACATAGAGTTTGATGGCAACTTACAAAGCAGTCTTACTTCATAAAATTTGACGAACTTTACTTACATGCTTCACAAATCAGTACTGTTTTTGTTCGGTGTCACAAACCTAGAAAACAAACCTTGGGTTTCCCCGTTGAATTATAGTCTAGCCCCAAAAGGTTAAACATATATTCATATGCATGTACATGAGCTAGTATCCGAGAGACATTTTTTGGCTTTCAACCTAGCACCTACACGAAAAACACTTCCATAAACCTTGATAAAGCTCAAAGAAAGACAAAAAGTGATCCAGTAATGTTGTTCTTTCTAGGAAAGTTTTGGTTTTTTCAACTCTCAATCATTTCCTTTGGGAAGCCCTTTAACTTTCACTGTGTAAAGATCTTTAAAAAAAATTTCTCGAAGTCTTGACCATATGGAGCTTAAGAAATTTAGAGAAAGGCGTATGTACATTGCAAATACCACAACTTTTTGAAAGTAACTGCTTTTTTATTATTTAAATTGTTTTCAGTTGTTGAATAGAAGCAAGCATGTGTACATACCGTCATCGCAGGTGCATTCGAAGTCCAACAAATTGCTTTTACAGATCCCATGAGCACAAGGTCGATTTGAGCAGGGATCCGTATACTCCTCACAAAAGCGCCCACTGAAGCCTGGTCTGCATGAGCACATAGTTGGAGATTTGTCCTCCTAGAAGAATTTCAAGGTCATATTTCAAACTATGAGGCTTAGGAATACATACCTGTTTGCAATTTCCACCATTCTGGCAAGTGTTTTCGTCGCATTGAGCGCTATCCTGAAACAAAACATAAAGCGAAGAAATTCTTGGGGATACCATAATTAGAAATGAAGGTTCTCGGACATTTATTATAACGATTACAATGAAAGTAAAGCAAAAAGGTGAATATTTATCTCGATTGGAGCTATTTAGGATTAGAAATTGTAATATATAAATTTAAGATTTTGCCAGATCTCGGATCAACGCTATACTCAAATGCTTACTTACAGCTCAGACATACACGTTCAAACAAAGGCTGTTTGAATTTGGGGCCAAAAATCGCGCAGAAAAGGGGTTTTGAGAGGGCAGACTCCGCCTCTATCAATTACAAGCTCCGCCCACATAAAAGTATCACGCATTTTACAGTGCAGATATCCGAAAACTTTTTGTCTAAACCGATGATAGAGTTCTTTACCCACCTTGAACTCGCAAGTTTTTCCCACAAATCCATTTCTGCATTCGCACTGGAACGAGCCATTGAGCGATGTGCAAAGAGCTCCATTTTTACAAGGTAACGAAGCACATGAATCTATCTCAGTGTCGCATGCCTCGCCCGTGAAACCAGGGTCGCAAATACACCTGAAACACCATATTTTTTGGGCTCTCTATAATGTGAGCTAAGCTTAGTACCTCGCTGTGCCTAGGCCATCGAGGCAGTAGCCTCGGCCACAGTCCATTCCAGCACAGTCGTTCACATTCATTTCACATAGGGACCCTTCAAATCCGAACGGACAAACACATGTGAAAGCATTCCAAAGGTCGCGACACTCGCCACGAACACAAGGTGAGACAAGATCACACTGTGGTGATGACAAACATGTCGTGGCAATCTGTAAAGGACTGAGTTGATTTGATCCCAAAATCAAAATGGGTAAGACCTTACCTTTTTCTTATTCTGGATTGCCCAATGGGTAACGTTGGACGATTGCCAAGTTTCAGATTCGTCATAGAATGACAGAGGAGGTAAATCTCCTACTGTGATGTCTTTCAAGCAGCCTTCGAAGGATGGAATGTTCTCTAGGGCACCAAGATGTAGATTTCCGGATGATACCTGGGGAGGCAGATGGGCGGAGTCGGGTAAGCCTAAATATTATAAAAAAGTTAAGAAAGTTTTAGCAGAAATGGGGTTGAAATTTTTTTCGAGTTTCACAGCTTTGACCAAACAAATCTCATTGCCATAATTCCCTGGTTATATTTTAGAATTGTTTCTACAAGACCAGTAAAAAATGAGGTAAACCCCATTTTTTCAAGTTCTCCAACCTTTTCTCAAATTTCTGATGGCAGAAATCCTACCGTAACTAGCTCCATCGACATGAACCACATTTCCATTTAGTTCTATCGAATGCCATTGTCCGTCAGCTATAGTTTTTCTTATAGGAGTCGCAATCGATCCACTTACAACTACTAATTGGCCATTTGCCAAACTCAACTTCACTGATGACTCCTTGAAGTCCTAAAAGGATTTTGTAAGGTTATAAATATATGGGAATGAGCTTCACAAACTTACAGCAGAAAGTATGTGACCATTACTCGTGTGTGTTCTGATGGAAAATGTGATGACAGACGATGTTTCAACAGGATTGGACATCATGAATGTAACCAGACTGTTTGATTTTAGAGTTACAGGTGATGTGCCTAAGAAATTTTCATAATTATAACTTCATATTTTGCAAAAAAAAACTTTAGCAACTCACAAATATAGCCATCTCCGACATTTCTGCATTCTCCTGATGAACACTGCGAAACAGCGCAATAATCCTTCTTCTCACAATTCTTTCCATAGAAACCGTGCTCACAATGGCATTCAAAATCGTTGAAAGTATTCTGACAAGTTCCGTGAATGCAAAAATTATTTTGGCTGCAGATATCATCCGAAATTGAGCCCTGAAAACTTCAATAGCTTGCAAAATTACAAACAATGGTAATAAAAGCAATGTCGAGAAACTCGCCTCCAAAACATTTTCTAACTTGGTTACTTCTCCCAATGTATCGACATTAAATGAAGGTTGTTGATGTAGTACAACAGACTTGTCGTTAACGCGAATATCTTGCAGCGATCCTGAATTTCAGGGTGTTACAAATTTTGTCCTGTAATGAGAGTCTGTGCGAGTATAACAGAATTTGAGAAAGTACTCTTAAAGGCGTTTTAAACTATTGCTCACATATCAAAAGTACGTAAAACCAGTTTCGTATGAGTTTGTGTATTCGTAATGCTACAGTAATGCTCTCAGGACACTTCCATATAGGACCGCCCGCACGATACTGAGAGGCTAATCAGGTTTGTGAATCCAGCTCGATTAGAGAATAGGAAGCAATCTATCAGGTTAATAAAGGAAATAAACAAAAATTAAACAAATTATTTGTCTCTAGTATTTCACCCAAACAACCCAAATGGGAAGGCCGTCGCATGCGTGACGAGCAGTGGCAAGCCACGCTAGGTTTCTGTACCATACTGTATTGCAAATGACGTGAAATACTGTAACTTACCTTTAAACGCTACATCCGTGGCAAAAGCGTCCTTAGAAATGCCCTGATTGGAGCCAAGCAGCAATTTTTCCGCAAATACAGGATGATCAAATCTGGACTGAATGCTTCCTTCCACATCCAGTTGCCCATCTATATGAAGCTGAAAAGTACTGTACCAGTACTGTACCAAAACGACCGAAAGGTCACTCACCATAATCTGACGTCGTTGTCTATCTACTTCTATAATATGGTCTTTATTGTCATCCACTACTTTTTTTGATTTGAGTTCGTAGACTGATTTGCCTCCGGCACGGGATCGAACTAAAAAATAGAGGTATCCTCGGATTTATGAAGTTAGGTGTTATTTCACACCAACCAATTACATGGCCTTCTCTCAAAGATAAGGAAGTGAACGTAGCCAGTTCATCACCCGATTCGCCAAGGAACAGAATTGTAGCATTAGGTTGGTTCGTTCGAAGAATGAGTTGGGCTTTGGTGGCGTAACGCAGATCTTGCGATAGAGCGGAAGGGATTCTACAAAAATATTGCATATTCTAGGAATTCGAGATGGAAGGAGACCTACTGAATTTCAGCGATTGATGTGACATTGTTATGGCCAAAGGTGCTAGGAGGTAGTGAATGCATGCAAAGAGGAGGCAAAAATGGCGGTTGACAGATACAAGATGAATGTGTCCAGAGATCTACGCATTGCCCTCCATTTAGGCAAGGATTGCGTAAACATTGTTCCGTATGTTTGCAGCCTAAATTTCGCGAAAATTAGGTTAAAAATTGAAAAAAAAAACAATACTCTCATAAGCAATGTTAAGGAAAATCTGAATATCTGAGTTGTCGCGCCCAGACCGTACTCGCTGATTGCTCCGCTCTCCACGCATACGATCTGGGCCAGAGTTTAGGACCAGATTACTTGGCTACGAATGAATCATATGATTTGCCGATTGAACAATGGTTTACTTGTAACTTCACGATCACTTCTAGCTAAGAAACCCAAAATACCAAATTCGCCTGTAAATTGCCTATGAGGGTATGGTAGCTCTCATTTTACCTGAGGTAATGCCTGCTCCTCTGCTAGATGTGGCAAGGTCGATTTCTGCATCATCGATGACCATATCAGCTGCACAACCAACAAAATACTCGGTATCTGATATTTTACCCAGACGTGTAGCGAATACGTCAAATGTAGCCTGTCTAGGTAGAGACTGGAGTAGTAGCTGATATCCATCTTCATTCACGACAGAGATGACGACATCCTGAAAATTTTTAAACAGTTTAAATAGAATACGGTGACAGAAACATCATACATTTTCGCTCTTCTCCATTCGCAATGTATACCAAGTGCCATCATTTATGTTGTAAGGGATAAGCTTTCTGTATGCGGTTCCTTGAATGGAAATGACAAGACGTCCGTCAGTTAAACCGATTGTAAAAAGTCTTTGTCCAAAGATATTCTCGCCGGAAATGACATGTACGGTAGGTACCGTAGTCCTGATTGAAAAACTCAGAACATAGGGTAGAGGACCGGATGAGGACCTGAAAGAGTTCAGGGTCATTATATAATTATTTGTAAACTAATGTCCGACTGCTTTAGCTTACCCAATCATGACATTAGGGCTCTGATGGATGAATAGGCTGTTCTCGTCTAAGGAGGCTACCGTACTCTCTTTACACTTGGGACCAGCAGATCCGATAGGACATCCGCATCTCGTATGAACGTCACCGATCGATATTAGCGGTCTACAAGTTTGCGATTGAGGACATTTGACTGTGTCGCAAACCTGAAACTGGATTTTTGAGGATTTTTTCGATCAAAGAATGAGTGGGGAATTTACCTCTCCCTTTTCGTCACAGTGGGGACCATGATAACCTTGATGACAAAGGCAAAGTGCTCCTGCTGTGGATTCCACACATTTGTCTGAGTGTACACAAGAAAGGCAGGACGTGGCCTAAAATAGGGAAGAACCTAACTACAGCCATTTAATGTTGTCTAAGAAAAGAGCAAAAGTTTTTATAAAAGAAAATTAACCCGAGAAATTTACCATTGGTCCAAGAGTGGTTGCAGTTGTTGTCACAGTTTTGAAAGAGGAAAATGAAGGCGTTGTAAGCTCTTCTACCTTTGGCACCCATTCGGCTGCCTAAATTACTATATTTGATTGACTTCTGCAGTATCATTGCTAATTTTCGTACCTGGCTTTCACACAGAGGTCCTTCAAAACCAGGAGCACATTCACATGAGAATCCATTATCCGAACCTGTAAAAATGGAACATAATGTGTTTTCAACAAGAAAACGAACTTGCCATCCGCGAAACATTTTCCGCCATTTTTGCATGGATTTGGATCACAAGTAGCTGAGGTGTTTACTGTTTCGGAGCATGTCTCTCCAATGAATCCTTTAGGGCATTCACAAGTAGCAAATGTACCATCGTCATGGCAAGTACCTAAATAAAGGCAACAGTCAAAATGAATTCCAAAAAAAGTCATAATCATGGCTGAGCTATCATTTTGGGAAAAAATTCCAGTTGAAGGGAAAACGCCAAGAGCGGCGCAAAATTCAAATATTCGCAAATTTGATGTAAAAGAAGTGTAGTTAAAATGTGGTGCAGTAAGGCATTCCAATCTTGCGAAATTTTGAGAAGGATGAGTACAGTGACAATCATTTCAAAATTACCGAAAACGACGAGATAACAAGTTGGTTAATTATTGCATTGAAATGGCAGAGAAATTCGGATAAATCAAAAATGTTCTCTTTGTCATGGATATCGAGCGTAATATATTTTAACTTCAAATCAAGTTGTTCAATTAGGGGAAAATTTAACTGTGAACATTTTCAAAGATTGATTGCAGTAGACTTTTCATGGTTGATAATTCCAAGAGAATGGATCAAAAGAACTTCTAAACGTTTTAGCAATTTTGGAAGCCAAAAATCGAAAAAAGTTTTTCAGAGTTTTTCTTGATCAGTTTGTGTCGTTGCCATATGCAACCAAAGAATCGTTTAAGCATATCTCTCTCTAATGTATACCAAATCAAACAATGTTTGGAATTCGAGAAGGCTATGATAATCAATTGAATTTTGGTGCAAGAATTGTACGCCACCCTTATGAAAACTGCCTGCAAAACCATTATTGAGACTTCTAAGTTTGAAAAACTGTAAGTCACCTCCATTCAAGCACGGACTAGAATCGCAAGGATTTGGAGCCCTGGTGACCATTGCTTCCTCACAATGAGATCCGCTAATATTTTCTGCACATTCACAATGGTTTTCTGACAATCCTCGAATACAGCGACCGCCATTAAGACAAGGACTTCCTAAAAAAATCAAAAGTTGCCTATAGGGTTTAAATTAATGAATTTGATTAATTATTTACCGTCTACGAGGCACTGTATGGCAACATCGCATGTTTCGCCACCGTAATCTGGAGTACAGTAACACTGAAACCCTCCAGGTACTTCTTGACATCGTCCACCGTTGAGGCACGGTTCAGAATCGCAGTTGCGAGATGGTACCGTACAAGTGGGACCCTTTTAAAAAGATTTTAGGATTAGGACTAGGAGTTTTAGTGGGATGGCTTACAGTAAACCCTTTTGGGCATTTACAGCTTGGTTTGCCGTTAACTAGTGTGCAGGTTTGGGACGGATGAGGACATTGGCATGTTGATCGTTTCTGGAACACGAATGTTCGCGAAACTTATTTTTTTTAGGATATACAGAAAATGCAATACATAGTAAAAATAAGAGAGGGTATCTATTCACCTCATTCTGACAGATTTTTCCCTCGAATCCGCTTGGACAAATGCAGTAGAATCCATTTTCTCTATCTATGCAAGTACCCTGATTGAGGCAAGGGTTTGCAGCACAAGTGGCCCCTTCGATCTCACAACGTGGCCCTGAGAGACGACTGAATTCTTAAACAGTCGAAATACCTAACATTTTCATTAATACCGCTAAATCGGGTTTCGCAAAGACACTCGAATGAACCCTCCAAATTGATGCAAGTTCCACCATGTTGGCATGGCATCAATTCACATTCATTCACATCGGCATCACAAAGTCTTCCGGCAAAACCAGTAGGACAGATACAGCGAAAAGATTCCTGGAAATGCGCTTTTTTGCTTAGATAGTATTCATTACTTTCACTGATTAGAAGCTTGTACATATGAAAAAGAAACTCAGTTAGAAATTGAGCAACATACAGGAGAAAATTTGGAAAACTCAGCAGTTTCAAAGGACTAAACCGTGAGATTACGTAAGCAAAATCATATGTTTCACTATTTATTTGCATCATGTTGGAACATGAATCTGCATTAAAAATTCGGTCTTTATGTTTCCCTAGATTACACAAGTTAGATAAAAAAAAATTTCATGTTCTCATACTGCAACACATGCTGATATACAAAATTTAGACTTGTACTCCTTCCAATTTTCGGTCACAAAAACTGCTAAAAGATCCCATAACTCAAAATTTTTGCTTGTATTGGTACAAAAAATGGAAACGGTTTAGGCACTTTTTAATGAATAAATCTAGAATTTTGAAGAAAAAAAAAACCAGGCATCCATAGTCATCTTATACAGGGTGTCCCAAAAAAAATGTGCACACTGTTTGATTGTAAATAACTTTTTTGTGGTGAAGTGTTTCGAGAAGCTTTAGGTACCATTTTGTAGAGCGAAGTTCAACCTAGATTTATAGTGTAGAGAGGATCGCCGATCTCTCATTCCTACTGTAGGATTACGGTAGAAACTTTGAAGAGGGTTTTGAGCCATGAAAGGCCGTATTTTGTTCCAAAAAGAAACCAAAACAACCTGAAAATTCTCACACTGGGCTAACTAGAGTCGCTGATTTTAAATGTGAGGTTCGCAACTCTTCGTAATGCTTCATTAGAAAATTATGCGAGGTAAGCATTAGCAGACGTTTTTTAAAAGTTCCTAAAAAGTGCAGTTACACCGTTTAGAAAGCTTCTCAACCTTGTAAAAAGTTGGGTATTGAACTCAGGGTCCATAAAAACCCTATTACACAAATACATTTTTTGAAAATTTTTGAAACGGTCGCTTTTTTCACAGTGACACCATATGTTTGAAGTTTCTACCGTACTCCTACAGTAAAAATGAGCGATCGGCGATTCGCTCTACACTGTAAATCTAAGTTGAATCTCGCTCTACAAAATGGTGCCTAAAGCTTCTCGAAACACTTCAGTATAAGAGAGTTATTCGCAATCAAACAGTGTGCACAATTTTTTGGGACACCCTTTATAGTGTCATGATTATATGTACTCCCCAAAATACGTGTTTGTAAATTTTCATTCAAAGAATGGCTGGTTTCAATTAAGTCTGAGTACTAGAAACACCTCTTATCTTCATGTACAAATCTAGTTGTGCATTTTGAGCGAAAAATGAAAGAAACATATTCGGCAGTGATTGTTGTGTGAACACCTCCACCTGACCCACAATTTTCAGTCATTATCCCCTGCTAAAATCCTATTAGTGGCCAATCAAGGGTCCGCGTAGCGGCCTTGATTACGACAACGTTCACCGTATATGGACTGTTGGTACGAAGGTCTGTAGGACAAAAATAATGTCTGAACGATAAAATACCAAATGAGTTAATAGAGAAGGAAATTTGTGCATCAAAAATGTCAAAAATTCAATAAATTTAGAAAGAATGAGGAAACGGTAAGGTATCCTCTAGCATCTTGACTTACATTTTCAGCTTCACACGTAGCATTGTTTTTACATGGTCGTGATTTGCATGGGTCACCAGTGCAAATTTTCTGTCCATGGTCATTTTCCACACATCTGAAACGTAAAATAACTGATTATAAATCAAGTTACTATTTACAAGATAGTTTTAGAAGTTGGAGAAAATGTGATGATTTTACAGGCCGTATAAAAAAATATTTCAAAAATCGTGTCATCGATAGGTTTTTTAGCTGTAATGCTAGGCAATCATTACTAAGACAAAATACGGAACATAGAAGAGTGAATATAGAAAAATCGAAAATCTTTAGGCAGAATTATCTTCCTTGCTTGATAGGTAAAAAATCGAAGGCAAATCTTCACTCAGTTAAGGAAAACTGATCATGTAAAAAAATATGGAGGCACAACATCTTTTCGGAAAACAGTTTCAACATGCAGGAAAATAAGACTGAATTTGTAGATTCCTTATGGAGAATATAAGAAAAATGCAAAATAATACAAAACGCTATATTTGCTTACCGCTCACCAATGCCACAGTCTTCATTTTTTGTACAACCTTCCAATGTCGAATCAGATATTTCGCACAATGTTCCGGACCATCCTGAAAGAGAGGAAAGTAGTAATATATCAACACTACATAAAAAGGTGTTACACAACAGACTGCGAAAAGTTTTGTTTTGCCAGCAAAAAAAAATATGCAAGGCCATGACACATCTGTAGAAGCTTCAGCTACAAATTACGGAATTTTCCATTTATATACAAACAGATTTACAAAAGTTTGAACTAGCGTTTTGAGCTTTCTAGATTGCTATACTGTTGGATATCCAGCGAGCCCTCTACACTCGGTGATCAAAAGTATAGAGGATGAGTACGCATATTGCTCCAAAAGAAAGACGAAAAGAAATTTTTACATGACCAAAGTCCCCCTTTCCCCCTAGCATAGACAAACCATGTTTCGTCGTAATTATACACCATGCGCATAGCATTCTAGCGAGAATCTTGTCACGAGCATGTTTTGACGAAGAAGGAATCGGATACCTTGTGTACATTGGCATTGCTGCTTTCCGAACGCTCCTTTCACGCAAACACCGTTCGCGCACTCGAGGGTGCACACTTCTTGACACAGCGATCCGGAGAATCCGGGCCGACACCGACAGGCGAATCGTCTGCTGACGTCGTCTACACGACAAGAACCTCCGTTCAGACAGATGTTGCTCGCACATTCTCTTTCTTCACATATCACTGAAAACAAAGAATTTACAATTGTAAAAAGAAGACGTTTATGGGAATATAGGAGAGATTTTGAGCCATTTGCGTCTAAATTCATTTTTGGACTTGTACAATCTCAGCATTTTCATGTTCATTTGAATAAGATGATCCCTTACCAGTTCAGTCCGGTCATGTATAACAGAAAGACCAGCTGAGAACTAATGAAAAATCATTTATTTATTTATTTATTTGCTTATTTGGTGCCCGCCCTCCTAATGTGCTCGCAGTCACTGCCCAAAAAAATTCAGAAAATACAATTTCTAATAATCTGAGATCGATTTTCTCTTTAAATGCAATCAAGATGGTAGATCTCTTTATTGATGGCTGACGTTTCGGCGCAGAAATCTGACATCGTTTTATCAACAAAAAAAAAAGAAATTTCAAGAAGGAACAAGAAGATAACATATTGTTACTCATTTGCATGCATAACAGAACAATTTTCAAAAACAAACTTTTTGAAAATTAAATTATTTACTTGGCGCTCATCATGGGTTCACAGCTCGCCAAAGAATTTACATAGAAAGACGGTTTTATTTATTAGCATCATTAGAACTAGAGATGAAAGAAAATTGGGAGATTTGGAAACGAAAAGTGGGGGGGGGGGGAGGGGGTCGAAATCGATTGTGAGAAGGTCCACATTCTTGTGATCTGAAGATATAAGTGATTTGGTTGATCACTTGGTAAAGCAAGCATCTCAAGAAGTTTTTAGTTGAAAAAAGATCTAAGGTTATCCAAATCGACTCAGCAGCCTTGTCATTGTCGACATTTTTATTGTTTAACTAGCTAAGCGTAGAAAGAAGGCGACTGAGCCACGTTCTCAATTTGTGTTTTTACAAATTTATCTTCTTGATTAAGCTCAATTAATTCAGTTACTATATTTAAATGCCATTCGCGCTTGCGTTGTAATGATTTCAAAGGTTTACTTATTTTCAAGTATTCAGTATCCAGCTGCAACTACTTTTGCATTTCTAAACGCATTCTCTTGAATCATTTTGCTAGAAGTAGACTTTTTTCAAAATTTGGTACTACATCTTTTCTGTTCTTATCCCGCCTAAATGAATAAATAAATTTGCACTTGCAATGCAACGATTTTTTATGATCTAATTATCTTCTGTTATTCAGTATCCCTCAGCTGCAACAGTTTTTGTCACGATCAAATAACTAATGCTAAATACTATATGCTTGCTAGATGATTCTAGCCGAACTTTAGCAAAAGTTAAACCACGAACTTACGCAAGGCCACTCCCTTCGCTTTTTCACGCGAACTTTCACTATGGCAAGAATTTCTCCTTGGCCTACTTTCTTGCCCGACGGAAATAGCCCATAGAGGAGTAAAGGAGTATAGATTCATAACAATTTTTTCCGCTCGAATCTAATCGAATCGGCATTGTCTTTCTTTCAAGAATCTACCAAGTCTTCAGCGATCGGCTAACATTCCAGTCGATTGACTCGATCGCACTTGGTCAAGCACTTGAGAGACTCTACGAGAGGGGGAGCCGCTCCCTCGGCGTATGAGGAAATCAAGGACTCAAAGGAAGCAAGATTCTTTCGGACAAGACGAGATATCAATTTCTCGAGGGGAGATGAAGGGGCACTGAGAATAAAAACTGGTTTGACATCACAGTATTGCATTGAAGCCATATTGTCCTTTGGTGAAGGGAAGAAAAAATTTCAGGGGTCTGAGTAAATAAATGTAAAAAAATAGACCAAGTAAATTAATATGAATTTGATATGTGGATACCAAATGTATATAACACACCTCCAGGTCTCTGCATAGGTGGCTTACAAGCAAGCTGGATATCGTTCTTAGGACACAAGCAAAGAGGATATCGCTTTTGTGCCGCTTTTTTTTTGCCGCTCAAAATTACGCTTTTTTGATCGACGTTTCGTTTTTGAGGGTTTTTTACGTTTATGGTTCAGGATTGAAGGGCACTTCGTAAAATTTAGGGAAAGTCAAGAGCGACTTCGTTTTTGCATTTTCGATAAGCTATCTGTGCCGAGGTCTGCACCTAACTTTGATTTATTTTTTGAAGCCTGTTTTTTCGAAAATTTGATGAAAAATTCCGACTTTTTTGCTCCCCTGCACCATTTCGTCATCAAAAAAAAATTCTACTCAAGAAGAGTAGACCATCCGATTTTCGTTGATTTACTTTCTCCAATGATGCCATAAATTTATACATAGCCATATCTGGTGCATTTCTACAGATGTTAAATACGAAATTTATTTTTAGAACCTGATAGCTTTGGATTTCTAGTAGCTTTTGTTTGAGTTAGGTGGCCACCAAATTTTTCTCTAATTTTTTTTCCAAGGGTATAAGATCGAAATTGATTTTATCAATCCCAAAAATGCTGCTAACAAGACATTTTTTCCAAAAATTCTATTTGAATTTTCCCGCTGATCCATCGCACTCTCAATTGAACTTCCGACTATCGTACTCACTAAACAACCTTGCGCACTAGTACCTAAAAACCAAGTCTAGTCTCAAATGTTCGAACGTAGCTGACATATCAGCCCATTAATCGCCCATAACCGTTACCTACCGCAATTACTGTCACTCACGGTCATGAACCTACGTAACGTTTATCGATCATGTGAGGGTTACACGCGCGTACGATGTAAATCCGATAGGAATTTTCTTGATAAATAATAGTTAAATCTGAAAAGTATTGAATTTCTAGTTGCAGTATGGCATTACAATTTTCTATGCAAAATGGGCCACTCAATCGAAAAAACAAATTAGTCTTAAGCTGACTATATTTATGGCTTATTAAGCTTGCACAGCTAGGCAGCACGGTCAATGCTAATGTGTGCAATTGCACATTTTCCATGACTGCTTTATCGTGAAGCTCAAATATAGTTTTTCCTGAACTTCTTGCTAGTTCTCTTCATTGTTTAGGCCCATTTGTGCTCAAGGAGAAATTATTTGAGGTCTGAGTTTCAATTGAGTTTTACCATGTTTGATTACGGTACAAAAATATACATTTAGTTTGATTCTATTTCTTTATAAAAATTAACTAGAAAAACATTCCCATTTCCCGACACTGCCACCTTCGCGAAAGAAAATGTTACAAAAGGGAGATTAAGCAACGAGTCTTTTTCAAACGCTGCCGCATTTGTATTTACGCTATATTGCAATGCACCCAACTGGATTCTAAGTCATCTTGTCTTATGTTTACTTTTTTCCTCTTAACGCGATATCCTTACTACGCCTTGTCAGTCAGCGATGTTTGGGGTGCTTCCTTTTCGACAACGACAGAAAGGCAATGATGCGTGTGTTGATTCGACACACATAGGCACTTCTTTTGATCGTCAACCAAAGGAGACGAGCAGCAGATGACATTTCATTCCTTACAAGGTCTAGAAGAAATCCGAAAGCCAAGAAAAAGTGCTTCAGTGTTTGATAATATTATTAGATTGCACAGTTTAGCATAAAGTCCAAAGATTCTGGATTCGGAACTACATTGGAAGACGCTGTTACTGAGATGTTTTGTTTCTTTCAAGTTTTTTCTACTCTAACCACGTTTGTCAGACCCATAAACAAATGCGCGAAATATTTAAATAAATCAATAAATAAATATCGTGTAGTAGGTCCGGGGCTTGGCACAGGTGTGGTTTGCAAGCTGGCCGTTTGGGACAAAAAGCAAAAGGGATATCGTTTTTGTGGCCGAGAAGACACAAAAATTGCGACGTTTATTTTAGTCAACGTTTTGTTTATTGAGGGTTCTTTACGGTTATGGTTTAGGGTCAAAGGGGACTTCGTAAAATTGTAAGTCAAGGGGGACTTTTCTTTCGCATTTTTGGAAAGCCACCTCGTGCCGAGCCCTGAGGTTTGTCATTTAATCCAAGTTTTATGGTTTTTACTATGAGAAAAAATGTCTTTCCTCTCGATTGCACTTTTCAGCATTCAAAATATCTACAACATACATCAGCTTACATACGTGAGCACTATTCTACTTATAAAATTCATTTTTGCTAAATTTCGTTCTCTTCGGCGCAGCATCATTTCTTCAAAACTGTCTTATACGACCCGATTTTAGAGTAGAAGATTGAACATGGTGATTTCAAAGTTTGGCATTTTAGCTTGCAATTTTTTAGCAGTCGCTTTAATTCAATTTTCAGACGAAACATGATCATGCAGAAAAATGTGCGATCTGCTTACTATGACGTTATCCTTCGTCAGAATATCAAATTCGTTTCACCCTTTGGTACCAAAAAAATTTGTTCTGTATGACAAGAAAGCGAGTTATGTATAGTCACTTTACAGCGAAATTTACTATGAACACGAGTTGAGTTCATATGTTATACTTCAATAAATTGCAATCTAAGGTGTATGATTTGATACTCTGCGAAAAAGCATAAGAAAAGCTGCACCTCAAGGTGATCAAATAAATAACCATAGACTAAATATCTACGAACAGCGGAATTGAGGTCGGAGAAAGGTTTATGGAGGCTTCAAAGCTGTTAGCAGTTTTAAAAATCAAGCTAAAATGTTAGCCCGCAACATTTCAGGCTAAAATCGAATGTACGACCAGCAACATAGAAAAGATTCCAGTTTTTGGTTAGCAAGGCCAAGAAATGGTTGTTCTTACGCAAAACTTCGTTTCACATACGCAATTCTCTACAAAAGAGCGGTTGTGTACTTTTCCAAGAATTCTGTTTGCATACGGACAACAATGGGACCTAGAAAGTCGAACACAAAATCCAATTAGCGTCTTGGCGACTTTCCATGAAAGCCACCACCATCTTAGCGCTGGATTGCTGCTCGGAATAGAACTAGTATGCAAACAAAAGTATTTTATAGTGTGACGATGTTTTATAAGTCTTTAGAAAGTCTTTAGAAAACTCGTCAAGCCATCAGTGTACTGTGTATTCCAAGCATGAATAGTGGAATGTAAAAAAAACAGCAATACGCATTGTTCGTGTGGCGCATTTCACCTTGACACAAGGAAATCCCGGGAAAACAAGTGGATCTTGAAATTTATGGGTCAGGAACAAGTCGATTGAAAACGAACTTTGGAAATCGATCAAAAAAAGAGGGAGAATAGCATGAACAGGAATTAAATCAAAAAAGTTTGTACAGAGAGCGAGTTTAGGCAGCTGAAATAAAATATCGGGTTGATAAATGAACTTCGCACTAAAAAACAAAAAAATGGGTTTCGAAAATGTTCAGAAAATTTTTCCATGCATATCATTTACTTTTGGTAACTTATGCAAAACTTTAAATTTTACCATGTGTAATAGAGATTTTTTGTAATAAAACCAAAATGCTGAATAAAAAAATTCGAAAATTATAAATATTTGAGAAAATCAATCAGCGTGAAATTCCCCCAAACATAAAAAGTATTTCATATAAACGAAAACAAAATTAAAATAAAAATTTAGTACTTGTTTCAGCAAAGCAACTTTTGAGTATTTTTCTTTGCGAATTTCAAAAATTCTTGGGCAAGAATTATATTAAACTGATAAGTCTTCCTGACAAACGGAAAAAATGACTTTATCTCCCTTTCCTTTTCCCTAAGGCTCCGCTTGGCTATTCTGTTATATCCCTTTGTGGAATTGATACTACTGGTAAATACTTGCACTAGACAAACTCGTCCATATAATCGTTTGTTCGACAACTGTCATGAGATCTATATCGGACTAACTGCGAGATTCCTTAATCCTAATCGACGCCACTTGTTCCAAAAACGTCAGACGCTGACCAACCCCGTTTTGTAGTCAATCAGCGAGAGAGACCCGGTCCTGTTTACCACTCTACAACCCCTATACCCCCCCCCCCCCCGTGCAACTTTCTGCAAAATCAAATGCATGAGTCACTGGTGAGCCGTTGATTATATCCCCAATGTGAGTGCACGTACATGGCATGATAATTACCTGGCGGATTACACTCAATAATAGAATCCACCCGAACCCCCCCCCCCCCCCTCGCACATTTTCCGAGTGCATTATGGGGGTTACGATGGTGACATATTGATAGGGTAGATGGTAATCAACTTGCAGACATGACATTTGCGGTCATTTCTGTTTCTGGTCACGGCAAAATAGTCGAGGACCTTTTTTGCTGACTCCCTCACTTGAGGAATGCACAAACGCACAGAAGAGGAAAACATCAAAGATGGGCTACAAGGAGAGTTTTGATAGAAAAAGAATCTTAAGTGTGTTGTCGTTTAGAGAGATTTGTTTGCAAAAGTAAGTGGTGGAGGCAGTGATTTAGATAATTTTAGGAGGTTATGGTACCTTACGCAAGGTCGTAGATATTGAAACACTTCCAAAAAGTTTGTCAAACTCCAGGCTTTAGCCCCTGACATATTCTACGAACCACTGAATACTGGAAAAAGCTAGAATTCCCTCCCCTCCCCCCCCCCCCCCCAGAGCGAGAAAAACGTTATGGTCTCTATCATCCAAACATTTGTAGTCAAGCGGCTGCCGTGCGTACGGACGTCGGTGCCGATGGCCTATGATTTCCGTTCCTTTCAGGAGAACGACCTGAGAGGGGCACAAAAAACATAATAGCACTATTGACCTGTGACTAATATCGTTTTTGTCGGTAAAGAGCGACTGATGTTTCGCGACATTGTTGGAGAGAAAGGCTGATGAGGGGGGGGGGGATGCGCGGAAGGTACGGTGGAATTACAGTAATCCGTTTGTACTGAAAAGAGTGTTAGAGCTTACCTGAAGAAAAGAGTAGAGTGCTAAGGATGAGAATTAACCACATAGCAGCACATAGGCCTCCGTAAACCAAGGACTTAAGCCTAGTTTCGGAGGACTGGCTGAATCGGCAACAGGTGCAGTACGCTCAGGTAGAGAGTATTGTCGATAATGGCCTAAGGAGTAAATAATTAGCACTTTCAGTGCTTTTCCAGGCGGGAGCAACGGGGTCAGACAGTAGGTTGAGTATCCAATTGAGCACAAGCGCAGATTTCGACCGACGGTAATAGGGCCACCACACACGCACGGATCGGGGGGCGGAGAGCGAGCAAGCGCGGCTCAACTATGCTGATCACGGTCGCGCCCGTACAGGCAGCTGGAGGGATGTCGAGGCGAGAGACAGAGGACGTGGTGGACCAATATGGGCGGTACCTCACCCGATCAGATCACCGCTAGAGATTGTGGTGTGTGAGACTGTGCTGGAGCCACCGCCGCCGCCGACGCCGCCGCTGCTGGTTTCGGCGTCGTCGTCGTCGTCGCGCAGAAATGGCCAACATTTATCGTTGTGCACCTGTTGACCCCCTGATCACCTCTTTGTTCTCATGGAAATTAAGTTCAATGGGCCGCAAATGGACCACGAGTGGCCGTTATGTTTTGGTGAATAAATCTCATCTATAGTCTATCATATTTGACGGCTAATATAGTCTTCCTACGGTGGCGACAACATTTACGCGAGAAAAGCTGCCGTGCTAACCTTCGCGCGACGTGACCTTTTCTTACGCGCAAATGTTGCTAGCACCGTAAGGACACTATTTTAGTCATACTGCATTAGTATATTTGAATAAAGGAAGGAGATATAGTCGATTGAAGTTGCCGTTCCATATAGAATATTAGCTTGGGACGTCTTGCACCGGATTCTTCAAAATTCCGTAATCTCCTCCGGATCCAGTTTTCCTTTCGAAATAATGTAATTTATAAAGAGAAAACCTTAGTCTTTCTAAATATTAGGTTGTTGCAAAAATAATGTCCGTTTTTCTAGGCCTAGATTCCAAACAACTTTTTAGTCAAACTTTCCATTACGATATAGAATCCGCACATCATTAGAAAGCTTTCTCCATGTACTTTCTAATGGTGGTGGAAATAAGCTGTTATCCTCATCTGTGAGAATTTCACCAGCATTTTGCACATCCGCACTCAAAATCGAAATTCCATAGCTTTCAGTTTCTTGACCACAATTCAGGAGCAAATAAACGAATTTTTCTGAAAACATAGCAACTGTATTAGATGAAGATTGTTTACCTACTGCATGCTCATCTAGATTTTTGGAGATAACTGGACTGAGAAATTGACGCCTCGAAATAGATACTTGCTGCTGGCATTCTATGGGTCAGACATTTCTCATGATTAAGGCAATCGCCAAAGCTTCGCCCATTTCTGTAAGCTTGATATAAGCGCACCTTAACTACAATATCTGAAGAGAAACTTAGCTATTCAGTGCACGAAGAATTCCAAATTTTCATAATTTGGCACTCACAAGCCTACATGAAATAGGCTCAAAAAAGTGAACATTTTTGAATTTTTATCTTTTCTTTTCGCACAACTCCTTCTTTGGAGTCTTTTCTATACATACGTAAACACGTGGCCTGCGGCTACAAAATAAGCTGATTGGCAGCCGCACGAACAAAACTTGAAGGGAGTTGTAAGCTCTCAAAGAAGAGGTTTTCAAAAGAAAAACTTCCACTTTTTTGACGCACGGTTTTCTCCCCGTTTGCGATATCAGTACGGGCAGGTGCGCGCTAAATTACGAAAGGTTTGCTGTTTCTGATGGTCTTGACTGCATTTAAGAATATGAAGAGTGAACGAAGTTATAGCCTTCCAAAGTGAAAATTTGCAAAACGGACATTATTTTTGCAACAACCTAATATTTTCAAAGCGAAATTATCATTGTCATATCACAGCAACAGAACATGTTGATGACAAACATTCAAAGCGCTCTCCACCTTTCAATGCCCCAAATGTTAAAGGCTCACTTTCTAATTTTACGTTTTATCTGGATTATAGTCTAAAATTTTTGACTGTAAAAAATTTGTGCCGATAGGACATTTATACGGGAAGTTGTTTTTCCTTTGAATTTTCGTTTCCTTCGATATTGTTTAAGATGAAAAATGTATAAACTAGAATATTATAATAAATACAATGAAAAGTTGTATAGATTGGAACTCTGTTTGAGTTTTTTGGAACTTCAGTGCAAGAACTATTCGAGCCTAGTATACACCAATTTGTGAACCATAGAATGTTGTTTAGCTCTTTCCTTCATCTGCGGAACGCTTCGTTTAACGCGTGATGAATGTTTTTTAGATTGAAACAATCAAAAATTGAAATTAATTATCGGTCTTTCCAGCAAGCAATGGTGATGATAATTCTATTGGAAGAGATAAACTCATTTCAGAAAAATTTTTTGACACTCACCACTGCTCTTTTGAAACGGAAGAATGTTGCAAACTATTCTAATCTTGTCGCGCGTTTGATTAGCTCTAAAAACACTCGTAACTCCTCGCCTGGATGTTTTGCAGATGAAAGAGAAACCTTTGAAATCAGCGTTTCATATCCTTTGAAAAGGTACATATATATTTATACATTCATCATAAACACTATTGTGGCTAACCATTCATATCTCGTAAGATTGGCCCCTAGGTAAACTTCCGCTAATTTTCATGGCACCCAATTTTCTTCTCCTCAACGTGCCGGAATACCTGTCTTTTTTCTTATTAATTTTACACGACCGTTTTTGTCGTCTTACATGTAAGCCAATTTAAAAGCTAAAAAAGCATTTCTCAGCAAGTCTAATACAACGCATGCTTCTTACTTAAATTACGCAATGATCACAATCACATTAGGAAACCGGCATGTTTGGTAGAAAAATGCTGTTTTGAATGCAAATTTCAAACAGCCATGGAGCATATCTAAAAAAAGTTCTTTGTAGGGTGGATGGTAGGAATACCTTATTTATAAAAAAGCGTAACCGGTTTGAAGAAGACCACAAATCGTGTAGGACAATCAGACTTAGAGCAATGATAACTACCAGCGATTTGCTTGAAATTAGTTTTCTGAAAATTTTTCCTGCTATACTATCGATATTGATTTTGTTGAATTCTAATGAGAAAGAGCTTGCATTTCGAATATCTTGAGACCGGCAGCAAGCAAAAACATGAAGAGAAGAAGGAGAGGAGATAAATTGAGGAGAAGAGAAAAAAGAGACAACCAAATACAAAATTTCGTGTAATAGTCACACTCAGCGTGACTGCGAAGGATTTATTGAGTTAGAGTTTGATCTTTTTCCATAGATCGTTTAGGTTACTGTGTTTTCGTGAATGTTTAGGCGATAAAGAGTGTTTTTCATCTCTAAAAGAATTCAGCTTGATGATCGAAGATGTATTAAGTTGATTAGGCGATAAAGAGTGTTTTTCATCTCTAAAAGACAAGCTTGATGATCGAAGATGTATTAAGTTGATGCATAATTCTTGCACCAAAATTTTTGAAATTCTGTTACTTCCTCCAGTATGAAGATATTTTCTGTCTTGATACATAATAGAGAAAAAAATCTTGCGCTTTCTGCAGATGCGCCAAGTTGAGGACTTATGGCAACGATGTAAGCTGAATAAGAGAGATAGCAAAAAGTGATTTTTCAAATATTGGTCACTAAAATTGCTAAAATGTCTGCTCAAACTTAAGTTTATTTTTGTTCTTGGTCTCATTACGTAATGTTTTTGATTAGGAGAAAATGGTAGTAAATGGAAGTCAAGTAGTCACGAATGTCGATTTTTTTGAAATTAACTTATTGATTTGTTTCTTATGGATTTTTGAAAATGTCATAAAATACTAGTTCTGAATACATAACAAAGAGCATATTCTTTGGATCGATTTGTTTGTTAAAGCATTTTTAAAACAATTTTTTCTATTGTTTGGTGCAAGAATTATATATCAACTAATAGATGAGACAACGTTGGTAGTATAAGTTGAGGGAGAGCGGCTTTAGAATTTCAAAAGCAACGATATCCATTTATGAATATTCTTAGAATGGCATTGCTACCCATAGTTGTCTTGCTCAGATTAGTGTGTGTGTTGTTGATTACAGTACCCGGAGTCTTTCAAAACAGAAGATAGTGCTGCTTATACGAACACTGCACGACGGCGGACCCAGTTCAAAAACAAAAGATAAGTATCAGTGCGTTTCACGGTTTTTCTTCAGCATAAAAGAGAAATGTTATAATTTTCTAAATAAGACATGTTCTCCGCAATTTATTCCAATGATCACCACCCTTGGCTCTCCCCATACCTATACAAACTAGACATCTGTGACCTCAACAATGCACAATTTGTATAGATGTGGAAGCCAAATCAGTATAGATAGTAATAGGAAACAATATAGCATTAGTGTCAGATGATTTCTGCAGAAACCTCTCACTGTCACCAATACCTTGGCCATTAGATTGTACTCTAACGGCTATCTTAGGTAACCATGAAGAAGAACACATTAGATTTTGCTGATCTTAGTACATGGCAATTGCTAAGTAAACTTTCTTGGATTTCAAAAAAAATTTCAGCAGAGGTTGCTTACGAACAGTAAGGTCATCTATAGCTCAAAATCCTCACTAAAATTCCCAATGAAACCGATAAGGGCGATCGGTGATTTAATTCATACTCTAAATCTGAGTTGAAGCCAGCTTTGCAATGTGGTGGCTGAAAGACGGGAAAGCTTTGCATGAAGAAAACTTATTTTGGATCAAACGTTTGGTACATTTTTGGGACACCCTGTATAAGAGTCACACTCTCTTTTTTTGAGAGGCCCGAAGGGGGTGAGGGCGGCAAAATTTTTCTTGCAAAAAAAAGAGCTTCGCAGTGCCAATAAATCTCCAAGATATGGGAAATCATTGTAATTCTCAACTTGGTAATGCAGAATTTTATCACTTATGAGAGCGTGACTGCTCGCCTTCCCCCCCCCCTCCTCACTAAATGTCTGAGACTTCCGCTACGCATTTATGAAATAATTTTGAATCTTGTTTACGATCCTATATAACGCAAAGAAAATTTCTCAAAGCTGGAAGTGGTCAAGATTCCACATTAACAATGAAAATTCAAATGGTGTGGTACGTTACATTTTCGATGACAGGTGGGTGCCAAGCAGCTTTGTTGTTCTTGATAGGCTCCATAGGATTTTAATTCCAGTTTACAAAGTCTACAAGCTTTATGTGGTGATGAGTTTACAGGGCATTTGAATAGTCGTAACGATGGCGCGACCGCGCGCGACACGCACGCCACTTCCGCAGGCCGCATCTTAGTTTTCATTTCTAGTCGAATATCCTTCTAGTTTTCTTTTTGCTTGCGTATGATGATACTTAGACCCTGGAAGCGACTGCGCTGAATCTCGAGGTGATGCTTTTTGTAGGTCGTTTTATGCTTGTGAGCGCAAAGTCCGCAGTAAAAATCGTCGTCACAATATTATAAATGAACTATACAATGGTTCTTCTCCCACGTTGTTTTCAAAAATATGTATAGATTTTGTACAGAACAACGAAAACAGCTGTTCAGACCACGAAAATGGTAACTATGCGATCCGTGACTTGCTTATACAGTATCACAATATGGGGCACTGCATCGACATCTCTTCGTCCTGGCAAATCTGTCATTCTCCGACTCACCACAGCTTAGAATCTACCTTCTTTTCGACTTACGTCAGAAGCTGTGTCTAGGCAACCGAAGCGAAAGATGAGCTCAGAAAAGGACCACGACCTGGCTTTTGTTTCCCAAAGTGGTATAGACAATTCGCTCGTGTCCGTCGTTCATTGTGAGAGCTCGCAATGAGTTAACATCCGCGCATAGTACGCAGCAAGCACATAGGGTTAATTGCTTGTGAGTACCTTCTTCAAAGTGGGTAAACACGTCCGACATTGATTAGACGAGTTGCACTCGACGCTGAGATCGTTTTGGGGCTACTACTGAACTAAGCGAAGAAAACTTTGATTGTTTGAGGGTTTTATAAAATGCCCGAATTGATGTGCTTTGAAAAGCTCATAAAAAGTAGAGCATAATTCAGTCTATCGTTGCAAATTGAGCAAATTAACTGAGAAAAGCTGCAAATCAAAGCTTTGATTTTTCATCGTCATGTTCGCCTGCTCCAGCGGCAAGGTAAAAAATGAAGCGCTTACCTTGGCCACAAAACTCGCACAAGGAGCCTGTTTTTTCTACTGCGCTAAAAAGTTTCGCTCATTTCTTATCCCTATTATATCTAGGAATCAAAAAAAAATCACTTTTCTTTGTCGGTAGAAATTCGTGGAAGTCACTCGTCGATGACCGCACTTACAGTCCGCCTCCTTGTTGTGTGGCTCTCGCTTTCTAAAGTGGTTAGGGGGTCACTACCCAAACATCCACTCTCCACACTCACAGCTCCCAACAAACATGGACCAGTGGGGTGCTAAAATTTACTGATGGAGGCAAAAGTAGATGTGGAAGGGACTGGAAGAGAAGAACAAAGGGTTAAAACTTATCCGTTCGGGTAATTCTCGCTTTCACTCTGCAATAAACAAGTACGGTAAAAAAATATTTATCATACAACCTTTTGAAGTCACCATTTCCCTTTCAGTCGAACAAAGAATAAATAATGCAAGAAATGGAACGCCGTCGAAGCATAAAGAATAGAAGATAGTGAAATATACACATACATGATAAGAAAAAATTATGAAAAATCCCAAGAGTGGCATTGTCTATCCGGGAAGCATGCGCAGCTCTGCCATGAGCTTCTTCAGAATAGCAATCTCATTTTTGACTTCATCGACCTATAATAAATTTAGTTGAAAAATTGAGTAAGAGATCTACGTAAAACAAATAATTCTATAATTCTTCGGTCTAGATCACTGCTGTCAAGTTTTCCATAGAAACATGCCAACACTCTTTGCCTTGGTGTAACAGGTTTTGAAATGATTAAACATGCAAGCAATTTCAACCTTAAAGGCACCGTCCACCCAAAATTTCGACCTCCATGTTTTTGCCGCTCCAGGGCCTCCTCCCCTGATTCCGAATATCAAGTCGGAAATCCGCGAAAGCAACGAAAAACCTCCGTTTTCAGAACCCGCAGACCGCTTAGGAACGGTGATTGGTTGGGAGCGCACGGATGGGCGGGACGAACGCCACGCCCACTCAAAGGGGAGGAGCCAACGTGGCGAATCTGTCTCCGAGCGATTTTCCAAGCAATTTTCTCGCTTCGAAAAGCTTTTGCCAGCGCGAGTTGGATAAGTATGCGGTTGGGGGCCCCACTACTGTTAGGCACCAAAATCTCATCGACCCTGTATTTTGGGTGGACGCTGCCTTCAAGTCCAAATGATGTAAGCTAACCTTAGAGCAGATAACGGCATTTTTTGCGCTTAGCTAAAAGAGCTGCTCGCTACGAAAAAAAATTTCATTTCTACTTCAAAAAGCTTAGATCTCTAATAGATTGTCAAGATAATCAAAGACCCAATCACCGTTCAGAACTAAAAAAAGTCGAATGCAATTAAACTGGAGACATGTTGCATTTGGCGCTTTTTTCCAAAGTCCCATCTTAGCAATTTATTTTTTGTCACTTGATGCTGACTGAAGATAGGAAGGATGCTTCTGGATACTTCTCGTTGTCCAAATTTGCTAACTGTTGTGAGATTTTCAGGACAACCATTCAAAATAAATCTCCTTTCTGTAGGAGCAAAGATGAGTACCAAATACTAGTAGAGCCGTGGCGTACCATCCCACCCCCCCCCCCTCACCTTGAAATGTGCAGCTGACTTGTTTAAACTTGTATATAATTGACATTCGAAGCCTCGTAAAAATATTATCGGGGGTGCGGCAGCAGCCATGCCCATTTTTCCTCGGAATTCGAAGGGATCGCAAAAAATTTTTGGAGTGCGTGGATAACCCACTCACATTTATGCGAAAGAGATTTTCGCCCGACCCCCCTCGCCCAGAGTAGAAATCCTGGGTACGCCACTGGTAGTCCGCACGGACACATTGCAACTAATACATTTAGCATTAATAGTCATGGTAAAAATACTTACTTTTGATTTTAGCTCGCTATTTCTTTTACGAAGGCCACTGATGATATCCAGCTTCTTTTCCTTTTCTTTCTTCTTCTTTACACGATATCTCAGAGCAGAACTTCGATTTTGTGCCTTGAAAGCGATACATTAGCGGAATTTTAATGTTGCACAATTTCAGATTGTAAAAAGAGTAATGCTGAGCTGGTATACATGCGTACATTCGTGTACAAACCAGCCAGGGAAAACAGCTACCACTAAAAGCAGTGGAACCACCTGGGCCGCCTTTATGATTCAGTAAAGATTTCTGAAGTAATTCATACCTTTTTTCGTTCTTTCTTTTCGGGACTCCATGCAGAATATCCACTTGAAGGCTTCGGCGATAATGAGGAGCAAATGGACTCAGACTACAAGAAAAGACAGAATTACAATAAAAACATTGGTGAGCTATCCAAGCAGTTTGTAGAGAAAATACCGTGTTGAAGGATGAGCATGAAGAAGATGGAGACTGACTTGATTCGATTTCGTTACATTCTCTTACTATTTCTTCATAGATTTGTTGCTGCTGGAATTACTGGGTTCAAAAATTAGATCCGATTTTTTTTTTCTAAAAGCAGAAAAGTTTGATAATTGGGTTTTCAAATTACTTTATCAAAAAATGAAGCTAAACAAATTTCAGTCGGCATTTTCGTTCTTTTTCATGCCTTCAAATTTTGCCATATTTCAACAACATTATCATAAAGAAAAAGGATTGACATTGGATGCCATTCCATTGCCAGTTTTTGCTCCAGCTTCGAGAAAATTGCTCGATTACTAGATATCAATAATTCTATGATGATGCTACAACAGAATGAAAAAAAAGAACTTTAAAAGATAAGCCTACCTCCAGATTGGCATCTTCATAATCATAATTGCTCTCCGAAGGGCTCGAAAGCTGAGAATCGTGAACGAAGCTGGATGGTGTGGAAGATGTTGAATATGTGAAAGTAAGAGAACCAGGACCAGAATAAAATGGTTGAGAATACTGATAATCCCAAGAAGGTAAAGTTAAATAATCATTGTTAGAATAGCTGTCGACGGCGTTCCCGTAAGGCTCAACAAACACAACACGTGCATTCCTGGAAAGGAAAAAGTTATCAAACCACATTTTTTGGGGAGTAGGACAAAGAAAATACTTACTGATGAGTTGTGGAAAGTGCTTAATTGATTTTCATAAATTTCTTGGGAAATCCAAGCTTGATTAGTGGAATACCAGTGCCGATGCATGACGGAAACAAGCGTGATCGATACGCGGTGTGATGAAGTGCGGGAAGAGGTGGACGGGGGGGGGGGGAGAACTGAACTATCATTCACTACGCAGATAATGCATTGCGTCATAATGAAAGCGGAAAATGGACAAATTATTAGGCTTTCGAAAGAAATAGGGGTTGTCGTTGGCTACCCCGGGTCATTAGTGAGGTCTAACCAAAAATAATCAGGAGACTTTTTTGATCTCCCTTTTTTGGGGAACAAATGGAGAAACATAAAGCTTGACGCAACTGCAGTTGTATCCTAAATGTAATCACTGTTTACGTTTTCGTTTGAATAATCAGATGATGCTCCAAAGCTACCTAACTTAGCTCGTCCTTTTGGTAAAAGGCGTATACATTCTAAATCAGCTTTAAACGCTGATTCCAGATATGCTATTCCTAGGTGCCACGCACCATTCCGAAGCGAGTTATGGGTTTTTTTCCAACAAAGTTATCATAATACTGAACATGAGATGACTGCCTGTAGATAAAAATCTGCAAAAAAAAAAGATGCTGGGGTATCGAAGTAGCATAAATCCAATCCTTTCCAACTAAAAAAAAGATTAAGTATCAGCACTTAAATGATGATGACTGATGCCCGCGAGCCGATGAGCATGTCAATTTTATGCATTTAAAGCTGATTCAGACTATATATGTCCTTTGCCAAAAGGCCGAGCTAAGTCAGGTAGCTTTCCTTGTCAGATCCGTTATTGTCGTCTTTGCTAAATGTTCAGAGATTCAAATTCGACAGTACCTCTAAAAGTATTAAGTTGTCTCATTATTTTTTTCAACTCTAAATTCTACCGTTTTAAGTCATAGTCTTTCTATATTCTACGTGGTTTTCGTGGTGCCGTTCGATAGAGGAAAGCAAGCTGTACAAGACGGTTTCTAAACGTACACGTAAAGTAAACTAAAATCTGAGAAGTTCCAGTTGCCTGAGATGTAAAGAATCTTATATACCTTCACAAGACTTTCTGTGGACTTCTCACTTGTTCAAGCATGTAATCTCCAAATCACTTTCATAAATACTCTTACTGTATTTTTTACGGTTAGGAAATAAGAAAAAAATAATGCGCTAATTTTCTGAAGTCTGCCTGTAGCGGTTCTTTGCTCCTCGCAATAAGTGATCAAAACGCATATTCATAGTAAGCCAAAAATTTGCACCCTAAGTTTATTATTTCTTGCAAAAAGGTTTTTCAATTTTCACGTACACAATCATTCCTAAAACTGTGAAGAAGCTAGGTTTTAACGTGAAAACATCTTCAGCTTGCTTTGAAGTTTTTGGCTCTAGAAAAATTGAATTCCATGTGAATCAGTTCCTCTCGCTTGGAGCGCTATCACTTTACGTGTTCTGAAGATTATTTTGTCAGAAGCTTTCTGAAATAAGCTAGCTCAAAGCTTTGTGCGTATTTTCGTTGATCAAATATCTTACTCCCAGAGGCGAACCGAGGTGGGGGTTGGAGGGAGGGGGCGCCCCCCCCCCCCCCGAGAATGGGTCGCGAAATTTTTGAAAATTACTTAGTTATATAAATGCGCAAGTGACTTGTTTATTTCTGCAAACAACTGAAATAATTTTTTTTTAATTTTTACAAATTCAAATTAGTCTTGTTAAAAAAATTTTTCGAGAGCGTGGCTGACGCACGCCCCTTTTTTCCAGATTTTAGGGGTCGGGGACCCGTAAAAATTCTGAGAAGCACCCCAAAAAATTTTTTCGGAGTGCGTGGCTAGAGCCACGCACCTTCATTTGAAAAACATTTTTGCCGCCCCCCCCCCCGGTCAGAAATCCTGGGACCGACACTGCTTAATCCATTTGTACGAACACGATAAGAAATTTCCTACAAGCTGCTTTCTGTTAATTTTTCGGAGTGACCGTAATGCGTGAGACTGTGTAAACAGGTAAACAAGTTTTTGCAAACTCATATTGCGGCTCTGATTAGCCACAGAGCCGCAATATGAGCTTGCAAAAAAATTCTGCATCAGCTTATCTTATCTAAAATTATGTCCGTGTTTTCAGATATAAGTTCTCCTTTTTTTGCTGGATTCACTTTAACGCTACGATCTTCGTAATCCAGCCCATACATATTAGGTTGGCCCGAAAGTTCTGTCGCACCATTTTCAAAAATTCATAACTTCTGATTTTTTCAACTGATTTGACTGCTCTTATTTTTGTATGAAAGAGTAAGTCATGCTCTTTATAATGACATCTTAGGTGCTTGCTACTGATCATCAGTAGCATAGATAGGAGCGATAAGAAAATTGGACAAAATTTGATTTTTCTGTGTAGGGTCATAAAAAATCGGAAAACTTGCAACAAAAATTGGAGCAGTCAGTATTATAGGTTTTTTCACCAGCTCTTTCTAACTGTGCAAAGTCTGAGCCGATTGAGCGTCTCTATGAAAAGTTACGATTTTCGAGCAAGCAATACAAAAGGGCGAATTTGATTTATTTTGGCATTTTTCAGGAAAATCGTAACTTTTCATAGAGACGCTCAATAGGCGCAAACTTTGCACAGTTATAAAGAGCTGGTGAAAGAACCTACAATACCTACTGCTCCGATTTTTGTTGCAACCTCCGGTTTTTTATGACCCTACACAGAAAATTCGAACTTTGACTAATTTTCTTCTACCGCTCCTATCTGTGCAACAGATGAACATCAGTAAGCAGTAAGAGGTCGTTATAAAGAGCATGACTTACTCTTTCATACAAAAATAAAAGCATTCAAATCGGTTGGAAAAAGCAGAAGTTATGAATTTTTGAAAATGGTGCGACAAAACTTTCGGGCCAACCTAATAGATAGTATTCACCTTCTCTATCCTCAGACTTCCAGAAAATATTCTTCCATTAGATACCTCATGAAATGTTGCTGCTTGAAATCTTTCAGATAATTTTTTCAGCACTTCAGCAAAAACAGCTTCATATATTAAAAACTTGGAAAATTGATTAAGTAAGCAAAGTTGCCTCAACTTCAACAATTCCAAAAAACATCAGCTTTACGATGATAATCTAAATCAAATTTGAATTATCGCTGCAAGCAGTCACGATCTTATGATAGACGTAAACTTTTTTGTCCTTGTAAAAAAGTCTGAACAGCTTTTGAGTCATCGCATATGTTCCAGCTAACGAATATTTTGAAAATAAAATATGTAGACCTAGATTAAAGTGTGTTATCCCAAAACGTGGCAGGTAGACTGTCCCCATAGATTTAGAAAAAATTTCAGTGCAAAATATTTCATAAAAGCTGTTTGTGAAAATGGGCCCGAATAACGAAAAAATTTTAAAAATCAGTCCTCAGAAAAATTCCCGTTTCAGCAGCATTTTTTATGGGAAGAAGAGCTGACCCCACGGTTTCTGAATGTTCACAGACTTCCAAACACTATAGTACTAGGACTTGGAGTGGTAAATGTATGGAGAAATGTGATCACTCCGAGATGATTGTTTATTGATTGATAAACAGCCCAAACAATTTGTATCGAATCTAGAGACAGAACAAAACTTCTGCTAGCTATTCATTTACAATTAGTGTTGCTGAATATATAAATTTGCGTATTAGATTCGAACAGTTTTATATAGATATGCACAAAGCCACTAGAAGATAACTTCAACACTTATGATATGGAACTCATAATCTCCATTTTTAGTACATATAGATGGGTAACATCTCGCTAATAAAGTGTTATTTACGACCTTTTCGAATAATCATTCCATTTTGAACACTTCAAATTTAGCTCTGTTCAAACTCTTCAAACATTTGTCGTGCACAAATGACAAGCAGACGAATTAGATCCATGGAACGACCAATTTGTACCTTGCGTTGATTCAGACGTCCTCGTCTGATTGAACTCATACTGAATATATGCACTTAACTGACACATCACAGATCCTTGTTTTGAAATACCAACATCAAAAATTTAAAGCAACATTTTATCTAAAGCAACAAGCACTAGACTCGAACATAATTCATCATATGTAATAGTCCACTAAAGCAGCAGCTGCGGTTCTTCCTGTCTTAGCTGAAATCAATATAAATTTCAGAAAGAAGAGTAGAACTACAAATTTTACCTGAAGCACAAACACGACATGTATTCGGACAAATCGTTTCCACAACAGCGGCTATAGCTTCACGAAGTTTTGGACATTCACGACAACCTGAAGAAGGGCATTTCTTGCTCTATTAGGCTATCATTTACAGCTCCAAAATTATAATAATTTGATCTTACATCTTCATTGGCACCGAATTAAAGTTGATCATTCCTGTGAAAATGTGTTCATCTGTCTCCTTATGTTACCGGCCATTTAATTGAATAGATAAAGAGATACTACGAGCTGTTTGAGAAAACGAATGTTTAGGTTGCATTTTTAACTAAAAGAGGGAGCTAAATCTACCGGTATAAAGACCATACTTTCTTTTAATGCGGTCTCGATAAGCAGCTGTTCAAGCGGCAACTCATAGGTATGGACCGAGAGCTTCAACTTCAAACTCTAGCACATTACAACACCCGAGAGCACTAATTGGTCCTTTTATAGAGATTGGTACGGTACTGGGCGAGAGTACCGTGATGGGCAAACTCAATTGGAGCCACCGCTTGTACAATGGCTTAACTAAGACTCCCCAATTCAATTTCAAGGAAGCAGCTCAGGTATTCAATTTTGCTTGCACACTGTTGGAATGTGATACGGTAGTTGTACTGTAGTCTGAAGTATACCGTAACTAACTCTTGCAAGTAGCTCTTTGTTGGCATGTTGTCTTATCACCATTGTAGTATGTAGGATCAATCAGTTGACGAATGAGAGGCAGAGATTCGCGAATCAATGGCAGTGATTCACGAATCAGCGGCAAAGACTCTTTTAGAAATGGAAGCGAATCCTGTAAAAACAAATTCTGACTCTAACATAGAGTTTACTGCATTTGTTCCTACGATAATTTCTTGTTCGAGTTCTTTCAATTCAGCACTGCTTGCGTTCGAACCGACTAGCGGTAAACCACTTGGATTTTCCGATCCCACTAGTGGCAGTGAACTTTCTAGCGCCGGGAGGGAAGTACTGAAAGGTTAAGTAAACCTATGAATGGAACTGAGTACAGCCGAACCTGTTTGATATCTGATCGGCCATGGCTTGAAGCTCCTGTAACTGGTACTGGATAACGCTTCCGATGCAGATCGGCTGAAGTGCGTCGCAGAAATCGACAAGGTCTTCGCAATTCTGCGCGGCTGTGACGGCGAGCAGGCCAAGGAGGAAGAGATACATCTCAATTTGTGTGTGATCTGAACTCAAATCAACCCTATGAAGGCAGGATCAACACAGTAATAAAGCGCTGCCAAACTTGGATTAGCGCCTCCTCCGCATTGTATTTGTTCAGATGCTCAGAAGAATAGCTCATTTGGCTCTTTGTTCCGATTTCGATCAAAGTTTCCAAGTTCACGCATGATGTCAAAAGTTCAGATTTCGGATTGGTCCGCACTATGCTAAAGTCTATAACATAAACGTTGAACATAAACTATGAATAATTAAATCCTGCTGAACAGAGCACAACCCACATATAACTGCTTCAAATATGGGACCCATAACAGATGGGTTTTGAATGTAAATCAAACTCATACCTTGGAATACTTTGAAGGGACTCCTTGAAGAGCAAAAAATCTCTTTTCCAATGAAACTTCAGAACAAACTTTCTCCGAGGTTTCAAACGTGTCCTGAGCTATTCCAAAAATAAAAGAAAAGAGCAATCCATAGGTATCTGACAGATATTCCGAATTTCTACGAGTTGTCCACCTCATTAGGAGAATGAGATCTCATAATAGCGGATGAGTATCAAGAGCCCCAATCATATAGCTATAAAATTTCATGTTTCCTGCTATAGCGAATTCCTAGCATATATTCCCTTGGCGGTTAAGTTTCGAAATTTTGATAAAAGCGTCTAAGAAATCTCTTAGCTTACAAACTGCTCACATACATTTTCACCTAGAGATCAATTAGCGTTTTGCGATAAGGCTCGATGAAAAGTGGACATGTGTTCCCTTTCTAGCAAAATTACAAAGTTCCGAGCATCCAAAAAAGCATCATTTTTTCCAAGTGTCCCACCCTCCGGCTAGAAAAAAATTATGCCGCTTTTATCTCCTTTCAGAAAAGAAACCATTTTCGCAAATAGTTTTTGAAAATTTGGATGCACTTCGAATCAGATTTCGCATGAATTGTTCGTTTTATCTCCGTTTTTGTGAAATGGGATCACTCGTGTATTTCGCACTCAATTTTGCAACTACATACATCACACCAAGCTCACATTTTCGTCTCTCATAAACGTTGAAACCATCTTGAGTTGGATTTCTTGAATACCGGAAAATGTCACATACCATACATATTCACATGATCCGCAATCAATTTGATTTCGCTCGTAAAGTGATAGAATTCTTGACAAGTTTGTAAGGTTGCCCGACAAAGACTTTTGATAGAAAGTTCATAATCAAAGAATGTTGTAAGGGAAACTTAATATTTTGAGGCTGCTTCCCTGATAAAATCACTACGAGTTGAAATGTTCATTGAGATTCCTTACAAAAAAATCAAACCTTTAAATCGCAAAACATGTCACAGGTTTTGTCTAAATTACCTAGTAAGTGGACGTTTCGCTAATTTAGCGGTCAAAACAATAACCTACTATTCCACTTCTGAAGGAGTCTTAAGATGAATTTTGTTGGTAATTATTTTACACAAGTAAAAACCAATATCGTAGCGTATACTTAGAGGCGAGATTCTATTCTGTCAAAATACTTTGATAACCCTTCGAGTACAATTTCATAGAACAATTATATGCAGTCTAGATATGACTCACGCAGTATTTTTCCTATGCAATAACATGTTCCATCGCTATTTTTTGCATCCTCTTCTGTTACATTGCCATTCCATGCTCTTATATTAGGTCGGTGTAAAAGTTTTGTCAGTTTTTTGAAATGACCCTCAAATCCCGAACAGCTAAGATAAACAAACATCTCGAGCTGTATCCGATGCAGAATTTCTTCATCTTTCCAGCTGCTTTATTACCAGTGTGATCCGTTGAGAAAGTGCTGAGATAATCGTTGGAAGCTTCAACCTTTCGTTTTCATTATGTCCAATTTCGTTGATTTTCAAAATTCTTGTTTGATAGGGCAAATCTTTTGCCAAACAAAGCCATTTTTTTCTTTTTTAGCTAATCTTTTGAGATTTTTAAAAATAATTTCTCAAAAGCCCTGAGTTTTGGAAAAATCGCATGACCTATTATTGCACCAAACACTGCAAAATCTTAAAATTAATGTGGTTTCAAGACTCGATCATGACTATTACTGACCTTACAAAGTAAATGAGCAATTTTCGCTTCAGTGAAGATTTTGAAACTTATGGTTCGTCAGTGCGCACTCGTGTAACAGAGAAATACTGCAATATCCGCGCACATATCGCATGTCTCACCGATAAGACAACTGTTAGAAAGAGGAGAAAAAGATGCATCGAATGGTACCTGACATGTCTGCCATTTCATGTTCTAGGTGAGAATAGGCGGAATTCAAAATTTGTTCAATTCAAAAAATATATTGTAAAAATCCTGAAATGCAAGCCACAGAGCTGCAAAACATGCAATTGGCAAAAGGTTTGCTTTATTTGCTATTTACTAAAACTCCCTCAAGAGTTTCATACAAAAATTCTAAAAAATAGCGAAATTCGAACATGGTGAAAACGAAGGGTTGCAATTTCCAGCTATTATCTCAGCACTATCTCAATGAATCACATTGCGTATATGGCACCTGAAAAGAGGAAGAGATTCTGCATCGGATACAACTTGAAGTATTTGTTTATCTTTACTATACGGGATCTGCGGGTCATTTCAAAAAAAAAACTGTCAAAACTTTTGCACCGACCTAGTATTTCGCTGTAATTCTTATTTTTCCTAGCTTTTTTTCACTGCGAATGCACGATTGACTTGGATTACTTTTCAGAACTACTTATCCTTTATCGAAAAAGCCTTTTTTAGAGTCTATTAGGCAACGCATGGTCGCACCAAAAGTCCAGAAACCTCTTATTTAATGTGCTGAACTTTGGTTGGTGAAGTGTAAATATAGCATTAATCTCAAGGAACTTTGGATCTTGATAATTTAGTTGAAAAACAGTGTTACATGATTATTTATATAGATGCCTCCGGAAAAAGTTTCATAACCAAAAAACTGACATTCAAATGGAGGAAGTTACAAAGTGACATAAGAAGCTATGAACGGAAGAAAATTTCCTGTCGCTCGGACATTGAAATGCCAAAAAATGATGAATTTGAAATTACAACAAATATTGACTAATTAGGTTGGTGTATAAGTTTTGACCAAAAGATGCTGAAAATGTGCCTGAAATTATTCACAAACGTGCCAATATAAACTCGCGAATTTTCCTAAAACACATGAAGCCTTGCAACGCTAACTAGAGATTTTACTAGAAATAATCGAAATGTCGAGAAAAGTATTTCTTAGTTATTGCTGGGATCATTCAGTTATCACAAACTTCTCTCATTCTCACTCGAAATGATTAGGTTGTATTGATTACATTTTCTTGGATTTTCTAGCATTTTCAGTAACGATTCAAATGTTTTTTTCAGTTAGCTTGTATCACCGTGACACAACACAATGATTTTTGTTTCCAGCAATATCAAAGGTCATGACTTCCTTTCTTTAATTTATTGAAATGAATATTTTCATTGAAAGTAGAAATATATACGCTTTTCTAAAAATTTTAGGAAAGCTCGTGGATCAACTAGATATTTCTCCCAATTGTGAATTTCGCCAAACAGATGCCAAACCTCCTTAGAATTCAGAATAATGTCAAAAAGTTATTTTGCAAAAATCTTTTTATCTGGGGTAATGATGTGTAAGGATCCTCTAATTACATCGTTCTGACTAAAAAACGTAAAAATTCACAAATCTATTCAAAATCCACCGCATGACGATTTTCAGTTCAAAAATTACATAACAAATGTTGCACTTATTCTTTGAAAGGTCATTAAGACATTTTCACAGCAGCTCTTCGTCCATCAGTACTGCAATGGTGACACACCTGTACAAGCATTACCCGTGTCACTCCCCCCCCCCCCCCCCCCCCCGCCACCGCGACATTTATAGACCGCAACTGTCGATTGTGCTTTGTACAAATTTGCTAGTGTAGCCAGCAAATCATTCGGAACGTCCCCTTACATTTCGAAAGCGATTATTCTCTAATATCAGAATATTTTTATATTTTTGCTTTATTTGTGATATTCGAGAAAGCGTGTGCAATTTGACTCGACATATTACCGCAGTTCACTGTGTACTTCCTTCTTCTACCAAATTTTAGTATAAATCTGATTTTCTGATGGAAGACAAATTTACGAAAATTTATGACCAGCTCAGAACTTGGAAGTAGGTACGACCCTAGATTTCATCTTAAAAATTCTCAAGCACTGTGTGCCTTCTCTACACTTACTCCACAGATTTACACATGTTTCTCTTGTGAAATTCCCATTATGCCATAAAACTTTTGATTGCTACTTCTCACAATCGAAGAGAGGGAATGTTTCCATTTTCCTGGGAATTTTAATTTTCAAAAAATCACCACGGTGACACCCCTTCCACTACTCAGACCAGCTATCCTCAATCTCTCGATCCGTCCGATTGCACTGTACGATGATTTCATCAGACAAACCAAGCATCAGTATTACTCATCAACGTTTCTCGCAACTGCCGCAAACAAAGCATTTGAACGGAGGCAGCACTATCGAAAAAAACGAATTTTCCGATGAGCGTCGACTGCAATGCACTATTGATACGCTGCTACCCTGACCGCAATTACGTACAAGCATTTCGGGGCGGCACGTTTAAACATGTTCATCCCAATGCTGCTAGACGAGAGGAAAGACTTTGCCATAGTCTCATTCTTTGAATGTGTCTGAAAGTAGTATTCTTTTCGAGTCCAGTTCTACTCAGTAGTTATTCCCAGAAAGCCTTGTGATTCTAAGCTGTTTTGGCAATTCAAAAAGCATTGCATTTGATCGATTTTTCTTCATTTGCCCGCCAATTCCGCCTCGGCCTCGGAACCTCAATGTCATCCCTTAAATAAAAATCATCGAAATCAAATTCAATTCAGTTTATAAAACGGATGAATTTTTGGATGTTTTTCTCCGAACCTCAAAGAGATAATAGATGACCAGAACTCGAGGATCATGATCATGCACACTAAAATCAATTAGGAGTGAACAGCGCCAAAAGTTGTTTGAAAACTTTGAAAATTTGGAGAAAATTGGGTATCATCACTTGCGCTAGTCTGCTATGATCATGCTTCCTACCTAAGGCTCTATAATCATCGAAGAGCTGTATTTTTTGCCGACGTTGTAATTTTCTCATAATATTTTTTTCGCATAAAAAATATAGCTATTCATTACAGCGAGTCCAGTTTGATATTTGATGTGATTTCTCTGGTGAAATTATTTTTCTTTTTCAATTCTCTGGTTTTTATCTCTAGCCTGCATTGCGATGCTGTAAAGTTCTTGGGTCCGATATATTTTCGTATGAAGAAAATGGAAAATGCGAAGTAAAGTACCCAAGTTTAGGCTCGATAACTAATAGCAATGGATTTACATCAGTTCAACGAATTGATTACGCGCATGCAATCACCCGACAATGAGCAGAGAAGCCAAGCTGAATCGATATATCATGAGATGGAAATACGCTCAGTGACCGTATTGTTGTATACGCTCTACGTACAACAAGATGCAGCTCCAGAAGTAAGAAATCCGTATCGAAATACGCATAATCGTATATACCGTTTTAAAACTAGCACTTCACTCATGTGTAGGGTGTCTTAGTAGAGGTTGGATATGGGTGGCTTTTAATCCATTGCCGAAAATTCTGTGGGTTTACGCTGAATGCTGATAACTAGCCGTTTTTTTTAAAGAATTGCACTGGTTACCGTATTTCTTCCATATGTCTCAGAATTCTATAGAACCAGTGGCGCGCATAACCATCGTCTATACAGTTGACTTACTAGCTTGCTCGACGATCGACGAGTGTTTTTTGAATTTCTCACTTGTCCACTGTTAATCTACCGTCAAGGGAACCTGCCCAAGAGATTAGTTTTCATGTATATTGTTTCCTTGGACGGAAATGTACCTTCGAAATCGGAACGAGTCCAAGCGCCTGAATCGAATAAAATCTCAAAAACAAAATAAAGCGAAAAAGTACCAACAAGCAGACCGACTTATAATTGTAGTAAGGCAAATTGGCGGTGAAAACCGGTAGTGTGGCAGCCAAGAATACTGCAGAAGGAACCGCGCATACTCTTCCACACTAACGGAAGCTCACTCTAAACTCATTGCAATGGAAAGATATAGAAATGGAGTGATGGCCGATTTACGAAGAGATAGTGTTCAAATTCTCAATTGGTTTGATAAGCGTACGGCATCAAGGTGTATTCCGTTTCGGAATCTGTGAGCTTTTGCGTCAAATTTTCAAATTTGCAATTAGTTTGATAAGCGGATACGGTATCAGGTGTATTTCGTTTCGAAACCCGTGAGCTTTTGCGCGCGGGCTGTCAGGCTTGAAAAGTCAGAGAAAAATGCGCAATGCCGCGTCTTCTTGTAGCAGAGTCGTATATGGTAAGAGGCTTTGGTCAATTGCCTACATGTCTTTTCAGGCCTTATTGCATTTCTTTTCAGAATCGACTAATGTCACTTATTCTACTCAGGCGGCTTCTACAAAATCAATGGGATGAGTTCAAAGAAGGCCTTGGTGATAACTCAGAAGCTTTTTTCCAACAGGTTAGCCGAGTTGACATAACTAATCATTTTCTTCGTAGCATAATATCTTTTAGCTACTGCATGGCTTTGCTAACGAGACCGACTTCGGGTTCCGAAAAAAGATGTTAATGGTTATAGCAGAAGTGGCGCGTAATACTATAGGTATATATCTCTTGCAGTCTATAAGTCTGCATATGTGCTTTCTTTTTAGATGAAGACACGGGTAAACAAAAATGGCTTGGCATAATTCAGCTTCTAAAACACTGTATGGGTAGCGACAAATCTGAAGATCTCCTTTGCGTCGCTCTAGTGCTTGAGTAAGCGTCATGCATCCAAATAAGTTTTTAAACTATTATTTTTTCTTTAGATCTGTACCAAACGTATTTGGCTCCGATTCTGATCAGTATATCGGTGATATAAAGGTAGGCATTCGAAGAAGTAGTGATTGTTCACTTCCGCTTCTCCTTTTCGATACACCTTTTTGGACACTGTTTTCTTTAATAATTCAAACTTAATGTGTAGCATTATGGAATACTAGTTGACTTACCCGGCTCCGCCCGGCCCTGTCATTATTATATTCGTAATCAGCATGCTCAATTACCCCCCTGTGCCAACTCTCAGCCCCGTAGCTCAAATTTTGCAAAAAAAATCGATAAAATCGATATCGATCGATGACGAAAAGTAGCCTATGACACCCGCCGGGGCCCGAAGTGTATGTGTGCCAAGTTTGGTCCGGATCGGTTCAGAAATGGAATTTTCTATTCGGAACATACGTACACACAGACATACATACAGACAGAAGACAGACAAATAGACATTCAGCTTTATATATAAGATGGACTAGATTCTACGAGAAATTGTCATTTTTCAGAAGTGCTTCTCCGTTCTTTTCAAGGATTCAAACTCAACTGTTCGCTCAGATGCTCTTAGGTGCTTTGTAACTTATGTAATCGAAAATGACGATGATGAGCGTTTGATTAAAGAAATGTCACCCTTAATGCATCAAGTCGTGGAGGTAAGGTTTTTTTTTCACGGTCGCTATTACTCTATAATGTCGTTAATCAGGTCTGCCGTTATACTTGTGTCAACGAAGACGGTGGAGATGATGCGCCGCTGCAGTGCCTGGCCGAGTTAGAGTCTGTTGCTCCTAAGCTTGTCAATCCACATATGGCTGAGATTTTGGAGATGTGTGTTGGAGTAAGTCATTCTGGTTTCACTCTACTGAAGCTTCCGTATGTTCGCTTATACTATGAATACCATTCCAGTGCGTCCTCAATACTGAAAAGGACGAGGCTTTCCGCCATTCCGCTACAGAAGTTCTGGCGACTATCTGCGAGTGCTCAACGGCTGTGCTCAAGAAGCGTCATGCTGCCACCATTCCTTTCATATGTAAGTTTTAGCACTACGATTTTGCAATCTATCATCATAATAATGACAATATTCAGTAAAAGCTGTGCTCCTGCTTATGACTCATTTGACAACTGAGCTGGACGAATGGCTGGAGGTTGATGACATTGATGCTGAAGACGACGAAGAGTAAGTTTTTTAGCTCATGTAATAGCGTGCTTTTTCCATTTGATATCTTCTGCTCAAGAATGATTTTTTTCTTTAATCAAATTCTTGCAGATCCGTAGCTGTAGGAGAGTCCGCTCTTGACAGAATATCTTGTGCTGTTAATGGAAAAGCTTTGCTTGGTCCATTCCTTAGCCTAACAGACAAAATGCGCCATTCTGGTGAGTGCAACAATATTCGTCTCTCGTTACGGTTCTCCTGCGCTGCATCATTAAACGGTTTATCTATTCTTCCAGAGGATTGGCGAGAGCGTCATGTAGCTCTTATGGGTTTCTCGGTCATAGGTGAAGGATGCCAAAGAACAATGGAGCCTCATATTCAAGATTACCTTCGCGAAATCGTACCTTTCCTAAATGACAAGGTATTACGGTTGACTGGTTAACATTCCGTAAACTCCTACTATTTTTTTGAAGCATCCCCGTGTTCGTTATGCTGCATGTAATGCTATAGGGCAAATGTCGTCGGATTTCGCTCCAACGTTGCAAAAGAAGTGTCATGAGATGGTGGGTATGAGATGTTTCAGCATTTTGATTTTTATGTTAGTATTTTTCGTCTACTGTTTAACTGGGGCATGGTTTTCTAGGTGGTTCCAGCATTGATGAATACAATGATGGATGCTTCATGCGATCGCGTTTCTGCTCATGCAGCTGCTGCCCTCATCAATTTTTGCGAAGACTGTCCTAAGCAGGTGAGAAAACAAAGATAAATTGAATCAAGTTGTTTTTTTTTGTGATTTAGTCTATGCTACAAAAATCCTCTACTATTAATGTAGTTTTTTTCACCTCGATATGAACTTTACAGATCATTTCTGCTTATCTTCCGGCCATAATGACTGGCTTAGAACAGTCTTTGGGGGTTGCATTCCAGCGGCTTCAGAATGCTGGAAAAAAGCTATGTTGCGAGCAGGTATGCTCACCTAAGCTGTGTATCTTCATCTTTGTTAAAAAAAGCATACTGCTCCAGATTACAACGGCAATCGCATCCGTGGCTGATGCAGCGCAAGATTTATTCATTGACTTCTACGATCGTCTTGTTCCTCAGCTCAAGTTCATACTCGTGAATTCTACCGGCGACGACTATAAGGTTAGTCGGTGGTCTTTCTTGAATTTTGTAAAAATGCTTATTCTTTGAAGGTCCTCCGAGGAAAGACGTTGGAGTCGCTTTCTTTGATCGGAGTAGCCGTTGGAAAGGAGAAATTCCGAGATGATGCGCTTGCTATCATGAACTTGCTGAAGGATCAAATGCCAACTTTGAGTTCCGATGATCCTCAGTGTTCGTATATGATTTGCAGCTGGACACGTATCTGCAAGGTTAGTTTGAATGTTGTTCATTGAATGCACATCATTACGAAGCAAATTTCAGGTCCTTGGTAAGGAGTTCGCCCCGTACTTGCCTCTCATAATGGGAACTGTTCTCCAAACTGCATCTTATAAACCGGAAGTGGCTGTGGTTGATGGTAGGTACAGCACCAAGTTTCAGAAGTCGTTCATCCCGATGGTTACGCATTGAATTTCACTGCTAACTTATATATGTGCATTTTTTTTCAGAGGACCAGGCACAGAAGAATGATCCAGCCTGGTCGTACCACTCTGTAGGTGACAACAAAAGCTTTGGAATTCGTACAGCTGGACTCGACGAGAAAGCCGATTCTTGCGCTATGCTGGTTTGCTATGCTAGGGATCTAGAAGGTGGGTTGTTGACAAAGGAATAACGCGCCATAAGTTGATGTTGGAAGAATGAAGCAATTCAGAGGAGTTTATTCCTTACGTTGACGAAGTTGCGAAACTTTGCATGGACAATCTACGTTTCTTGTTCGTAGACAGCGTGCGGTGCTCCGCTGCTGAAACACTTCCATGGTTGTTGAAGTGTGTCAAGAGTCAGGTGGGTTAGCTACTGCCAGTTCATGAACTTTCACTATATATCTTGACCTTCCAAGTCGTCGTTATAGGGAGTAGAAGCAATGCGTCGTTTATGGGTGGAGTTCTTCCCTGTTTTGTGTACAGCTCTAGATAGCGAGAACGAACCCGAAGTCATGGAAAGCTTTATTGACTCCATTGCCGAATGTGTTTTGCAACTCGGTGCAGGGGTACGTTTTACTTTTTTGACATAAGGGAGTGAGGCTTTGACTGTCATAGGCGCCTTTAGAAAGTATTTTTCTGGTTGTTCAGGGTCTTACAAAGGAAGACGTCGAAAAGATCACCTCTGTGATTTCTGATCAACTCAAAGCGCATGAAGATAGGCGACTAGAAGCCGAAGCCGAGGAAGTTGAAGAGGTAAGAATTTGATATGCTAGGATCTCCGAAGCGCGCTGTTGTCACTCTGTTGAGCGGCTGAAAGACTAACCGCTTTTTTCCATCCTCAGTTTATCACTTTTTTACGAATTGTCCTCCAAATGCTTGAATTCTTTGCTCGGTGATCATAGGATGCCGATGTCGATGAGCTGAGAGAGAAACTTACGGACGAGGCGGAGATGGAAGGTGAAGTGCTGGCTCGAATCTCGGATCTCATACATAACATGTTCGAGGTGGATTTTTCCACTGTTGACACTGAAGGGCTACCTTTTGAGAACATCCTTTCTAGACATTTGGAGAGGCGTTCTTCGATTGTGTAGAGCCGTTATTACCTAGTTTCGTACAGCTGATCGATTTTCATCGCGCATATCCATCGCGGCAGTATGGTGTTTGCTACATCGATGACTGTATCGAGTTCGCGCCAAGGGTGAGATTGTTGATTCCTCGTACTATACAGTGATAATAGCGCTCTGCTTTTGTAGCTCTCGAACACATAGGTTGATTCCCTACATTGCGTATAACGACACAATCACACTATTGCAGAGGTGTGCGAAATATCAAGAACAGTTCGTACCTCTTATGCTCAAATGTCTTGCGGACGATTATCCCGAAGTTCGTCAAGCGGCTGCATATGGGTTTGGAGTGATGGGTATGGTTGGCGGAGCAGAATACCTGAACACAGTAACACACGCCTTAGAACCTCTTGCTGCTATGGTGAACAGGTGGGTTGGCAGTACCGTGCCAAACCTTATCAGTCAGATTTATAAATTGTTTTGGCTATCATTTCAGTCCGGAAGCGCGTCTTACAGAGGAGAGTTCTGGTGCTACAGACAACGGCATCGCGGCGGTAGCGAAAATTTTGAAATATTCCGGTGCCAATATAGATATTACTCAGGTAATGCACTTTTCCTCCATTCATTATTTATCTTATTCGCGTGAATAATGCTTGAGTTTACTACTCCAATGTAAGGGAACATTGCGCAGTGTTCTCCGTCTGATTTTTGTTTTTGAGCCCTGGTTTGCTTCAAATCCGATTTCATGTTATCATGTGCTGCTCATCTGAATCTTTAGTGCGCCAGGGTGTTTGCTAGGTGACGATCGGAGAGATGATGGCGCACACGTGCGTCATATAGTTTCGGTGACAGTGGAGTAAAAACTTTTATGCCAAGTTATTATTTCCAGGTCGTTGACTGTGACTTGCCAATGTTTCTTATAATTTGCGTGGGCTACTATTCTGCATGAAACTGTATGATGAACTTTTAGGTGGTCCCTGCCTTCTTGTCTTGGTTGCCTACCCATGAAGACGTGACGGAAGCGCCTCATATCTATGGTTATCTTGCTGACCTTATCGAGTCCAATCATCCCGCTGTACTTGGTGATAATAATAGTAATTTACCACGGATCGTATATATAAGTGCGTTACATTCCGTTTGCTTTATAACTGAGGCTAATTCCGATCATTTGATGTCAACACCAATGCTTTTCAGTTGTGTCAGCATTTCTCCTCGAAGCTTTTCCACAAACTGATGAAGGTAACGCAGTTGCTCAACGGCTACAACACATACTCAAGGTGCTCCATAACAACACGGAAATGTTTGAAGCTGTTGTTCAAGCAGCCAATCTTGACGAAAAAAGAACCGAAACCTTGCGTGGCCTCATCTCGTGATAATTTCATCGTGTTTTTCGTTTGTTGTCACTTCAATAGCGAAGCTATATGTCAATTGTTGTTGTTGATTGACGTAACACGTCAATACGAACTTACTATGTCTATGCTCTCGGTTTTTGACAATTGTTCCTATTCGTTGAGACATCGTGTTGTGAGCGATGTCCTAGTGCCTCGTAAGTACGCAAATCCACCAATACAAAGACTCAAGTGAAGAATTAGATCATCTTCATTTGTACTCTGTAGACTTCGAAGGAGCATCCCGAGTGCCTTTAGATGGCAAAGATCAAGCGATTTTGACACGCAAAGACTGGTCGCCGTTGCTTCCGATGAAGATAGTTTGTGGATGGGAGAGACGACAGATGGTAATAGGAACGAAAGAGCGCTTGATCAGAAAGACGTCGATACGTTCCTCTTTGCGTGCTACGAATCCTATAACTATACATCTTTCGACACGTAAAACTGGTTATTGTTTGCTCCAAACCTAAGAACGATTGTACGGCTGAGGTAGCCCGCTCGCTTCTCAGACAATCAAAGGCTCTCAGCCGGTCCCACTAAAAGCAGCGACAGTGAGGCAATAAGGCCGGCTGAGAGCCTTTGATTGTCTGAGTTAGCCGTATAACTTGCGAGCGGAGCATATAGCGTCCTTCAGTACATAACCGGCAAAAGTCCAAGTCTTTTCCACAAGTTAACATACGAATATGCTAATGCGGACTCAGCAGGGCTTCCAAGTCAGTAAACATATAAGAAGTTCGAATACTCAGGGTTACCTACCTTTCGGAGTCTCAATGGTGGGCAGAAAAATGGAGGACTGCCACTACTCTAGATATATTCCGTTACTATCGGATGAATAACCAATTTAGACACGACAGTCAAATCACAAAGTGAAAATTTCTTATAATACAGATTGCATTATGAATGATTGTGTACATTTACAAAAAGAAAATGGGCAAATAAAACATGTCTGTGGCACATATGGGTGATAGCATAGTAGATCCGACTATTGATATGGTGTTCCTGCGGTGTCGACAACACTTTCGCAAAAAAAATTGCTATCCTTGCGATGTACAGCGCTTGCGCGTAAAATAGACCTCAGGCGCGTTTTTGCTAGCTTTGCACCCTATGGCCTCGAGTTCAAGCGATTGCATCGTCGCGATTGATCGCTACAAGACAACTGTTACGAGTTCACTGCATGCCGTTCTTCTTGTATTTCGGTTGTGATAGTTAGTCGACCCTTGCATTTCGGTTGTGATAGTTTTCCAACACGATTAGTCCTGTTGGAAAACTATCACAACCGAAATGCAAGAAGATCGGCATGCAATGATATTGTCACAGTTGTCTAGTCGCGTAGACTTGTCGCAAGTGTTGTCGACAATGCAAGGTCTCCGTCATACATAGTGTCGCGCAAAAATGTAAATGTACCGTGTCTGATAGTTGATAACTCTCTCATTCCAACAATTTTTGCGAACATCCAAATACAGTATTGTAGGAATGGCTTCACACTTGCATTGAAAAACGTCATCTATCGCTCTTCATTACAGTGGTGTGGATGAAGTCTCTGAGAATGTGTCAGCAATTTCAAGAATTCTTGTCATAGTGTTCTTCTCGGGCACGTTCTAAAAACAGAATTTTTCTACCAGCGGCTCCAGGATTGCCGCGAGGGTGAATTCGGGGGAGCGTGTCAACGGTGCGGTTATTCAGTGTTTAGGCCTAGTTGATAAATTGCTTATCGATTGACCATCACAGCCACACTAGCGCCAGTCTGGGAGCCGATAATAACCTTGTAGGATTTTTAGATGAAGTAAACTAGTCTCTTAGGGAATAACAGTCACCACCGTATACCTGATTCCTTTTGGAATAGAAATACCAAAAAATGCAAACTTTACGGAATGTTTTCGATCCTCAATGATACAAGATCTCTTGCAGATCTCTGATCCTGCGGTTAAACATGATCGGTGGTTGGTTCTGTTTGGCACATTAAAGTTGAAGCCAGTCTTACAATATAGTATCACTTTGATTTGAGCTAAAATGTTGGTGAAAGAAAGTTATTATGAACGAAAACACGGTACATCTTTGGAACTTAAAATCTACTAGACTACACAAATCATCGTTGCTCAAGTCTACAACATACTAAACGGATAGTAGCACTAATCCACATTGAATAATGGAGGCATTTTCCTATCACATTTCCATTCCGAACATTTTGAAGTTTCCTGATCTGGTTCGGCACCGCATTGATTGTCCCTAAAACTTCTCCTTTTACGAGGTACCAAAAGTTAAAGCACAAGGCGTACCCGCAAGAACAACGCCTTTTTCGTAGTCTGTCTCCCATTCCACAGCTTACTGTACATGCCGACCACTGCGACCATCTAGTCCATTCACACTGTAAAGTCTATTGTCAATAACTTTTTGAGCAAAGTCGTAGCCAAAACCTTCTCCGTCTTAATGACACTGGCGCTTAGTGACACTTCGTTGTGGCCTGCGGTTGACTCGTCCAATTCCAATGCAGACTGGATATTCTCGTCGAGCTAAAATTCTTACTTTTTACTTCAAATTATTATTTGTATACGTAGTGATTAGTTCTCCTAGAAAATGGACAAAACAGGTCACCTTGGCTTCGTCACCAGAGCTTATGTCGCTATCAAAGGGTCCCTTGCCGACGTTGAAGTCAACTTCGTTCGCAATTCGTGTCATGTCGCAGTGCTCCTCCTCAGTTGAGAGGCCTACACACTCACAGTCGCTTATCAGTGCTATAATGCATAAATGTGAATTTGCATAAGGCGAGCAGGATATGTGAGGAAAAACATACTGTCACTTCCTATACAGAATCGGTTTCGATGTCGTTGCTTATGGTCATCGCATGGACTCCATTCTGACCATTTCGACCAGCGACAGACCTGCAAGCTGTTTTATCCTCCAGAAATCCAGCATATTCGTCCTTCTAGAGAAGATATGTGTGAAGTAAGTGGGAGGCAGTGCACCAAGCGCCATTTCCTCTATTAGATTGAGTAATCTAGGCGTTCCGGCACAGAAGCGCGCTAAAGGTGCGAAAAGTGCGTGATCCACTCACAATTAGTTGCAGAAGAAGCAAACCCCATAATAATTGTTTTGAAAAAAAATGGTCAAAAAACATTTAGAGAAAGGTATGCCTAAGACGTGTCCTAGAAAATGTGATCACCCTTTATTTTTTAGCAAGTGTCACACCAGCATTAAATGAACTATGAAAGCTACATTTCAGGTAGTAAGATAACAGACGACCAGCAACTTGTTTATTCGTTGAACTCACAAAATTTTCAACACCCTCCATATTTCCATAAAAATCGGATTTGACTTGATATAATGCCCCATGCGTGTTAACAACCTTGCGCATAGAAAATGTCCGAGTGCAGACTATCAAGTCTCCGCGTACGGCCTCGGGCAGAGTTCACGCGATTTGATCGTCGCAATTCAATCGCTACAAGACAAGTGTTACGAGTTCACTGGATGCCGATCTTCTTGTATTTCTGTTGTGATAGTTAGTCACGATTGGTCGTGTTGGGGAACTATTACAAAATGCAAAAGATCGGCATGCAGTGATATTGTTGCAGTTGCCTTGTCGCGATCAATCGCGACGTCAAATCGCGTGAACTCTGCGCGAGACCTACCAGGGCCATTATTTACAAGCGAGTGACAAAAACTGCGCATTATTCGTCAAGTAAACAAAACTTTAAAAGTTGCTTCTTATATAGAAAAGGGAATAAGAGCGAGTACCAACCTCAGAACTGTCTGCAGCAGTGTCACCAAAAGAATAAGCAGAATCAGCTTCTTGCCCATAGCCCTCTGGTTGACTTGTTCCTTCGCTTGTTGTTCGAGATACTCCAACGCTCGTTGTTCGAGATGTTCCAATGCTTGTTGGTCGAGATGTTTCAACGCTTGTTGTTCGAGATGTTCCAACGCTTGTTGGTCGAGATGTTTCAATGCTTGTTGTTCGAGATGTTCCAACGCTAGCTTGTCGAGATGTGCTCTTACTAGTCTGCCGAGCTGTAAGACTCTGGTTTTGATGACTGAAAAGTGATATTCAAACAACTCTGACTTGGTGGCAGAGACGGTGATTCGCTGGGAGTCTCTTTCCTTGTGGTGCTGCTTGGGATCGTTCTTGGGGGTTCACTTGAAATTATTCTAATCGGTTCAGTTGCAGGAGGTGCACCTGCACCACTCGGCTGTTCCATCTCGCATATCTTAACAAATGAGAATTACTTCCATAGGCAACTGGATAGTGGAGTTAACTCATAGTATATATTTACTCGTTCAACAATGCAATCTCTTTCTTCCAGATCGTTCCCAACACAACGACAGGTAGGATCCACGGTCAACGTGCCAGGTTTGGCCCCAGGCCGTTCACAGTAGCGCCGGCGACTTTCTTTTCCAGCCTGTACACTTACAACTGGCATTGTTTCTAATACAAATGTGGAGATCTCGACTCACCCGACATCTTCTGCAACCGCACCATTCACCCCATTCCGTCCAAGCACACGGAGTTGGCGTTTGACATGGAATATTGCACTGTCGAGTTTCTACGGCGTTCCCCTCACAGCAATTCGCGCCTTTAGAATAGTTTCTTATCGAAATACCTTTTACATTACTGCGTCATTTTGTGTATAGTTTTCTAGAGAAACATTATTTTGAGGTTCGCGGTAGTCGCTCTTGTGCCGAGAAAGGATGATGCATGGGATGGCGACCAAGCACGCGACGCGCATGACATCGCAGTGTAATTTGGTGTCATGCCAGCATATATACAACTACGGACGCAACTTACATGGGAGTTTCAGTTTGAGTGTCACGGTCGACGTGGTTCAGGTCCTCGCGAGCCGCCTCGCTTGTGTCTCTCAAGTGGTACAATACCGCATCCGCTAAGGTCTTCGCGGTGTCGGGTGCGGTATTGTATTACGTGAGAGGCCCAAGCGAGGCGACTGTTGGAGTCGAACCACGTCGAACGTGACACTCAGGTTGAAAGCCCTGTAGTAAGCGTTATAGCTACAGTCAGTATATTTGTGTGCCCCCTACGAAAACGGCAACATATGCACGTTAACATGCTCACGAATACCGACATCTTGTTTTAAGTTTGGATTTAGAAGTAGGCGTATATTGCAAATGTTGTCTTCAACGCAAGAATACTATCTTCATTGTCAATAGTTTGTACTAGTCTACTATGCTGATAAGAAAACACTATTTTTGTCAATTTACCTCTTTGAGAAATTATTGCTTACCTCTTTGAGAAAACATTGCTTGTCTCCGTGTTCGATGATTGACGGGAACAATCGGTGATATCGAGACTGATCCACCTGAAAAGTGAGCAGCAGAAAAATTTGACTGCATCTTCCAAAAACCTAATTCCATATCCCCCACCTTTTATCTGCGGGCTGATTAGGTATGGTCCAATCTCACCGTGGAAGTCTAGCTGAAAACTGTAGATTGACACACAAATGTTCTTTCCATTTTTCAGACCTGGGATGTGGAGGATGGAAAAATAGCTCCGGATTCAGTTACTCTGCATCTGCGAGTTCTAGAAGACGTAGATTCTCTACCACAGCCACTGCAAGGGGACCATTCGCTCCACTCACTCCAAGTGCAACATGGGCCTAAACAAAACTTTATTGCTATCAAGATGATCTATGCAATGCTTTACCTGCATCACAAGGCTTTCGTTCTATATCTGGACCGATACATGTCCCACCGCCCTCAATGTTCCTAATTGGTGCTCGCCTGGTATCCTAGAAAACTGTCACATGAGACTGAATCTCTCAATTGAGATTTGCCACTTATTGAGAGAAAACGTGTGAAGTCTGAAACCAACCTCAGCTGATTGGATGAGTTGAGGATGAGGACCTTTTCCTGAGCCTCGAGATCGGTCTATTAGATTAGATTTGGCCCTGTCTAGAAGAAAATGAAAATTATTGATAGTAATTTCTGCTATAATGGTATAGCAGCTGTTCTCAGATACCACAAATTTTTGCCCAAGCCTACCTGTTTTGCTATTTTCAGCTTCAAAAAGGGATTCTTCCAAATCTTCAAGGTTTGGAAGATTCAGCAAATCGTCTGTTATACACCTAGAGCGGATATACTCGAGATCGCCAAATTTTTGTTCTTCCTTTTTTTTACATAACTTACCGTCTGCGACGTTCACAATATCCACTGCCACAAGTCACTGAGCACCCGGTCCATGGCATCCATTCATCCCAATAGGGACAGCTAGCTAGCTGGCAAAATCGCATTTCCCTGTTTGATCCAAGACAATCTGATCCATTTTCACAAGATCGTGATCTGAAGCAGCCTCTTTCTAACAAATTTTCCTTGCTGTTTATCTTGTGACTAGCTGATCTGCCCGGTCCAGCCCGGGAAATCACTGATCAGGAATGAAGATAAGGTATTCGGTGGCATTGTAGAAACTGTGTAAAGAGCAAAAACAAAATGTGAACACTTATTAGTCGGTAGCATATCTCTCTTTCTCCAAATCATGTTCAACACGCAAAACCTAAGCAAGCAGCGCGAGTTAACTGATAGCAGCGCTCATTGTTATTATGAGGATCATTTTTTGTGACACTTTGCCGTTAACCGGCTACTTCATCTTCATTCACTGCTTGCCGTCAATTTTTGTGGAGTCGGCAGTACTTTGCACTCGCGCACTTTCCTGGTCCCAGGGATCAACTATAGCGAATGTGAGTTGTCGCTTGTCTTGACATTATTTCTGGTATTGACAAATAATTTGTGCGCAATCTCATGAAAAATTTTGACCCCTCATTGTTTAAATTGAGCATGTAACGAAGAAAGCTTTGATTATAAGCGTAAATTGAGCACCTTCCGTACAAAACACTCGCTACTACAAAGCACTCATGGTCTCTTGCACGCTAAGGTTTCCGCAGCATAAAATACATTTAGTGCATCCATTTAAATGAGCAATTGAGACTCACATCAAGAACACTTTTCACTGCACTTCGTCAACAGAAGTTCACAATGAGACATGCCAGCCTTGTTTACATACCCCTGTTTTGATAGCAAATGATAAGAATCATTTTTATTGCAAAGTGCTGCAAATCAATAAATCGATAGAAGGACCCAACTAATCGCTACAAAAAGTAGCCTATCATCTGCGCAAGGCTCGAAAACATATGTGTGCAAAGTTTCAGCTTAATCGGTTGAGCGGCGCGCGTTTCTATAACGCACATACCCTCCAAACTGACAATTTTTGAGTTTTATATATATATAGATTAAAGATTGGTTCAGGGTACTGACCTTTGTTGACTGCCCTGAGCACATGTAGCAGAACATTCTGACCATTCATTCCATTCCGACCACGCTGGACAAGGACGCATAGGACAGCTAGACTGATCCTGTGCTGATCCATCGCATCCTGCATGTGCCATTCCACGATACATACAAACCCTAATTAGTTTCAAAAGCATTCATTATATCATGCAATCAAGGACTTTAGACGCGGTGGACTCACTGCATAGTTATTTTCTTACCTATTTCTTATTCTATAGGATTCCTCATCACATTTGCTTGAGCATACAGTCCAAGATGTCCAATCAGTCCAAGTAGGGCAGTCCTGAATGGAACTTATACTCTACTATCTTGCACATTATTCTATACATAAGCTACTTTACGTGTTGGTTACAGAGTAATCGTTCTTCCGAAGCTCCATCGCAAGCTGTTCCTTGTACACAATCTCTTGAGCGCATCTACATAATAATCTTGTAAGCTAGCGAATGTAATAGCTTGGTCGGAAGTTACCGTTTCCCCTGTAGCACAACTTTTCGTACAGGCTGACCATGGTGTCCATTCACCCCACTGTGGACATTCACCGAGGTCACATGTTCTGGTATCAATCGCTGGCCCAAGGCAGAGGTTGCTGTTCTAAAAGAAATTTTAGAGTACGCCAAATTCTCTTAGAGTACGCCAAATTCTCTTTTTATAGGCACAAAAACGATCACTGTTGGATATATAGAATTGGCTCGAAACTGAACTATCATTGTAAGCTGTCACTGCGATGACTTACCCGCGCTATTGCTATACGCTGCCCACGAGCCGGCTCCACGGAGCTCGCTCGCGGTCGCTTACAAGGGAATTATGGACGGTCGAAGTGGCCTTCTGGAATGAGCTCTATACTAGGAAACCTTTTGATAAGCCAATCTCAAAACTACTTTCGTTAGTTGCTGAACGATTTGTGGGGTAGCTGGCGCGTCTGCTAACGAGTGAGACGATGAAATCTCCAGCAGTTGCGCATTGGCAAGGCTGCCCATGGTAATCCGATAGTCAAAGGTTCAAATCCTTTTGGTGGAGTTTCGTTTTGCAGTATTATAAAAAGTCTATTGGGTGACAGTAGACGACAAATATTCATTGTTACGCAGTCAAAACCAGCTATCTACTGCAAAAAGTAACTATTTCCACATCAGCTAAAATCTTTTACAATTTGTAAATTTATGGGGATTATGATATTACGACAATGGATTTTTATATATCAACTAGTGAACCAGTATTAACCAGTAACCAGTAGCCAGTAGGGAAAGTTCTAGATTGCATCCGCACGCTCCGGGAACGCCACGTGGTTTCCCGCTATTTGCAGATTTTTGAATTGTGCTTACGTTTCTTTATATATTAGACACGTATGGCATGCTGCCACAAAACAATAAAAACATAAGAGCTTCTCGCAGCGCCGCACTTGCAAAAATGCAGTCAACTGCAATCAACAGGTTTATTACCTACCAAGACAGGACCACGCATAAAGGCAAGCGTATAGTATGTACATATAACAAAAAGCTCTGCTGCCAACCATTACGATGTTCTCGCCACAGCTTGTTGTCTCGTACCTTCAGGAAAAATTCGGACGGTTGACATCTCTCGAAAACCGACACGGATGGAGCAAGGGATTTGTCATCGTTTATAGTTCATCCGATGAGCGCGCTGCGAGAAGCTCTTATGTTTCGAACGTTTTGTAGTAGTATTCCTTACGTGATGATATATTATCCATTGTCGTAACATCATAACCCCCATAGAATGACGTATAGATGTAGAAGCTGTAAATTTAGCTGATTGTGGAATTGGTCGCCTTTTGCAGTGAATAGCTTGTTTCGACTGCGTAGCAATGAATGTGGTGAATGTGTCGTCTACTGACACCCAGTACGCTTTCTACAAACTGCAAGACAAAACTCCACCAACAAAATTCGAATCAACCATCTGATTCACAGTCCGCTGGCTTGCCACTGCGCCACTGCCCCCGCGGTTTTGCGCCACAACTAGGCGCGCCGGCTGCGCTGAAGAAAAATGGCCCTCGAACTCTCCCCACAAAATCGTTCGACAACTAACGAAAGTAGTTTTGAGTTTGCCTTACCAAAAAGATTTTCCTAGTATGGAGCTCAATGCAAAAGGCCACTTCGACCCACTTCTGTTAGCTTAGGTAGATGCCAGAGTAAGCGAATATTTTGTTCAGGTTGGGGTCCCGCGCAGAATTGACGTCACTTGGATTGGCGCCAGCACGGTGAGTGACGTCATTCTGGCGGGACCCCAACCTGAACAAAGTATTCGCTTACTCTGGCACCTGCCTTACCGCTAAACACTCGATCTCGGAAAGATGACTAAAAAGACCGCCTATCACCGTAACACCGTACCTGACATTTTCTGCTTCGTCTCTCCAGTCCCGGTCCGCAAGATACGCTACATCCTTCCCATGGTCCCCAGTTACTCCATGTTGGACATGGCGAAGTTGCGCAAGTCTCTACAGTCTGAAAATCAAATGAAGTAACTAGAAGGGAATTCAATCATCTTATGTATGAAGCTGAATGTCTGTTTGTATGTTTGTCTGTCTGTCTGTCTGTCTGTCTGTACGTATGTTCCAAATAGAAAATTCCATTTCTGAACCGATCCGGACCAAACTTGGCACACATACACTTCGGGCCCCGGCGGGTGTCATGGGCTACTTTTCGTCATCGATCGATATCGATTTTATCGATTTTTTGCAAAGTTTGAGCTACGGGGCTGGGAGTTGGCACAGGGGGGTAATCGAGCATGCTGATCACCCCCGTGGGGATGATCGGCATGCTCGACTACACCCCTCTGCCGAATTCCAGCCCCCTAGCTCAAATTTTGCAAAAAATCGATAAAATCGACATCGATCGATAACGAAAAATGGACTGTGACACCCGCCGGGGCCCGAAGTGTATGTGTGCCAAGTTTGGTCCGGAGCGGTTAAGAAATGGAATTTTCTATCCGGAACATACGGCGGAGCCGGGTAAGCCAGCTAGTTTTCAATAAGAAGTTTAACCCCTACCGTACTGACACCGGGACAATCACGGCCACCGATGCATTCCCTTGAGCGCTTTCTCTCTCCTTCACCACAAGTGGCTGAACACAGCGACCACGCTCCCCATTGGGACCATTGCTGACAGATCGGGTTCACCATGCATGGCTCAGTCGCAGATCCTACACAGCCAGCACCTAAAATCTCAAATGTAGACTGTAACTAAGCACTTACTCGTCAACCTGCGCATTGTCGCATTCTTGTTCCTGGACCACAAGTTTGTGAACATGGACCCCATTCCAACCATTTCGATACGGTAGTAACGTGGGGGTCAGAGCTTTGACATGCTGCTGAGTACTGAAACAAAATTTATGTCATAATATGGTTGTTTCAGTACGGTGCTCTCCTGCAAAAATTCCTAACACATGGCTGACGAGGTGCACATGGGTCATTTTGGCGTGCAGGACATGGCGATGAATCCAAAGATGCCATAGTATGCATGCATGGTGCACCAGCTGAAAGAACATAGGTTAGATGACATGAACTTCATCCTCCTGCGCCTTCAGAGAGTGTTTCGTTCAAGAAATTTTGAGAAACTTGCATGCACTGCGTTAGCTAAGCAGCGTCTGAGTTGCCCGTGAGCCGGTGCTGTGCCAGCGCTGTGCTGAACCCACTTGGACGTTACTGATCAATCGACGTTATCACTACGATGCACGTTGCCAGCACGGCGCTGGTACAGGTAATTCTGAATGCAACCTAAGCAAACAGTTAACATAAACATAGCACACCTGGACAATCCGATCCATACTTCATAGCTTGGCCCATGTGAAGAACTGCGACTGGAACTATAGGTACAAGGCCTAAAAGTATAGGTATATACGAATTTCAACGGAAAATACATTTGTCCAGTCCTTCCTTTTCTTGACGAACAAATATGAAAAAGTAGCACATGGTACAGAAGTATCTACTAAAACTGAATGAAGTAGTACGTACGCGTGGGTTCGCTACCTTCAAAAGGAGACTTAGGTCGTGGTGGTTGGTCCGCAGATTCCACATAGGAGCTCGAACGTGTGTCCGTCGATTCCAAGAAAGTCCTTAGACTGCCAGGTGGCGACCGAAAGCTAGGTTTCTTGGTTTCGGTCTCGGGGTACAGCCGAGTCATCGTCTGTGAAAAAAGTTTGATTAGATAATGTACCAGTAATAGATGTGAACTCAAAGTAGATGTATTCTTACTGCATATCTATCTGTATTCAAACGAAATGTTTCTTCACCAAACGTATCGCGATCCGGAAAATATGCATCTGCTCGATAATCTTCATCTATCAGCTCTGAAACCATTAAGGCTCACTGGAAATTGACACAGTCAATAAAAACAGGCTAGCCTCCGGAATTGTCCGTCACATCTTCTAGCTTTTTTCGATGGTTTGTAGATATTTTATTAGTGATTTCCGATGACGCGTATCTAGGGCATGATTCCAGAATCTCGTAGAATGTGGAAACCTGAAACGTTCTTGCAGAGACTTGCTCATGTTATCCCTCATTGCCTGCTTCAAGTAGCAGGATATGCTTGAGTGACTGCGGTTGGGTTAGGCCGAAGATACACCTTGCGCGATTTCGCCGCGTTATTTGGAAAAGTTCCAAGTTCTTAATCTCATCGTAAGCGCATTTTTGATTGCAGATCATGAAGTGTTCAGTATACAGAAGCCATCAAGCATATTTAAACTCTATAGGGTGAGGTTCAAAAACATTTGACAATCTGCCAAATCGAGCTCGAAGAATATTACACAGAAAAATGCATTTTCTGACTACTACTGCTCGCGCGTTCAAATTGCTTTTAACTACCGCTTCACAGCTATATCATTATACTGCCGCACACTTGTGCAATAGTTATTCTCTACAACAACAACGCAGCAAAACAAATCACACTTACCGGTTCTACAGAAGCATCTGGGTGAAGCGCTACCGGTCGTTGAACACTGTTTTCCGAATACAACGTACATACGCCAATTGACTGTAGAAGTTCAATTATAGCCAGTGGAAAAAGTAGTAATTGCCGAAAAACTAGATTTTACTTACCTTTTCTTTGTACGGTGTGAAAACAACAGCTTTACAAAATCGAATTTTTTCAATGCATCGTTCGACACATCGTTCATGTGTGGGCATATGAACTCGTTGCAAAACGGCTGATGAAGTGAACACATAGCGCTTCCGTGAGCATACCCGTACTGCGGAAACTAAAATAGTGCTTACTTAGTCTCGAACTAAGACAGAAGGACTTCTCCAAAGAGAGAACTCAAAATGTTTTTCGTATATTTTCCATTACCAGCTGGTTACTTACACGAAGAATCAAGACCATTATTCAACTGGGCATCGCGTGTCACACTGCGACTTCTGCACGAATATCCATTACTTTTACATCATACCTTTACTTAGAAAATGAACAAAAAAGCCTTCAATAAAAAATTTGACAGGCACACTTTACAAAGGTCGTGGCTTAATTATACGGTCCCGCCAGATTGTGACAGTCGTAAACTCTGCGGCCTACGCGCATGTCCAGACGTCACAAAACCCCAAGCTACTCTATAACAAAAGTGACCCTGAACGTATGATCGGCTCCCAGATTCGTGTGGAGGTGTATTGCAGACTTTGCCTGATAGCACATGTAAACTTGCTAAACCTCCACGTCATAGCATTGCTTTTCGTAATCTCTCGCTAGCAAAAACCGCCACGCGGTGAGTTGGCAAGACTCTATATCCACACGAATCTGGGAGCCGATGATACTAAGGTGATTGTAAATGTTGAAAAGCTAGCAGCTTATAGGAGAAGAGCGCTTTAGGGGAAAAAGAATTCGACAAATTCATGCTGACGTACCGGCAATGGCAAGCGACACAACTGTCACGATTAGCTAAGCTCTATAAACCCGCCAACCTAAGCTAACTTGGCAAAGCAGAGAGAATCTTGAGTTCAATTAGAGAACAACAATCAAGTTAATATGTGTACTACATCATTAATGGTGACAGCTAACTTCAGCTGTAGCTGTCATGTCAGTAATACAGTAAATTTTCGGGGTATAGCCAGCTGTTCTTCAGTATCGAACCTTCACAATCCTTGAAGGCTGGGCGTCTACATATGTTATGGAACATCTATCACTCATTTGCCATTCGTCGCAAGGCTCGCCTTGCTTTCAAGTTAAAACCAGTATGAGCTCAATCAATGTGATAGGTAATGTGATAGTTTGGATATGAATGTAAGTTGTCATTAGCGCTTTGTTTTACATAAGAGCTGATTTATTCACATTATAGAAATGGCGCTCGGATTCTGCTCATTTTTTTCCACTTCTAGATAAGGAAGCCAATTTCAATTCATTAGCTGCTTGGAAGCACGCGCTCTTAGCTTATTATCTTGCCACAAGTAATCTTTGATCAAAAAAAGTTAATCGAATTTTCTGTTGTAGAAAAAGTGCGTGAAAATTACTTCTCGTGCACGTAGCACCCAATATGACCATGGTATTTGCCGTTGATAAAGCAGCTTTTCGAAAAGCAGATTACAATTATCTCATTGTCAGATGAGCAAAAAAGCATGAGCAACGTTTATTACAGAGTTAAAACGTTATGGTGAGTTTATAACGGTGTGATCAGTTCAATCTTTATGCACGAGGAAAAGATAAGAGATTGGCAAAAGTATGCACACAGGGCTACAGTCTATGGCCTTCATTGTTAAACATGCCGCAGCTATGCTAGTGCATGTAAAAATTTTATACAGGTGGTTCCAACCTTTATATTTCCATTCAGTGAAATTTAATATACATACAGATAGCATATACAAGCGGTTTTCATCAACAAGTGTCGTATCTGCCACAAGTTTTAACGTCAAAATGAAATGTCTAGCGTACATGATCCTATATGTGTCTGAAGTTTTGACCCTATGGGGCTCTATAACAGCACGAATCAGTCAAAAATGAAAATTGCTATATCATATTGCGGGGAGATCCTTTTCTTATGTCACATCCAAAATCAGACGGACGATTCGAATTAAGTGTTCTGACCCTTTTGATTTTATTGCTTTGTTTATTTCTACACTGTTGAAACACATCGCGTAATGCATAATTACGGTAAAAACAAGCAGCAACTAGTTAGTCAGCTCATCTACATGTTTGTTTCTTTCTACAAAAATTACGTAAGCGATGTAGAGTCGAGAAAAAAGAGCATATATCAACAAGTTTTTTCCAAAATGACGAGGAACCTTATTCACTCCAAATGCCTGTTTTTTTCTCAATGCAAAATTCTCATCCCTGTGTGATTTCTCAAAGCTGTAATTTATCTCTACATTACGTCGCCTACGCTCTTCTAGTGTTACGTACATTTTTAAGTCCCTTTAGCAGTCGCAAGTACTTTCAGATCCATGTTGGATAAACACCTTCCATCTCGTGACTACTGATCTCGTCTCGCTTTTCTATACAGCTGTTGAGTGCATACGTACTTCGGAATTTTTTTCGTAATGTTGATTTGCATTTTTTCGTTGTAGCACTAAGCAATTTCAGCTGTTCTGAGAAGTTGAATGAGTGGGTGAGTCAGCTGATTGCATGGAATTTTTACGAAAGCAATGCGTGGATATACTTTACGTCATTTCGAATGCAGTCACATCACTATGACGTGCTTTAAGCCAGTCTAGCTGCTTTTCGTAATTCAAAGGCTTGAAACTGTTACTTAAAAAATGACAATAATAGCAAGGCTGAAGTGTTCGTTTTAAACAAAAACACTGAGATTATAGATACATTGCGACTGAGAAGATTCTCAAACGTTGTTGCTTGAACTTTAACAACTAACAATGCCATGACATTTAGCTCACGATACGATGAATGTAATAGATCCTTAGCCTATAGAGACATTGTCATTGACGCCACACACCAAGCAAAAAGTGTCATGAAAAATCTCAAGTGTCCATCTTTTATAATGATTTCGCTCTCACAAGAACTGAGATTCAGGTTTCATTGGTGCAAAGTGCTATTTTTTCGGGGTATCATTATCGAAATTCCACATCTTAAGGATGAGCTAATCTATAAAAAATGACAAGGTTTCCAATTGTCTGCTCTGTCCAATTCGGGAAAGCAGTCTTTCTTTGGATGTGGTAGCAGTACCTTCTAGAAGATAGCTAACAAAAAATGAGAAAGTCAATTTATTAAACAAGATGCCATGTTGCGAAAATAATATAGTGATAATCGCTCATGTAAAAACCATAAAGTTCCACCATGTTAACGAGGGCACAGAAGCTTGTGAAGCCCTTCTAAGACTATGATCTTATATAGTGAAGCCTAAGAATAGCCAAAAATGATGGATTAGAATCTTCCTCCAGTTTTATCCGAAGATAAAGGCATTTTTTCATGTGAGTAAAAATACCCATAGCTTCTTCTACCTGATTTTATGTTAACCAGAGTGAGCTGAAGTGAGCTCGAGTCCTTTTTAGCAAATGAGAAAATAGCACAAGGTTCAGAGGAGCGGATAATACTATCTTAGCCAGATTACTATATTGATATAACATACTGGTAGGCATCGCCTTCAAGCGTAAACATAAAACGTATATAGGAATATGTAAGGATTTCGTAACTTAGCAGTAAGGAAACTAATTTGAAGTTCCACAAGGATAAGTTTGATTTTCACGTAAATAAAAGCGAAAAAATGTGAAATTTTATGTGAGATGTAAACACCATACCTGATTGTAAATACAGAGCTAGGAACAATGTCAATGCCATGGAATATGAATGCATCATAGTAGTAAACTAGTACCACTCTTCTATTTTGCTCTCAACGCGAAAAAGCGTTTGCAGCAATTATATCAGCGTGAATCTCTGGAAACGTCGTTGGGAATGGTATTGTTGGCATGTCTATGTTGCGTAAAATCGTTCAAGCGTACAAACTAGATTTGAAATCCTTGAAAAATCAAGCTAGGTCGTTTTTTGAGATGGATAAGCGATAAGATTTGCATATTGGTAAACAGAAGAAGCAGACAGAGTGTGTGGATTCGGATGCACTCTGGTATTTGAGCTTTTTTCGTCGTATATAGATGAATTCGGAAAATGTGTAACATTTGGCCGTGTGTGTGGACGAACAACAACAAGGAGCAGCATAGAGGCTACGGTCGAGTGATCCAGTTGACTTGACCTTAGCCCAAGGAGCCGGTATTGGGTAATTACGTAGCTGCACGTAAATGCGCATCCAGACCCCCACCATAGACATTTTCTGGTTTTGTGCTCGCCCCTCGCCTCTGCTTCGCTACCTTACGCGAGCCATTCCTTCGTCCGGCGAGTGCGCAATAACGTCACAGATGGTTGAAGTAGCCGCGCCGCGCGGCTTAGCATTTTGGGATCAAGATCTCAGTGGAATTGGAGGAGTCGAAAGATGAAAGTTCAGCTCAACCGGGGGATCATCTCGATCGTTGAACGTTATGTAGACTACTCAAACTATTATTTTATTCATCTAAGACATAGTCGCACATGGTCATGGTATAGAGTCATGCACAAATCATATAGTAATCAGAATCAGAATCAGTCTTTTCCGAACAAACTTTTGCTCAATCTGCTCAGTATCAAAGATGTCCAGCACTCGATGCACTTTTCCTTGAATTCTCCTGATGTGTGGAGGGTCTCAGTTGAGCGTTGGTCGTCTTTGTACTTCTGAAGAACAGTTTCCTCATGTCACTGTCCTTCTGTAGTAGTACGGTAGCTACTGTGCCTTAATGACACCATCGCGAACTACGTTCCCCTCAGAAGTACTCCGAAGCAAAACTGTATTGAAATTTTCAAAGAAACCTTGAAATCTTTTAATGGAACTGTGTATGTAGCCTGAAGAAATATGACAAGAGTTGTTTATGGAGAAATCTAGAATAAATAAAATACAAAGTATAAACTGTTGATGCTGTATTCTTTACAAGTCTACTGCTGATGTTGTTCGTATTCTTTCTGAAGAAATGCAACGGTACTTTGCATCTACGATCAAATTTTTAAATTTTTATATTTTGACTTTTAATTCAAGTCTTTTTTGACACAGCTTTTTTTAGGAGTATATCGAATTTGTACTGGTAAAAGATCGGTGTCACTCTGCGTACAATATAGTTCAAATCTTTTGGATGCAAAAGAAAATCTTTCAAAGCATCATATCAAATGTATATTGCCCGAGAGTTTACTGCTCTCAACTAATAACGAAAGGAATGACATGTCAGCTGACTCAAAACTCACGTCATTTCGCAGTTAGCTAATCATTAGCGATGTAAAATAAGTACACCTAACATACTTTCTTTCCGCCAAGATTCCGGAAATACATATCGTTCGTCTGTTTATGACGCAGTGAGAAAGTTGTCAATAACAAGGAACTTACAAAATGGAGTATAAACAATTTGGACGCATAGCCATGGGATATCTGGAGTCAGAAACAATAGAAAAATTTTGGTTGATCTTCCTTCGATTGCCTCCTCTAAGATAAGCCAAAATTTCTCGACAACTTGCGAAAATGATGCATTGCTTGCTTTGCTCTGTGAATCATAAAGAAACTCTGACGATTCACCGTTATTTTTTCTTATCTAAGGGAACATATTGTCTCGGAACACAGCTGCCTGAACATGATAAAAGTCTGTTATCACATGACTTGGACAAAAACAATAAGCACGGGCCAAAAAGTCTTTCCGTCCGAAAGGAATTAGTTTCCGTTTATCATTTACTAAGTGACGTAACTTATTATCAGTTTTCATGGGGGTGGTGCAGGAGGAACCAAAGGGCTGCCGCCTGTATCCGCAGGAGATAATTAGGAGCGCGAGAGCTGTGGAGAATATTTTGGCAGGGATCCAAGAAAACTCAGCAAGGACATCCTTTAGAAACAAATCTTCATAATTTTGCTTGAAAATGACTTTGAAAAATTTGAAAAACAGATTTGTAATGCAAATTGGAAGGCGCTTTCACTGGACCTAATAGCAAGTGAAAATTTGGAATTTTAGTGGTAACATAAGTCAACTACCTTATGAAACTCTTTGTTTTGAATTTGAAGTTTCAAATTGTTGAATTCCGAAGGTTTTCATTCAAAATTCGTTCTTTTCTCTTTGAGATAAGGGAATAGTTTGCCTCTTGAGTCAATGAACCAAAGCAATCAAAATGCCATAAAAACACATTGGAGGTTTGTGTCAAGATGCAATATGCAGTTTGTCTCATAACTTCAAACCTATTTTGATTTTAAATTTTGACATTAGAGATTTCATAGGATTTGCCATTGAAACTATGCCTGCAATCCTTTCGAGGTCGTATACAATAGCAAAAGTTCATCACAAGCGACTTAGTTAACATTATCCCCTTATTACCACTTCAAACTTTCAACTTCAAATCCAGAAATTTCACTAGAAATTCACTTGTAATCTTTCACACAGCAATGAACTTGAAATTTCTCAACTCAGAATGGTGAATTTTGAAGGCACAGTTTTTGGTAGAAATTTCGAGCAGCGAGAAGAGTTGTTCATCTATCCGGTTAGCGTATTATTGAAAAATGCGCATTTCAATACTGATTTCAAATCTGTCCTTCGTATCCTTTAAAGTTAATTCCAAGGAGAGTTATAAGGGTTTGTTTCTAATAGATGTCCTCGCCAAGTTTTCCTAAATCCTTGCCAAAATCTTCTCCACAGCGCTCGCGCTGCTAATCATCTCCTACGGCTACAGGCGGCAGGCCTTTGGTTCCTCCTGCACCGCATCCAGTTTTCATCTGATAGCATAGAAGCCATTAGCACTTAATTATGTACAACAAGCTGTGCAGTCTATTTTCATTTTCTAGCAATGAGATTTTAATCTATGCCTACATGTTCACAGGTTTTGATGTATTGCGCAAAAATGAAAATTAGTTATATAATTCATCCTTTGCGTCGATTGTGAGGTATCTTGATAACTTTGCATGCGTCTTATATATGAATGCTGCTATCGGTAATAAAGAGCCGACTCGACAGATGTCGTCAAACACCGTTTCGAAATACGCGGTGTGAATTTAACAATAAGAGGAAAACCTGATATATGGGTAAAATTCCCTAACTAAATCTTACTCTCCCATATTTAGTACCCTGGTGTTGCTCAGGATTTGTTGAAGATTCAAGAACTTGCAGTTACTCTGGCCTTTGCAATATTCAGCAAGAGCTACTTTCGTTCCTTGACATTTTCTGTCTGCTAAAAGTTGGGGTCCGACTGTAGCATACATGATGTAATTGAGCCCTAAAACCGTTTCATTGCTTCATATTCCCTGCTTTCGCAACTCATAAACAGGTGTTCCAAAAGTAAGTCCACACTTTTCAATCGTTTATAACTCCCTTAAGAGAGAGCCTCTCATTTAGCTTTGAGTACCATTCAGTAGAGCAGGCTTCAACTTAGATATACAGTATGGAGAAAATCACTCATCCTTTTCCTGACTGTAGGATTATTGTAGGAGCTTTCAACATACAGCGACACTGTGAAATAGGCCGCTTGAGAGAAAGGTTCCAAAAAAGTAATCTGAAAAGTTGTGTAGCAGTGTCTTCGGACATGATATTTTAATCAGACAAGTTTTTACGAGTTTGTGTTTCAAATGGTTTCCCATATTGTTTGAAAAACGCTGAAAAAATGTGTTTGTGGTCTACTTAACATAGAACATAAAAGAAACCTTATAGTAACATGCGAATTTCATATTCGTAAACAACTGCTCAGTTTAGCCTAAGGATAGAGTTTTTGTGTCATGAGTATCCTGAAGCAATATGTAGCTACTGATGGGTAAAAACGCTCTTCAAAGTTGCTATCGTCAGATAAATGATCCGCTGCACACCGTGAGTAGTTGAAGCCTGCTTTACCGAATAGTGCTTGGCTCTAAGGATAAACTTTTAAGTCACTATGTCCTCTTTTAATGCTAATAAATCATTATCTTTCCAAGCACAGAACGACAGGATAGGATTTGGTATTTTACTAGATACTGTTTACCACAATAAGATGATGTGTTTTGAACAGACATTGAAAGATAACGTATCGTGATTACTAGACTGTCGAAAGAAATGAAAGAAAGCATAAAACATGACGAGGGATTTTTCACAACTCACAGTCCAATGACCAGTTGTGCATCTTTGCGAAAGTCGAGATAAGATTGCAGGTTCCCTAAGCATAACATGCACACAGAAACTGCATGGCACTGAAGAGATAGAGGTTAGAAAAGCCAGGTGAAATAGAAAAGATGATACAAGAAACGGCCAAATTAAAATTCTAGGACTGGAAGTTGTGCTCAAACTAACCTAGTAATACACAAACAGGATGTCTGAATTTGTAGTCCACAACATGTAGGACGTAAATACAACACCTAGACATTTTATATCCATAATAAACAACCGTGCACACAGAACGAACATTAACGGAGCACAAGGGACTATAGAATACAATTGCAATGAGATGATAGCAAGTCTCATAAATGATATTCATTGGGAACGATATCAAAAATCGAATCGAACTACATGATGACGCATGACTTCTGTTTCCCATTAACAGAATATCGAAACTTCCGGAGCTCGCCGGTTGGTTTATATTTCTCGAGAAAATTGAGCTGTTTTTGGTTCAAAGCACCCCGTCTTTGTCTGGAATCAACATATTAATACATACATGTTACAAAAATGCTAATATCATGGTCAATATCAATAGAAACCAAGTTTGTAAAATACCTATAATAACATTAACACCTCAAATTTGTTCCAGTAACATGGATGAAATCGGCTGAAATCAAATTCGCCATTGCAGTCAAGCTAAGGGTCAAAATGTCAATAACACAGAATACTAACTTCTCTAACAGATTTTCGAATGTTTTAGAGGATCCGTAGCATATGAGCATTTATAAATTGATTCGACGCTTATGATAACCGCGTGCCGCACAAAAGTAATAAACAAGTTGACTCTAACAGCATCCCTCCACCTGGTCAATATAGTAGCATGATCGGTTTAAATCCATAACGAAAATTATTGTACTAAGCGCACTGACTGTGAATATAGAAAAAGAGAGAGTACAACTGAACGCTCAGAATGGACCAAAGTTATATTGACACCGGATTACCATAATCTATTCATATGCAGAGTTAGGATGCAATAGACGATTATCTTCGATAATCTAGACCCAATAATACGTTTTGACCAAATGACAGGATCACCACAGAGAAAAAAGGCAGCAATCTCACTGCACCTCTTCTCATAACCACCGTAGCTATTTGGCACTCAATTACTTCTCAGTCGGGCCTGTTATGCGATAGACACAACTTTGGTTACGAATTCAGCTACAAGTTCACGCAGGAAAAGCGAAAAGATGCTGTTCGGTAGAAAAAATATATCGAGATTTTCCCGTTTTTAACAAGAAGACGGTAAATAATGATGAAATCAGAAATACTCTGGGAATAGGCTATTTACCTGCGGATAAGTTCAACGGCATCCTCATACTTCATGCCAGCTTCTATTAAAGCAAGTGCTACCAGAACTGGAGCTCGGCCTAGACCCGCAACACAATGCACAGCGATACACTGATCAGGATGGTCGCGGAACGACGAACGCACCAGCTGCAGCCAGTCACGGATGACCTGTAATTATCGACTTCAAATAACGTGCAGATTTTCGGACTGACGCTACCTCTGGTGGTGGAGGAGAGCCATCGGAGAACTCCCAGTCAAGTACATCTATACCATGATCACGCAACGGCTTTGTAGCGTAGGTTGGTTCACAAACGCGTACAACAGCACGAGCCGAATGTTTGTCAAGCTCCTGTAATACGGTTTTTGCAAAGAAAGCTTCACAACGTGCTCCGGCGACCATGATATATCGTGATCGAACTCGAACTACTAGATCATAATTACAGTAGTACGAAACTAAAGGCTAAAAAGACTTATTTTGTTGCTTCAAACACGATAACTTTTGATCAAACGGGCTTTTAAATCCATTCAAAAAGTCATTTGTAGCAGATACAAGACATGAAGGGACGCCTCAATCTATGCTACTAGTTGCTAAAGTTTTTAGAAATGCTTGCATCAGATAACGTTATCAACACTTTCTGATGTTCGATATGCACCTTCACTCGAACTACCAGACAATATGCACTATTCGAAAACAGAAATAATCGGGATTGTACGCAAAAGGCTGGATAAAAATAGGAGTAACATAAAAGAAAAGACTATACTACAGAAAACACCTACGAGAATAAGAAAAAACTCAGGAGGATAGAGCAAGATGAAGCTCATTTCTTTTTTGTAAGAACGCTTCGAGAAAGATGTGTGTGAATGGGGGGGCAATAATTATGAAGCATTTATGAAAAATCAAAGGAACTATTCAAATAATTACGAAATGATAGTCAAATCAAAATGTAAACAAAACATTTTTAAGCAAACAAAAAACGATTCTCAGGCCTACCTCGATGAACGAATGGATTGAACTATCGCTGGGTCGATCGGTGATAAGAAAACGCATTCGTCCATAAAGAATCTCTGACGGTGCCGGCTTGAAATAGGCTGCAGCAGCAGCAGTGCCCGAGATGCGTTTCTGCATTGTTGAAGTGCCCATGGGTGAGACGTTGAGCTGAAGATGTGACCTGAGCTTCTTTGAAGAAAGCCACGTAAGACCCTCAGGCCCAATGGCGAGATTAACTGCTATCTTGCAAGCATATGATCCATCAAGGGATACTACAGAAAGCAATGAACGTTAAGACAACATTTCCCAATTATAAGTTCCTTTCTCAGACGTTCGATAACACAGGTACAGTCTAAGAATTTACAGCTCTAAGGTAGTCCTCTGGCTGTCTACATATCACTCACAGATGCACTGCGAAGTTTCACGACAGCCTCTGCTTCTCTCGTTTGCATGTTGTCTTAACGTCTTAGACTGCCTCTCTTTCTAAAAACTTCCGCTTTGCTTGAATTTCTTTGATTGATGAGACTCCCGTTCTAAGGGGTGTCGCATATGAATTCTCTAAATACAAGTTGTAAATAACTTACAAAAAGCAGGAAATAGGTAGGTCAAGGAGGCTGAAGGTATACGCAGTCACAATGTGTAGAAAGGCAAATTCTGATAATTGTCACGTCTAGTCAATGGTGCTGACTTCGACAGAATTCTCCAACCGGATTCAAGTCCACCACACTCAGCCGGCTGGAAACAAAACATCATCGCGATCATGGCAGAAAAACTTCTACGCCGCAGGAATGGGGGAAAATCCGCAATTTTGGAGTTTATGTCAGTTAAGCCGATAGTGGCAAGTTTCGCCGGTGCACGTGCTCATACAGCAGATGTGGCTTCACGTGAGCAGAGCTCTCACTCTCGAAAACAAATCAACTTGAAATTCGCGCCACAGAACGTCCAAAAGTCGAAATTACATATGAACATTGGAAGTAGATGTTCATAAGATTTTCAAGGACATTCTAGAGTTTGGCTTGAAGTAAGATAGATAGCAGATAAGAAATTAGAGGTCAATTTTTTGATTGTGGATACAATTACTGATTTAGGGAAATAGCTCTACGATCGATATCAAAACCTATGAACGTTAGAGCTAACCGTATAGAATAAAATTCGACCTTTGCCACAAACATGCATAGGTAAACGAGAGAAACTTATAATTTTACAAAAAGACCAGGCTGAAGATCTTAATGTGATGGAAAACAACTACATAAAATCTCATGAAGCATTGTCTCTGATCTACACTTTATGGATATTTCTGCAAAACACTTTAGCGGGAGGGTATGAGTCGTAACGGAGCCAAAAAATTATCTCTAGGCCAGATGATCAGACGTACACTGCGATAATCACACTATAGAACTCAGCCGAAATCAACGCATTTTACGAGTGAAGACTGCGGGATAGCATTCATTGCAATTCTATTCATTCCAAGAGAAGAAGCCATCAAGCTATGTATGAGCAAAAACGCAGCCGGCATAAACGACTTCACAAAGAATTCATGGAGAACAAAAAAGTGAATCTGGCACTACTAACCTGGAAATGCTTGTGAAGAGAAGAAGGCCTGTGCTCATATCACAGACGAGGCACCGGAAATTTAGAGAGCACGACGTATCACGGTAACGTGTCCGATCTGAACCAGATAACAATATGATCAAGATGGAAGCAAGAATTAAGCATGCTCTATTCTTCAACAAAACTTGGCAGGATAGCGATAAAACAATGCAAGGAATGGCTGAGAAACAAAACAGCCATGAAAAATTGACATCGGTGAATGTTGTGAAATGTTGAGCTTGGTAGCTATATGTACCAGTATGACAGAGGAGGAGACAGAGCAGGAAGAGCTTTCGCGGACTATTTCGAAACGTCAGTCTCTAGCCACTTTTTCGAAAAGGCCTGGACTGGTGATAGATAACAGCGGAGTGGAAGAGAAGGGCGGCGCATTGGAAAGATTGCTCGTTTTCCAGACGGTGACCAGAAGTGCGCTGAGTGCGGAGAGCCTCAGTCGACGTCAGAGACACAGAGGAGCTCCGCGATCGATTCGTAACCCTCCCGCTAACGGGGGGAGGGGGGCTTCATATCCCCCTCACACCTTGGATACCCTCACTAGCAACGCTTCATAAATTCCTAATAGCCATTCGGAGTCTTGAAAATGAGTCACAGCTTCATCCTTCTTACCAGCCATTACACAACATTGCTCAACTAACCTCGTAAACAGCTTCTCTTCCGTCTCTAATGCGATCGCATGGAAATTGCTGACGCAATGTGTGCCTAGTGTTCCTCTACGGACCTGGCGCGGACTCGAATGCAGCGTGAGCTGGAAATGATATTTAAACGACTTTTCCGTTGTACGGATAATGTGTCCTCAAACAACATCTGTGGGAAATTAGTAACTCATAATGACCGTTCCCAATCCACAGCCATGTGCCTTTTTGGACGAATTTGTGCGACACAGTAGGGTTGCTTGACTTTTTCAGCCGATTGTTTTCGTTCATACGAATCGTAGGATTAGAAAACATCAAGCACTTGGAATCCCGGAAATTCTTCGCTCGTGCTGGCATTCGTTCTTTGCATGGATGGATATTCCTTCAATAGTCTAGAGATAGAGCCTAAAAAGTGAAGGTTGGTGAAGCCCCACCCACTGTAAAAAGTGGAGGTTGCTTGTAAACTAGACAGCAAAGCGAAAAAAACTGCTGAAAAACGAGGAAACGCTGTAGCGAGTTTGAAACCTCTCATTTCGCATTTTAACATGTTTCGGACCGCGAAATCGCGCGCGGCGAAAAAGAAGGTATCATTTGATTCAACTGGCTTGGCACCGGCAAAGGCGAGGCTCCGTGACCTAATTAAGACTAGGTAATGATCAGAGAGCACTCGCGCGAGAGAGACGCAGGTGCGTCGCGGGCGCGAGCGGCCTCAATTAGAAATGGTGCCAAGCCAGTTGAATCAAATGTTATAGTTGATTCGTTGACCGCACGGATTGGAGAACACTGCGGAGCACGCGCCGCGAGGTGAAACGCTCGTCCCAGTACAAATTCACTATTGTACAAGTCCTGCTCTCGCGACAATTCAGCCGCGCCGCGCGTGGTCCGCAGCGTTTGCGCAGTCCGTGCGGTCAACGAATCGACGATACTTTCAGCCGTTAGCCAACAAAGAGACCTTAATTCGTAGATTGTGTGCTACATCTGTAATCAGCATGTCAGATAAGATCCATACCCAGAGTTCTGAGTGAATTCGAAGTGTTTGAATTTTGTCGGCTGAGAAGGACTTCTGTGCTTTCTTGAAAGATAGGAACAAGAACTCAGTTTCTAACTGTATCCAAAAGTATCTATGTTGTACACGATACACATCATTATTGAAACTACGGTTTTTCTCTTTGTATTTTAAAGCTAAGAATAGTTGCGACGTCGCACGCGTCGTTCATTTGTCGCACTTCGTTGCAACTGATGTTCGATTTGTCCTCATATCTTCTGAACAAATATCGAAGGCACAGCTCTACAGACCCTTTCGAAAAGGAGGAGCTTAGGCCTTTGACTTGATAACCTTGGAGAAAAATAAACCTCCTGTAAACGATGAAAAGATCCTTCAAAGGCGCGTGCTGCACCATGTGCCGCACCGGTCCGAAACGTGTTAAATCGGAAGTTTTCGCTCCAGGACCCTCCCGTCACAAACGCCACGAGAATGGGTCGCGAAATTTTTGAAAGTTACTTATAAGGTCATGAATTGTGCAAATGACTTGTTTATACTTGTAAATAATCAAAATAACTTTTAAAAAATTTTTAGAAATTCAAATTAGCCTTGTCAAAAAATTGTTTGAGAGGCACCCCTAAAATTTTTTCGGAGTGCGTGGCTGACGCCACGCACCTTCATTCGAAAAAAATTTTCGTCGCCCCCCCCCCGAGCGGAAATCCTGGGTACGCCAGTGATATATATATATATATATATATATATTAGCTAATTTTCCCGGTCCAGCCCGGGCCACGTCAGCTGATCCTTGCTTCGCCCCTCCCCCACCCCCCCCCCCCCTCCGCCTCCCCTTCCCACCTAGCCATTATGTGGCGCTACAAGGGTTTCTGTATCAAAGAACTCGCCCGCTGTAGGCTCGTCTTAAATCACCGCATCCTTCCTACCGCGAGAATCGAATGAACTCTACTGCTATTGTTTACACAAAATCATGGAACTTGTTTGCCCATGTTGAGAACTCATTCTTATGCAAATCAATAAATCATTAGAATGGCCCAGCGAATCGCCGCAAAAAGTAGCGCTAAATCACCTCCGCTGTCGAATACATATGTGTGCAAAGTTCAGCTCGATCGGTTCATCGGCGGGCGTTTTTGTAACGAACGAACAACTAAACTACATCTACGAAGTTTGAATTTTATATATACAGTGACCGCCAAAAAGTTGCGGACAAGTTGCCCTCCTTTTTTCAGCGTTCATTTTTGGATGGAAAACCAGGACTCATATCCACGAAAGTCCATAATGGAAAATGGACTTACTTAGTCCATTCTATTCGTTCGCGTTAAAAAGTGGTCGAAATCGGTCCCGCTTACGATATCCAAAATTTTTCATCCCATCGCAACCGCGAGGCAAAGCGGTGAAATGAAAATGATTCAAGCTTACTTGAGCTATCGCTCGCGGAAGATGACGTCAAAAGTCCATTTTAGAATGGGGCAAAAGGAGTTTACCTCCATGTTCATTCTCTCTCACCTTTCTGATAAGCCCATTTTACTCCCAGCAGCCAGATGTGCTGGGACTAAGTCCATTTTTGACATTCTTGCATATTTTTGATTGCGATTTTTTGAGAATATGTTCCCTAGCCCATTTTAAGATAGTAAGCGAACGGAGAAAGTTTTATCTTCTTTAGGAGGGCCAAAAAACTATCTTCTCCAAACACCCTTGAAATGCTTTGAAAATCATAGAAAATTTTTTTTCGTAGACAGTTGAGACAGACAGACAGACAGACAGACAGACACAAAGACGGCAATTCAAAATTCGCGATTTTGAGTTTGGTAGCAAGAAGTACTGAAGTACCGCTAGTAAGTCAGAATATTCTGTGAAAAATTTCTTACTAGCTATAGTCTATACATTAATCACTTCTTGTTCTCGTATGGAAATATAAAAAAATCGCGATTTACCAAAATAAACAAGTCATTTTATAGAGAAAATCTTCTCGATACGTCATTTTGTCACCGAAAACACTTTTCAATACCCAAAACGTCGAAGCGAACTCTGTTTTATTTCCGAATATAGAGCATCACATTAGGGTTGAGAAAAAGAGGTTACCTGATTGATACTGGATTATGCGAGAGCTTTTCCAACAAGCGGTTAATTTGAATTTTGTTCAAAATCTATAATAAGGTTGCCAATAGCAAAAGGCATTGGTTCAAGCATTCCCTATATGCTGAGACGGATATAA